CTCTCTCCCCGCGCGGGTCATGTCATATTGAGGGGATGGGGGGAAGAAAGGAAAAGAAAAGAAGGAAACCAGGAAAAAAGTAAATCGTAAAAGAAACAAATAAAAGCACTTTTCTTGTGTGCATTCAGTAAGAACACTTGATGGAAGACAAACGGAGACAACAAAGTGGAAAGGCCAGTGGATGTGAGTTTAGAGCGAGCCCAGTCTTTCCTCCAATCCACCCCAGTAGACAATTGGTCGGGGCTCAAGGAGGGAAAGCTCGCTTCCGAAGCTTTTACGCTCTTCCTCCATATTCACAATGGATGGTTGGCGAAAGATGACGCTGTTGATTGTGCTCAATGGGGAGCTGTCTGTCGACGAGCAAGAATCTCTGCTGCTACTGGTGGTAGAAGATGTAGACGTGCGGCGGAGCGAGATACGCAACTTCTGAGGAGACAAGCGAGCGGTCAAGGCATGAAATCGAGACGACTGCATTTTGGGTAGACTTGCGTAGACGTTGGAGCGCGTACGGCTTATACGGTTATGTTGTCGTATACTGTATGGAATCACGGGCCCGTATACGTTCGTGAGGGGGGGAGGAAAGAGCGAGAAGGAGACGAGGCAAAGCTCGACGGGAATAATTATGATCGGTAAATCGTGAGTGGATTGGTCAGGCACAGCCCAGTGGAATAAAAAAATAAATAGACTGATAGAAGCTCAGCGTGGCAGACATTCGATGGGTTATGAAAAGGGCGCGGAGAAAGGACGGGGTGCCGACAATGGGAAACAAAAACTATGAATTGAGGTTCAAACGAGAGGATAGCCCGCTGCTTTCCAGAAGAGATCGGGCAACGGACATATGTAGATGTGGCAGGAGGCCAGGTGTTGCGCAGTATCACAGACAGAGCCTGTGAAAGAGGCTTTTCGCTTTGCTTGCTCAATCAAAATGGCAGCCGATGCGATGGGAGGCGGGGCAATCCATGGGTTATGTACTGGCTGTGTCAAGACATTTGCCCCGTCCGAAGTACAGTAGATGTACTTCGTGTTACTCCGTACGGAGTATTGCGTCTCAATGGTGGTGCACATGCACTCGTAGCAGAACCCTGCATCGATTCAGGTCTCCCGCAGGGGGCCTTCAACGTGTGTTGAGTCGGTGGGGTCCGTCGCCGTGCACTGGACGCCTTCAGGCATGAAGGGAGGGAGGGGGGAGGGGGGAGGCCAAATGGGGGGATTAACACGACGGTTGGGATGACTGGATAGAGTGACGCAGGGATGAAGCCACAGTTTGCCGTCGACGCGTCCCGTCTACCGTGTTCTGGAGGATAAAAAGGGCTTTTTTTTTGAAGCTTTAACGGACTACTCCGTACGACGAAATGGGACATGCAGCGGGCGAGTATGTACTTTTCTTGCCAGGTGCATTCAATGGCGAGGAAGTCGCCAGTTGGACTTTGTACAGCCTGGCTGATAAAAATGGTTTTTCTCTTGAGCACGACAAGGTAAAAGCTGTATGACACGGATTTGTGAGCTCCAACACAAAACGAGGCCCCACAGCATAAATAGGCATTGTGATATGATGCTCCACGTCTTTGGCCCCTATTCCTCTGTGCAGCGTCCAGGCTCGTGTGCTAGAGGAGCCACACAGCAATATATAAATTCAGGGGTTGCCGATTAAAAATATTCAAAGAAAAAGCGTTTTTTTGGTGGCAGTGGTGAAACGGCAAAATTTATGGCAGAAATACTCGCAGAAGCAACGGCAAACCCGACTTTAGAGAAACGAGGGTTTGTGACGCCGTCCGTGCGCCGAAAGGAGAGTACCGAGTGACATGTTTCAGAGTTCGAGCTGCGTTTGAGCTTTGCCGGATGTACGTAGTAATGCTCCGCAGTAGTACGACGTAATATCCAAGGTCAAGTCCTCCGAGAGCTTAAAGGCGGCAGTGACAACTAGCCAGAAATGCACGACGTAGTAGGCGACGTTTTGCGACCCTTATTTCGACGGATGTCCTGATGCAACAAACATTTTCCGCAAGAACAGATTGGCATATGGCAGGATCGTCAAGGACAGCGAGGGCAGCAACGCCCTGCTGGGGAGGCAAAGCCGACAGGCGAGACGATTAGGGTAGGCGAGGAATGTGAAATCGGGCATGGGAATTAAGAGCGGGAAGTCGATAAGCATAAACAAAATTCCCAAGGTGAAATGTTGCCAGAGAGATTAGCGAGGGTGGTGAGGGCGGCGAGGGCGGCGAGAAGAATGAATACGAATTATAATAACGACGTAATATCTAGAGGCCGACTAAGTGGGTAGTCAGGGCACCGCGGCGGCTTGTTTCAAAAGGAGGCGACTTGATCAGGCTCGCACATTCCATTCCTGACTTGTAACACCAGGTGCTAAGCCGCCGATGGGGGTATTATCAACAACGCAGCGCAAAATGCTCGAATGAACTAGGGAGGTGGGCGAATCTAGCTAAGCTATTGTTTCTACGAATGTAGAGAGGGGTGGGTTGTAATCTGCATGCGTCCTTATGCTTTGTAATAACACGTCGTAATTACTGCGCAGTTCTCTCTGCAACCTTCCTCCCTTTGGCCAGACGTGAGAGGCGTATAATTATCTAAACCAAGCCGGCCGTGTCTTGCAACGGTGCATGACGTCCAGCTGTCTGCACTGAGTTAAGTACGGCGACGATAAATTTTTGTAAGTGCCACGTCGAATTGGCCAAGTTGATCCTCAGCCTGTCCCGTTGGAAGGGAGGACGATCAGACAAGGGAGGAAACTGTGCCTTGCGGTTCGGATTACATGACCATAAGAAAGAACGCGAGTAACAAATTCCTATTTGCTCTGCCCTAGTCGCCCCAGCATTCAACTGATATGCCGCGATGCGAACAACCAGGGGACAAGGAAAGCCATGATCGATCAAACCATAACACGAACATAGGGATTAGCCATGTTAATATTAGAAAGGACGCGGGTAGGACAGGAACAAAGAATGGAAAATAGGCAAACAGCTGTGCAACGCTTCGGCTTCACTGCCAACAACGGAACGCCCTCTCGCCCCAAGAATAAAAACGTCATGCTTGTCGTCGTTACCACGCTGAAGAACAACCCTGGTACAAGAACACTTAAAGTAGTAGTAGTGAAACAAACCAAAAAGAAAAAGAAAAGAAAAGAAAAAAGAAAAGAGAAGAAAGAAAAAAAAAAGGAAACAAAAGGTAGCTGGTACAAAAGGAAACACGAGGCCGATAAGATCCATGTGCTTTAAGTACCCCAGCCGCTTCGGCGTTGTGTAGCACTTCTCCGGATCGATTCGACCCACACCGAGTCATCGAGCATTTCCCTCACAAGGCCAGGGCTCACTCCGCTCACACCGCTCATACCGCTCGCACCACTCATGGCACTCACAGCGCTCCCACGCCTGCTACCATCGGCTTCAAATTGGGCACTAGGCTCCTGTAGCTCAAAGCTGAACGCACTGGAGTTGTAGTGATGCCTTTGTGGTTGCAGTCCTCCAGAACTCGTTGGTGAAGAGAGTCCACCAGTACGTGGAGCACTCAAGGGATGTGCATAGTTTGTGTCGTGAAGGCTGATATCTATGCTTGCACCTGACCAGGACCTATGGTGCTGTGCTGGCCCGGCTGCGTGATCGGCACTGAGAAACGTCGCTGCTGTTTGCAACGATGCCGCGCCGGTGCTGTGTCCGGCCCCCGCACCGGATGTCCGGTCGTCTTCGTCGTCAACAAGGATGTCGGGTATACCAAGCTGGGGCACGCCGGTCATGCGTGCAGACCGCTTTTGTTCCATGTGCCGTCTGAATTTTCTCGACCAATAGCTGTTTGCAAGTATGGGTTAGGGACACAGGACGGATGCACAGGGGGGGGGGGGGGGGGTTGGACGGAGCTAGATACTTACAGCGTGTTGAAAAATCCCAAGACAACCCTACGTCGTGCTTCCTCCTCAACCCGCTGGAGCCTCGCACGCCGGCGCAAGAATTCTTCAAGCCTAAATGAAAAGAAGAAGAAAACGCCCAGTTAGGAACCTGTTCAAATCCGGTAGAAAGTAAGACGTCCCTCTCCACGTGCTAAAACAAAACCTACCTCAGGCTCTTACTGTCGCTGATGATGTTGTAGTGAGCCAGGATCATCAGAACCGTCGTAAAGAAAATGCCCTTGTCTGGATCGGCAGACACCATGACTTCTTCGTAAAATATGTTAAACCGCCGCCGCCGCTCGCGAACCCGGTTTAGGTCGATTTGGTTGATACGGTCGTTGAGCTTTTGCAGGTTAACACCCGTGAGTGCAGTCTGGGATGCCAACGAAGCATGTCGGGCCTGAGGCGTCGTGTCATCGTTCCGTGCAAACTCAAGAATGCTTCGCACTGAGTCCTCGTGATCGTAAATACGCATTTCGAACACGCCAGACAGCTCTCCGAGGAGGCGAGGAAATGCTTCGCGGGAGATAAACCCCGTGCCGTTCGGGTCCACGCTGCGCCAAGCTTCTTTGAAACGCCGTATCTCGTCTCTGCTGATATCAGCGAGTCCACTGGACCGCTGGTAAACATACGAGAAACTTTCGTAGATAAGCGACACGAACAAATTGACAAAGATGTACATGCTGATGATGTTCCATGCAATGAACAGGACCCTTGCCCAGGCTGTGCTGCCACAGTCGCTGCCAAAAAAGGTCGGTGCCTCGACACACAGCGGTGGCTCGACACCCGCGAAATCTTCCATGATTTGGTTCCATCCCTCACCACAGCTCATTCGGAATAATAGAATCAACGCATTCGGAACAGTTCGCAGATTGATGTTATTTGTTTCTTGCGAGCTGAATCGGGTCAGACTGAAAGACTGTGTCATTGCAATAGCAAACACCAAAAAGAAAACCAACCAAGTGGCCAGAAGACTCCCAATCGTCGTCACACTGGCCGCTGCAGTCTTAAATAATTGGTCAAGCGCATCGTTTCGGGGAATGAGGAGCAAAACAATAGCCACAAGAAAGAACTTGTGCAATTGTATGAACGTGTCCTGGCCAGGTTCGGCAAGGAACAAAATGGATGTCGCAAATGCGCCGGCCACGGCACACATGGAGAACACATCCCAAGAACTTCTTCGAAAGCGGCTCCATCCGAGGCCGACAATGCGGATGGATATGTTTGCCATGTAGACGAGAGTGAAGACAAGGAAGACGTAGTCACGTGTGTTGGTCCACCAGTCCGGCTCTGACGAGTATTCCAAAATGAGGAGGATGAGGTGCAGCACCAGTACCATGGTGATGCCCACATACCATTTTCCGTGTTTTTCAATAGCACGTTTATGGCACCACTTCTTGAGTTTGTTTTTGGAATCATCGTAGGAGCTCTTCGACGGCGATATCTGTCGTAAAAGCTTGCGTAATTCGAGCCATGCTCTTTGATCCCCAGTGAGAAATGCAACACCAGTTTGCTCTGTATAGTTCCGCATAAAAACGGAGATGAATAACGTAAGCACAAAGATGGTCGCGAGCAGGTTGAAGGCAACGAAAAACAACGCATTGCCTTGGGCTGCTCCAAATCGGGGTTGATTGCCAACACCTGTGACAGACTGGGCTTGAAAGGACACATCGACCCAACCCTCTTGGCTGACTATCGTGAACAGAATAAGAATCGAGGATCCGAAATCATCGAAGCTGTAGTATGGGTTTTCTGCGACGCGAGGTGACAAAAGCTGCCAGTCGTTGCTGAAGGGTGTATTTAGATACTCGCCTGTGCAATCCTGAAGACGCAGCACCGACCCGCTCTGGTCGTTACATGAGACCATTTGCCCCCGAAAAAGATTGAGACCGTAGATGGCAAATGGGATGAGGAGAGAAATAGAGACAAATGCGGCGCTGAGAATTTTCCAACCGCCAACAATGATAAGCGAGTGAAACGTTTCTCGAGCGCTATCACTGACATTCAGCAAACGCAGTGCTCTGAGAGCCTTGAAGGCACCAACGGCTCGAGAAACGGCCCCATCATTGGCAAACAATGTCGCTACATTGATCCACAGTGTAATTAATACGACTGCATCAATGATACCCCAGGAACTGCGAAAGTACGCATTGGGTGTCCAAAAGAAGCCATCCGCGATAATTTTGACGACCGCCTCGACAGTGAACACTATGGCAAAAGCCATGTCGGTCCAGACAAACCAGTTTTTGAAGCTGAACGTATGGCCACCATCGAAATACTGCTTTTGGTACAAAGGAGTAGTGACACACGCAATGATGACCATGGCAACGATCGACGCGTAAATGAAAGCCGAGAAAGTGTACCAGGCGTACTTGTTCGGTTCCACTCCGTCAAACCGCTCGGAGCCTCTACCCGGACCAACTAGACGCTGGCAAAGACGCCGAAGTGGGTTTCTGGGTGTAAAAATGAACAGTGAATTGTTGTAGGTTGGATGGCGTCCTAGGTACTCGCGCTGAGCTTTACGCCGTGCCGATGTCGCGGATACAGCCTGTCGAGCCATTTGTCTCGGGTCTAAATTCTCATTCCGAACATCGAATCGAACATTAGAGTAAAAAGGATTCGGATCTTTGCTGGATGTCCATCGTGACACTTTCGCCCAAATTACCGGCAAAACTCCAGCCTTGGCCGTGCCGCTGAGAACATCTTGAACTTGAGAAGACGACTGATTTCCCGCAGTAGAATCCTGGAGCGGATCTAAAGCTTCGTTTAAGAATTCGCGAACAACAGCTTCTTTTAGGAGCATCTCCATCATACCAGGGCCGTAGTCGAGGGGGTCCTTTCGTTTTGCTCTCCGTCCTAAGGAGAACATTGCAGATAGCGAAAGGTTGCTGGCAGACGTCCCAAGCTCTCGCCTTTGAAGAAATGCCTTGACTTGTTCCAGTCGTTTTTGATCTTCGCTCACATCAAAATTTTCTTGGATGACGGCGATAAACATATTGATCAAAATGAAGTAGGATAAGATGAACCAGCCAATCAAAAAAATGGCACCAATCCATGCCGTGTCAAGGCGCTTCGTGAACCCCGTAACAGTGTAAAGGACCGCCGTCCAATTTTCACTTGACAAGATTTGATACATTCCCAAGAAAGAGTTGAATATGGAGGCGAAGGTAATCCTTATGTCGTTACCGCTAGAGTCTTGCGGTGTTATTTCGCCTCGAAAGAGTTGGACGGCGAAAATCGAGACGAGGAACGTGATTAAAAAGACAAACAGCATTAGATTTCCAATACCGGTAGCGTTTCCGAGGACCAATTTTATCAGTGTTCGTGTCATTGGGATGGCAAGAACCACTCGGTAAGCCCTGAGGATTTGAAAAACAGTCAGCCATGCATAGACTTGACCTGAGTTGCGAATCGGTGGTATCAAAATGACAGATGTAATAACAGCAAGCCCAAGATCAAAAAGATTCTGTATGCTGTGATGAAACCGCCTCCAATCCGATGAAAATCGAATGACTATTTCGATATCAAGCAGGACAGTCACGACGACTTCGCAGGTGTTGATAAAGCCGATCCTGCCCTCGTGCGAAGCACTGCGAAAAGCTTGAACGAATAAATCGAAGGCAATGGCGAGGATCCAAAACCAAGTGATCTTCTGATAGATACGTCGGAGCATGGTAGCTCTACGAAGTCCGCTGTCTGGGCGTGACGCCAAGAAATCATTCTCATCCGCAGTGAACGCGCTTCCTTTGCTTTCTTCTCGGATGACTTGGAATGACGAGGTGATGACTGCGATAAGCAAATTGGTCATCCACAGCATCATGATCATAATACCAGCAGCAAAAAAAAGGGCAGCGACAAGGTAGTCAGAGTTTGTCGTGTAATACATAAGATCGCTGAAAGTATTTGCGCTCATAATGACAAAAACGAGCTCCAGAGAATGGAGAATGTCGTCAAAGTTGACTGTGGCGTTGTAGGGACTTTCTTGTTGGAGGCAGATCGAGCCCCTAGGACAAACAAAGCCTTTTCCGTTGCGAGTTCCATTAACGAGCGAGCTCAGGTTCCCAGCCTCGGTCATCATGACCCACGGAAGCGTGGTTGGATTGGGATTGGAATCATTTTTCAGGTGTCCACCACAAAATCCAAACTCGTTTGTGTAAGCCGCAGTCAAATTATCGGGTTGTGAGGGATCCAGCCAAACGCATTGGCGGCTGAGACTGGACTTGAAGCTCTGCACACCAATGATAGCGAACAGAAGCCAGAAGAATACGATCAAAAAGGAGACCCTGACAAGTAGCGGGGCCGCTTTTTTCAAGCTCCTTAAAATGATCTAGTTCATTATAAACATGTTAGTCAATGAAAACCAGACATCGAAGCCGCGACAAGATATTTGAGAGTGAAAATACTGACAGCGTTTCCTTTGGTGATGCCCAAAAGTCGAACGATGCGAAGGCAGCTTAGCATACGAAAGACGTATAGATGGTACTGGTACTCTATACCAGTGATGCTGAGTACAAATGAAACCCAGAATGACACGACAGCAACGAAATCTAAGCGACTGAAGCTGTGCCTCAGAAAAGCACGCCGGGCCAGTTGCATCCGCTGCTGTTCTTCGTACGTCTCCGGCAGGGGTTGGCCTTGCATCAGTGTAAAGGACCGAGCGAAAGAAGAAGGTCCGTAAGTTTCCACGGGGGGCCGTTTCACTGACCGCTGTCGTTGGGGCTGGAAAAATGATCGGTATTGGTCGGTCACGGCGGCGCGGACGCCTTGGCGCATGCCTCGTTTTCTGTCTATGGTACTATATTCGGCAGCGTTAAAAACAAAGCCGGATACAATTATCCGAGCTATGATCTCAAGCGTGAAGACAACGAATAGGCCGAGCTTAGCCCAGTCGTATGGGGTTTTCCCCCAACGTTCAGGACGTCCATTTCCTTGAGACCAGACATCTGGGGCGGCTTCGACTGCAAGAAGAACCGCTTGCAAGACAATCAAGACTAAGATGAATGACTCGACCCAAGGAAGCATAAGAAGGTCGCAAAGCCATAATCGGAATGTGTTGTCTGCAGAAAAAATACCGAGAGACTTGCCTCTCAACGGATTCGGCATCGGGGCCCTGTAATGAGAGAGCGGGGGAGGCTGAGAGACGGCGAACTCGGATTCACCTTTTTTCTCAAGTGGAGTGCCAAAAACTTGTGGCTGATACGACGTATCGACAAGTACGGGAGATGATAAATGGTGGGTGCTTTGGGCATCTCTGCTAGGTGAACGAGACCGGTCGCGAAGGGCCTGTTGCTCAAGGGCCTCACCACCTCCACTGATGTCTACGACGCGCTGCGACATGGCCCTCACAATGGATGCTGTTTTTTGAAGTGCACCTGTTGTGGATGTAGATCTTGGCCGCCGAGTGGTATTGTCAGGTGTGAGAGAATTACCATAGCTGCGTTGCCGGCCGCCTGTGTCGTAGCCCGGTTCCAGATCATACCCGAGCATCCTTGAATCGCGGGTTTCTTCTTGGCCACCATCTGAACTGGCAACAGTCTGGAAACTATTGTGCGACTGGATGCCATCGGGTGGTACGCCAGAGGACCCAGATATTGGCTCTGCACTTGCTGTCAAAGGAACACGGTCGGAGTCGCTGCTGGGGTCAAAATGGCTGTGATCGTCGTAATAAGCAGTAGAGATTGCGGCAAACGCGTCAGCAGAAGGAGGCTCAAAGTCTCGATCAACTGAGATTGGGCCAGTTTGAAATATGTTTGGCGGAAGAGCAAATTGGAGAGCCGCAGGATCGATAGGAGACTCTGGGCTCGCTAGCTCATTGCCACGTTGCGAAGCGCCATGTGGAAGGGACTGGTGGGTAGAGAGACCTGTGTCTGCCCAGTATGTGGTGATATCGGGAAGGTGTGTCGATGTTGGGACGGTTGGTTGAACAGAGGGGCGCTGCTCATATGGCTCATATGGAGTTTGCGGGTTGGCAGAGTATGTGTCGGCAGGCGGGAGCTCTGTATCGCTCGAAACAAACGCATAGCCATCATCAAATTCACCCGGACGGCGAGCCATTTTGCACGTTTGGACGTGGGATTATAAAAGAGGTGGTGAAATCGGTGCGCCCTTAGAACAGTCCCTTGGCGGAGACACGGAAATGTCTGTTAAGCAGCGTGGTTCATGGTGACACCCGTGCGTGATATCGGACACGATGCCGCCAGCGACAGCGCCGTGTTCGGAAATCGGATATCTAACGGTGCGAAAGCTGTCTGGTCATGGGCACGGTCGTGTAGTTGGCAGGAAGAGTGAGAGACGTGAGCAGGTACGAGAGGACGTCGAGATAGATCGTTTACCGGTGTACCCAACAGGAGAAGCTCGTCCAGCGATGCAACAAGGGCCAGGTGTGAAGGGAAACAGGGCCTTCGAGGCAATCAAGTGCCATAAAAAAGGTCGTCACGACTCTTGTATTGTTATCTTCGTAACGGAAAGAAAAGGAAGGCAAAGTGACGAGGGAAGGGCAAGATCAAGGAGACAGTATGACTGGGTCCAAACAGATGGAATTTCGTTACAATGGCAAGAGCAGTCTGCCGCCGTAATGCAGCGCGTTGAAGCCAATGTTGGAGGCTGAGGGAAAGTGAAACACAGGCTCCCGGACTCGCTGCCGCAGACAAGCAACTTCAGAGCAGCGTTCACAGTAAATCCACACAGTGTTCCATTATCATCTCCTGCAGGATTCTCGAAGAAATGAGACAGTGCATTTTCATACAAACACTGTAAATATACACAAGTCATTCAGGGGCTGTTTGAAGTACCTTCATCCCTGGAAACCCTTGCTTCTACGAGCATGCAAGCATGCAGATTTAATGGTACAACCAACGTATTATGGGGTATTTTCTGCCCATGTACGACTCTGTAGGCAACTTCGCATCAGATCGTAAAAATAGATTTCAGCCGAATCGGACCCACCTAGTAGGTAGAGAGTATGTAGCATAATGGACGACACGTACGTCGTACGACATGACACCTAATCTTATCCAATTGCATATCACGTGGAGATAAGGTGCGCCAAGAAGTTATTTCTAGATTGGCTTACTTAAACGGCTGAGCGCGTCTAGGTCGCGATTTTAACAATAGTCATGGTTTAAACGCAATATCTCGTATAGACTTTAAGAAGTAGCCCCCCATCCGGGATCTTACAGACGCTGCGACTCGAACCGAACTATCTGTACGGCCTTTTTGTTTCCCATTCGTACCATCCTGATGGCCCAAATATCGGTTGTGCCCTGTTATCGTTCGTGATCTGACTGTAACAACATTCGTTCTTCTTAGGGTTACTTTTTCAACAACAACACGGCCTTTATGCAACAACGACTCGCCTCACAAAAGCGCACACCTGCTAAGCACGAACAAATTTAGTCGACATAACCCTTTAAGGCGCGGAGCTGCGATCGAATATTTTCGATGGATTCCCTCCGGAAGCGCCGACATGACGATGGGGCGGACCTTCACCCTCCCGAAGTTCTATCGACGCTTGTCCGCCTTCGTAACATGTGGCAATTTGCCAGTCTCTGCCAGTGGTTTTATATCTTTGGCGGCGTGGTCAAGCTGGACAATCTAGACATAGATGTTCGTTCTCTGAACCCTGCTCAGTCTATGGCTCGAGTCTCACTGACAACGTGAATCACTTAGGACCTGGAAGTGCAGTGCTTAAGCCCACACTCGACGGTACTGCAAGATATTGGACTTGCTCTCCTCAAATATCTTTCGTCTCATCGTGGCTTGACGTACGACCTAGCTCAATTCTCTCAATGTATCCTCATTCGCTATGGGCGATTGCTAATAGAATTGTAGTGCTGAGCTCTTCGACGAATACACCAGGCGCCAGTTTGCAACAAAGGCTCCCGAGCTGCCAAATCCCTTCGGCAACGACGAAGTTCCTGCGAGATTTGCAAGTTTTAGCATCTTTCAAAAGGTACCTTCTTACTTATCCAATGTTCTATTGTTTTTGTCAGCAGAAACGCCCCTAATATGCGTATTTTACAATAGATTCGAATACTTCACCAAATGACATCTTTCGTCATGATCAATGCAGAAAAGCTTCGCGAAAAGATGGCAGAACAAAAGGATGCCGACCAAGACCAGACAACTTGGGTAAGTTGTGAGATTGTAAAGGCACTGTCAGTTCGACATGAAGCCCGGAGGTGGAAAAGAGATTGCGCGAACTCGCACGCACGCTCAATTTGGGGCAAAGTTCTCCTCGTCCGTTAGCGTTTTATGCTAACGCATCAACTTTTGCCAGCGCATCGAGCCTTTCGGATGGGATAGAGACGACCGCGCCTACTTTGTTCTTGACGACAACCGCGTTTATCGTTTGACGGAGGCGCCCCCCGCACCTCCCAAACCAAAAAAGAACACCAAGAAGGCCAGGGCACTGGAAAGGCGCAGGGAGAAGCGGCGCCGCGTCTCTTCTACAACCCTTGGCAACGCAGCTGAGGTCGATGAAGACCGTACTGTCCCACGAGATGATCAAGAAACACACGCAACGAACGATGATATTGAAGGGGACATCAATGATGGCCTAGGTGGGATGACATGGGAGTGCGTCGCTGTGTCTTTGGACGAGCTGCGCTCACTACTGGCCTCGATCTCCAGCAAGAAGGATCCTAATGAGCGGGTTTTGCACGAAAAACTTGTCGAGCACCTCCTCCCTATTCTTGAGCAGCAAGAGGAAAGAAGGAAGAAGCGAGAGAAGGAGCACGAAAAGGCATTGCTGAACCTAGCAAAGATGGCCAATGCAAAGAGGTCAAGTCGAATTGCTGGCCGACAGGAGCAGCAAAAGCAGGAGGAGATGCTACGGGAGGAAGAACAGAAGCGACGCTTTGAGATAGAGGCGTTACGAAAACAAGAGCAAAGACAACGCAAGGCCGAAAAAGAGCGCGAGGCTCGTCTCCTATCGCGGGAGAACCGCCTTAACGAACGCGAAAATCGACGAGCGCGGCACAAATACGAATTAGCACAGCTTTCCGAGGATGGCAGGTCTGTCGACAATGCCGTAGGTCGGATATCTGAACGCAGACGGCAGGCGGAAATTGAGAAAAACAAAGAAGCGCTTAGGGACCTGGGCGATGAGTTGGAAGATGAATGGACGTTTGACTGCATTTGCGGCCTTCATGGCAAGATTGACGACGGCCAGCACAGCGTGTCCTGCGAAAAATGCAGCATTTGGCAACACAGCAGGTGCTTGGGTATTGACGAGAAAGAGGCTGAGAAAGATGATTTTCATTTTGTCTGCGATCCCTGCAAACGCAGTGCGGCCACTGTGGCGGACGGCCAGCCATTCGCCCGACCCGTTATAAGAATCAAGATCAACGCACCTGTCCCTGAGAAGCCAACCCAGCCCACCGCTCGAGCTACTGACTACCGGGTGCCTGTTGCGACACAGTCAGTACTACCAAATCCGGTGGTGCCGACCCCGGCGTCGACTCTTGGCAGCGAACTGGATAACGATGATGCCGACTTTGATGCCTATCCTCAAGAAGTTGCGCGTGCTCCTGTTCTTGCCCTCCCAGAGGCGGGCAATGGCATCGGCACGGTTCCGGGGAAGGTAGACGGTGTAACAACTCTGCCAAGATGGAGTCCCAACGGCCATTCCAGCGTGGAGTCTGGTTCCAACCCGATGCCGTGGCCAACACGAAACGAACATACAAATCCTTTTGCAGCGCCCCATCCCGGTCTCTCTCAGCCAGACCAGTCTCCGCGCAAGTCACATGCATATGGGACAATCTATGAGCAGCCTGTTCCTCCCCCTGTGCTTCCACACAGCCTACAATCACAACCGATGATAAATCTGGACCCACTCACGCCCACAGCCGCTACATCCACATGTAGAGCGCAACCGTTACCCGCTCAACTGCCTCCAACCGCCCTTGCAACCCCGCGGCTGCAACATCGACAAGAAGAGGGCCTTGTAGCTGAACCTTTAATGCAGTCTTCACCATCACTTTTACCATCGAGTGGCGGTATGTCACCAACCAAGCACTCCCGAGCAGCTTCGAGCGACCAGACTGCTGTACTCCCACGCGGTAGCCCAGTCTCAATCTCCATACCGCCGTCAGCGGCTTTGTCTCCTTCCACGCCTCAACAAATCCTTGTGCCGCCTGTCAAACCCGAGGGTCTGGCACATCGGCAATCGTTTTCAAACATTGCTACTGATCAAGCCTCACAACCACGTGCAAATTTAAGCTAGGATATTGCTCTTCTGCAGGCTGCCGGTGTGGACGTGCGTACGTTCCCAACATGTTTATGGTGTGCGAGTAATGGAAAGGCCAGCTCTCCTTAGGGGGCCCCTGGGCTCGTAATAGCTGGAAAAAATGAACGATCAAGAGGCTGGGTGAAATATTAAAACAGTCCATTCAGCGAGAGCCTAACTTCTGCCGAAATTTTGTCATCCTAGCCGTGGCTCAACTGGATGCAAATAAGGCGGAAAGCCACTAAGACGCAGGTTTCAGGTGTTGGGAAGGAGGGCCCAATTGAGATGAATATGTTTCACAGGGCGTTTCTTACGCCGAGCTGGCAAATATTAAGACTGTCAAGCAGCTGATTATGCTCGCAGCTTTTCGGGAACATGATGCGCATCTTACGAAGGACACGAAAGATAATAGAGCAACAAGAAACACATTTATACCCTTATCTTCGCCATTGTGCTCCATTTATATTCCAGGAGGTAAATCTTATCGGTTTATTCTGATCTTAGGTTTCTCTTCCATTGTTGGTGGCGGTGGGCTCGTCGTATCTATTCGCTCTCACGTGAGTGTCTGCGGGAGCAAATTTTTGCGATGTTCGTCGTTTCCCCTCGTATGTGATATGGGACACCTACTCCGAAAGCACCTGGCATTGCAGGCACGATTTACACAGGCTGCCACTTCGCCTGACATTCTCGTTGCACTGCTTTTTGGAGTCAGAAAAACCAAGGCACTTGACAGCATGTATAAGTATGTGGCTGCATCTGTGGCAGCGACGATTGCGTTGCTTTAGTCGGCGAAGCTCGTAGAAAGACATCGGGTCATCCATATCGGACCTGTGTGAATGTGCCCCGTGGTCGTCAAGCATAGGTCGGCCAAAATGAAGGATTTAGAACACATGGTGTACGCAGAGTGTTCCGGCTGCAGCTAGTTCACATTCCACATTAATTTTGTTATGATACTGCAAATATAGTGTGGTTAGTCGATATAGTATATTTTCAAAGGCTGATTTCGTATTTCCACACACTTGTCGGGAGAAGTTGCCCTGAGAATCTGGCTCAGAAATCAATTTGCGGTGATTTCCTCTTAAGTATCCATCCAGAGTGTCCCTCAACGCCGCTGCAGACAGCTTGTCAAATGAGTTTATTTTTGTGTTTGGTTTGTAGTTTATTTTTTATTTTTATTTCTTTATTTTTTGGACACCTGAAGAGGAGAGTTGGGTGTGACATTCGTAAGGGACAACGATCGACCGCCCAGAGAAGACGCCAGAAACATTAACATGCCACGCCACGCCACGCAGGAACAAAGAACAGAAAATCCGGAAATAGGGAAGGCACATAAAATGTCGCCGGGTGGGTGATCATGTGGAGCGGATTGCTAGGAATGCCGCATTTGGACGGTATAAGGTACTTAAATTCTTCCTTTATGAATGCGCGAAGCGCCTGATAGTGAAGCACTCCACCGTATATACATTACATAATGGGCGACAGGCTGCGTTTACTGTGCATTCTTTTCTGCTTGTACGACGTATGTCCGCCTGAATAGAGTACTAAAATATATTATGCACACGGTGTCGTCTTTTTTCGACGAAGGACTTGGGTGTTGATTATCTGAATTTTCCTTATTTTGCGTCAGCATCGCACCCAATGCTGTTTGACGAACAGTATCCGAGACGACGGGAAAAGAGCAAAATCAAGCATAAAGCTGAGTGTGTCAAACCGGCCCCGAAAGAAAAAAGAACTGCTGAACCAAACCATTTCCGGCGCGCACGCAAAGTATGTCCCGTTGTTGGCAGCGTCCGGGTTCGTTGTAAGACCGTGCGGTAGTCTCTGTGTATGCGCGTACGGAATAGTTTAAGGCTCCCAAAATCGATCGGAACAAGTATGTGACCTTCTTCGTATTATCGTCCAGACCTTCGCTCCACACCGCCCAAACAGGAACGTGGGTGTTGCTGATGTGTTGAAAGTCAACTAGCGCGCTGTGCACCCAGACGGGTTTTGTTAGCGCATATGGCTTGTGGGGTTGAAAGTTCGCTTTGGTGCTAGCGGCTGTTTGTTCCAAAGCCGAAAACGGTAGTTTGGCAGGGCCAGATCCCACCTCGCATTACTTGCGCATTTGCCTACTGTTGCAGCGCACGGACGCGGAGAGAGCAAAGGGGACGGCCTGGTAAGGCCAACAGCAATGGGGTTACGGAGAGAAAGATACGAGGGCGCAATGTGGGAATAGAGTCCACCACACAAAGAGACGAACAGATAAAAAAAGATGGAAGAGGTTCGAAACCGAAGGGGAAGACGAATCGACGGAGACGGAGGCAAGAAGGGGGGCAGGGGAAGCGTGCGAGGAGGGTGCGGACAAGGGACAAAGAAGGCCGGGTGGTCAGAAGTGAAAGCACGATGAAAGGGTGAAAGGGAGGGCAGGACACCAACAACGGTCACAAATGGCAAACGCTAAGATCAAGACGCAAACGCAAAAGGCAAAAGGCCAAGGCGTGGAGCGCAGGTCCCGACCAACAAGTCGAGAAACAAATGCGGGCGCCGGGAGGGATGATGAAGGTGACCCGGGGGGCGCAGGGCAAGAAGAGTGAATCAAGTCCGCTGCCTGTAGGAGCCAACAGCAACCAGCAAGGCCGCGACGATTGGTAGGACGACAGCAGAGACAAAGGCCAAAGGGCAAAAGGCTAGGCCTCAGACCAGAGGCCAGATATGAGAGACGATAGACGAGAGACAACAGACAGCAGACAACAGACAACAGGCGCGAGAGAGAAGTATCCAGGAATGTACAAATAACGGACACTTCCCGGCACATGTAAGACACACAAAGGAAACAGAAGGGAGGCAAATCGACGAACCAGATCCAGAGCACCGCAGACACTCGAAGCGAAGAACAGCAAAAGAAAGCAAGGACAGTAAACGACAAGACATCACGGCGGTAAGATGGCTCGAAGAGAGAAGGATTGCTAAAACAAACGATAACCCGCTTACTCCTGACAAGACTATCAAATCCTACATGCATGCAGGTACAGGTCTCATAAGGCAAGATATCCCCGACCAAGACATATCAGAGACATTGGCCTTCAGAAACAGCAGAGAAATCACAGACAACAGAAACATCAGGAGACACCAGCGAAACCAGCGACACCAGCGACACCAGCTACGGCAGTCACCTGGCACCAAATCATCACCACCAAACCGCTGCCTTCAGTGGCATCTGGCCCGGTCCCCACCAACAACATCCCGCAAGCAAAAGCTACAGTCACTAGCTGCTGCCGCTAAAGAGACACCTCGCTGGCAAGCTACGCCCAGGCCTCACTCATCTTCAGAAGAAGACTAACAGACGGAGTTACTTCCACGCTGTACTCACGGCAGACCGTCGGTGTGAGGACAAGCTTCCGGGGACAGTGGCGAATTGGGCGTCGAAAGTGGCCCATCTGACAGATACAAAAAAACGGCTCGCCGTGCAAACCAGGAACAAGACTAGGTGAGACTGCAAACAGCCGCCGCAGACGGCCGCCGCACCAGACGAGGTGCAAGCGCCACAACGGCCTTCTTCCAGCCTTTATTTTTGTTATTCATTTCCTCGTCATTTTACTGCAGCCGCCTTGACCGGGCATTTCGTCTCTGTCATCTCATCCGGAAGTAGACGAACTCTGATCTTGTCGATTCACGCTAGGTCCGGATCCGGATCCGGAAGGCCGCAGCCAAGCCATCTAGGCACCCCCCCCCCCCCCTCCCTTTCCTCCCCTTCCACACGCCCTCAACTCAGGACAATTGGAGCGTCAAGAGAATCAACAGCACCAGCGGTCAAAGTTATAGGGTGACCCAAATAATAAAATCTGTGGTTCCCAAATTTAAGAACCTCACCAAGAGCCTTACGACAACGACCTATCCCCAGCGACCTAGCCAGACAGAAACACGAGAAATCAGGCCCCAAAGCAGGAAACGGCGAAGAAAGACTCTCAGTCAGTACGTACAGCGGGCCGGCACCAATCACAGCCGGAAACTGTTCCCTCGCCTCTTTCCAAGCACGCCTCGGGACTACCCTCAACTATCATTAACACCGCCGGCCGTCTTCGTTCGCTTTCGTTCGCCGTTGAATACATCCGTTTGTCAGTCTGGCCGCCTGGCAGAAGACTATCCTACCGCTGTTGCGACTGCACTCAGTCGGAGCTTTCTCCGTTGTCGCTGTTTTCCTTTTCCGTCTGCACATACTCCACACATTGCCATTTTGATATCATTCATCTTCCAATCTTTCCGCCACCCCCCCCCCCCCTTCCCCCGCGGCGCCCCCAGTGCCTTTCGCAGCTATCCATCCTCGTGTCTCTTGGAGTGACACGAGCAGGTAGAGACACGAGCAGGTTTCTCCCTTTCCTCTACGTCCTCTTTGGCCTTCGCTCTCGCTCTTCTTACCCAGTCTTCTTCTCTATCTCCATTTCATTACATGCCACCTTCATTTACACGATCTAGGGTGCACGCTCTCGCTCAATGGACCGTATCATACCGCCGTCTCCTACCCCCTCTGTGCGCGAACACTCCCCCGCTATCTTCGATCAACATCTCCAGCACCACAGCATCGCATCACAGCGTCGCTGTCCTGGTACGCCATCCGAGGTTGTCCAGATCATTCCTCGTTCTGCTTCTAAGTACCAGACACCGGAGCCCCGGCACGTACGCCAGTACGCCAGCCCGAGCATGGCATATACACAACCCCATCAGGGGATAACATTCCATTACCCAGCCCTTCATACCGGCGAAGACGCCCCTGCCTATGAGACGACGCATTCAGCATCGACACCTCAAGTAAGTCGGGGCCGCTGCTTGTGGTGCAAAGAAAGCGCCGTTCGCCGGGGTATGCTACATTGATTCACTAACTTACACCTCTGTAGGTATACAACCTAAATACACCCGAAGCGTCTCCGCCAGCCGCGCCGCAACACATCTCCGGGAGTCCCGGTATATCCAACATGGCCACACCGCAAAGGGCAACACAAGGAATGAAAGTTCTTTCCGTAAAGACGGGCCGCGTAACAAAGAACTCGACACCCAGGAAGAAGGCGCCGTCTCTGTCTGCCTCTCCTCCATTAAAGCGAAAGGAGAAGTCCACCAAAGCAACCAGCGAAGAAGCCAGCACAATCGACCAACCACTCAGCATCCTCACCAAGGAGTGGGATATGCCGATCGTTGACATTGAGGCCTACGTCCATAGGTCTGCAGATGAGCGGCATGAAGAGGTCGAGCACGGCAAAGAGCCTGGAAAGGTCAAACGTGCCATGAACGCCTTTATGTTGTATAGAAAGGCTTACCAAAACCGAGCCAAAAAATGGGCACATCAGTCCAAGCACCAGATCGTCTCCAAGGTGTGTGCTCAAAGTTGGTTCATCGAACCAGACAACGTCCGCCAGCAGTTCAACAAATGGGCCGTGATCGAGCGGGACAATCATCGCAAAGCTCATCCGGAGTACAAATTTACACCATCAAAGCCTCGGAAGAAGGGCAAGGATGAGTTTGGCGAAGATTCGGGTGTTGATGATGACTGGGAAGCCTCGGGTCACCGGGATCCGAAGCATCGGTCAACCAGCAGGACTCCTATAATGGACCCGCACGGTGGGCCGTACGGACCCCCATATTCCACAGTGGCTGTTCCCGACGCACAATCATACGGCGCGTATCACCATAGACATCCGCAACAATTGGCGAACCCGGCAAGACACACCCCCACGCCATACGACACGGAGGACTATCACGTGGCTGGGCCGGGAATACACTATCGCCATATTCCTACAGGCCATCACCATCAGCTCGAGAACATGGTGTACACAAACACAGCACAGCAAAGCATGGGCGTGGGCTTAGGCCCTGCTCAACATTCGACAGGATACCAATCCTTTGAATACAACGCACAATACGCTTCACAAGCCCCGGTTGCTGCACACCACCACCGCTCCCATGGACACCCTGCCGGTGGCGTAGGGCAACAGATCGATCCTTCGCTTATGTCCAGGGATGGTATCCCTCAGTACGACCTATCTAACCCCGTTCTCACAACTGGGGGGCTGGGTGAATCCCAGTGGCAGCCAACCCTCCACACCGGAGCAGACACAAATGAGATATATGCCGGCCCGTATCTTGCCGAGGTGGAGGAGACTCTGATCCCAGATAACCATCTTCAGTATCTTCAGGGCGATAACGAAAGCTGGAAAGTTGATTCTGTTAATGAGGCCGGTAATTGGCATGGTTTGGGTGGGGCTTAACGGAGCATCTTTTATCGCGTTTGAAACCCTGTCGACACTACGACCCTTAGGTGAGTGAATGCAGCGATTATAACCTGCGATGGTTACTCGTGTGTGTGTTATAACGCTGTTACCAGTGGGGTTTTCTTATCCCTTTTTTATTTTCCCCTTTCCCCCATTTTCGCTTTGGGTGCTTTGCGGGCTTTGGCAATTGGAGTTGGTTTAAATTTAAATTGATTTTATCTTTGTGGGTTTGGCTTTTTTATTTTACGCGTTATTGAACTACACTTGGGGACTCTTGTTTATTTTCTCGGCCATATGTTTTGTATTTTTATATTTTTCTTACTCCTTGGCCAGATGGTTGTTTCACATCCGCATTGTCATTGCATCGCACGCGAGTTGCCGGCAGTCGAGTTTGCTCATTGGTTGCCTTGCAAATTCTGGCCAGTAGCCTAGATATTAACAGGTTTACACTTCCAACATTTCTCATAAACGTCAAAGCTGCAATAGCTGTTTTCGCTTTATTCGTTTCCTGCTTGTTTTATATAATGTTTGTTCTATCTTTCCTGTGCCTCTTGCACATTGTGGGATGTAAATACTAGCAGTTTGTCAATCGCTTTCCTGACCTGCGATGTACAAAGACATGTGTAGAAATAGTTCTGGCCGCAAGACAACTAGCAGGGACGCATGCACGACATACCTGTACTCCGTAGGCAGTGTGATGATATATTGTCGAGTTTGGACTTAAAAAGAAAGTTGAACGTGGGGTGGGTGTAAGTCATGCAGAGGATCGCTTAGCTGCAAAATATGCAATTAAAGAAAGTTTGTCAGTCTAGTTTACGAGTTAGGTACACCTGGTTGTACCTTCCCCTGATTTTCCGAACCTACAAATCAAGCTCGAAATACTCGCCACGACGCACATCTAGTCCTCTACGACCCAACAATAATTCCCCCAAATACCAATCGAACCTCTACTCTGAAATCACTTATTCTATCTATCTATCTATTTATCCATCTATCTATATATGTATATATATATATATACATATATATAGCTAGGAAATGAGTTGGGTTTCGAAAGTAACGACGGCCTTTGGCCTCGTCCTCCTCGCCCATTCGTAAGAGCCCTGAAATGTGTCCAGGATCGCCCGAAACCACAACGGCACCCACTGACCTCTGTATCTCAATACACACTCCCAGATGCTACTCCGCACAAGAATTCTCCTCTCTCCAAACCTTTCGATCTACGGGACTTTCACAACCGGCCACGACCTCTCTGCCCATCGACATCGCCATCGAAACTATCACGGCATTGCTCATTGCAAGTCTTGGCCTCGTGCTGGGAACACAGCAGCTCAAGCCAATCCAGTGGCATGTGTGGGCCGGGAAGATCGAGCGCGAGGGGACGAAAGGGACGAATAGCGCCGACGTGGATGCGAATAAGGACTATGTCGGAAATCCGTTCCGATTCTTGGAGACAAGACCTGGCTTTGCCGACATTCGACGCCAAAGAAAGACGTTTGGAGACTGGGTAAGAGACGGCGGGGATGGGAAGTAGACTTTGAAGCCGGTTATGCCGGGAAGGACGGCGTATAAGAGAGAGAGTGAAAGACTATGATATGGACCGAAGCCCAAGTAGGAGGAAACAAGTCAGCACCAGGCCGGGATGCCTTACCACAGACCTTTTATACTAGATCAAACTACAAACGCTAGAATTATGCCGCCACCCTGTCCAACTAGATTAACTGGTACTTCCAGATGTGTGCCGTCCTTCTGTCCGCTGCTTCACGCCTATATATAGACCTGGGTTGAGCATTGCTGAACTTGTATTAGAGCAGAGAGCAAGGGATTGTACTTGGAGCACATTGATTTTGGATCGAAGAGGTGCAATACCAGACTGCTCGTTGGCCTTTACGGCAGCGGTATGATGCTGCCAAACAGTGATACTGGATATATGTGAATCGTGGGACCAGTCGCACCTTCCTTGCCAACGAGAATCTGCAGTAGCCGGCGTTGGTTCTTTCGCCTCGTAAAAAATATGAGACTTATTTAAGGCTCTATGGCCCCTCGACGACCGTCCAGCCCCTTTCCCGTCTCCCTCTTGGGTCCGTGTTGCCTCTCAAACCCAACTGTCGTCTCTTGTCGCCTATTCTTGTGGTCTACAGCAACCACCTGCCGCCGACCCCTCTGTGAGCTTCGAAATACCATGGTTTCAAACAGGAGCTGGGCAAGAACCCCACCTGTTGTACCTACACGGTGGCAGACGACTCACCGGGTTCGGGTTCCCCGATTTGCAAGATCTTCGAGGTCAATTGGCCCGCCGGGTTTCTCTCCGGCCGCCACGCGGCATGACACGGCGGCTCACCCTGATATCCTCAATGAGATTCTGCATACTGTTGGTAGCAGCACTCTTGACGACCCCTCACAACTAAACGGTAATATCGACAGTGATACTTGTCCTGCAGCTCACGACGGCCCTGATGCTGCTGGCACCTGGGAGACCGAGCCCGGTGGGGTTTACATGGCGTTGGAAATGAAAGTTAACGGAACGGTCGGTTGCGCATACTACGTTTCTGATACGGCAACGGTGTATCTTCAAGACGACACGCGGGTTGTCGGACTCGAGCTAGTTGAATCGCTGCTTTTTCAAGTCCGACCTACCAGCATCATCGTCCCAAGCCGCGCTCAGGGTGCGTTGGTAGACCTCCTTGATCATCTCGCCGGTGACAACACCGACACTGGCTTGGGTGAAGACGCGGAGCGTGGTTTTAAACTACGCTCCGTTGTGTCATCCGACTTCAACCCAGGGCTTGGAAGGCAGCTTCTGGCACACCTGGATGATGCCAAACGTTTCAAAGCGGGCTCGGCCCATTTCACATCCGCTGTGGAAGACGTAGAGGGGAATGACAGCCGCGATGCTGTTCCTGCGCACCTCAGAGACGGTAGAAACACGCGGAATAAACTTATCCACCTAGGTACATTCATTAATTTGGATGGCCAGGTTTCCGTAAGTAGACAAGGTCGACAGTTTTGCACTGATATACTGGCCGGCTCTGCGGCTTCCTTAAGAATTGTAACTAATATATGGTCGTCTGCTGTAGCTAGGTTGCGCGAGTGCGTTAATCCGCGACCTCGAAAGAAGGCAAGCTACCACAATAGGCTTACACGCGAAGCAAATTCATATTCGATCTGTTCTGACAGTAACATACGATGACTACATGTTTGTTACAGCTGAGGCCTTGCTATCGCTACAGATTTTTCGCCCAGATCTACGATACGCCACTAGAACGGGCGCAGCGATGAGTAACAACGGCAGCATGGCTGGTACATTACGTGGCAAACGCTCCGTCTTCGACATGTTCTGTTCCCTGACCATCACTTCGCAAGGACGTTGCACACTGCGCGAAATGTTTGTTCATCCGAGCACAGACCTTGCACTCATCAATGCGCGCCAGCAGTCTATCTCAAACCTCCTAGACTCGAAAGGCCAAGAATCAGTAGGAGTTATCCGTGCGGCACTGAAAAAGGCCAAGAACATTCTGCCCATCCTGGCCCACCTTCGAAGAGGACTTTACTTTTCTGGACACTTCTCCTTGATCAAGGAAAGTACCTGGGCGAACCTCCAAGACTTTTGCTCTGCTATTTTGCAGATCTTACTTGTGGGATACAAAATTTGCACCGTCTTTGACAAGGTACGCCTTGGCAGTGAACGCTCTTTGCGGATTGGAAGGCCGGTATGTTTTTGTTTCTGAGCTGACAACACCGAAACGTGAAGGCTCTAGGTGAAATCGACTCCGAGGCAATTTTTCAAATTCAAGAGAAGCTGGCTACGACGATCGAATTTCAAAAGTCGAGATCTTGTGGTCGTAGTGTCGTTGCTCGAGGAGTCAGCCCTGAGCTCGATGCACTCGGGTCCACGTATAGCAGTCTTCAGGTTCGTCTCGAAGAGATTTGCCAAGAGCACAAAGCCAGGCTGAGAAGCAGCGCTCAAGATGATATCGTGGGGTGGATTTTTCACCCTCGAAAGGGATATCTCCTCGTCGCATCTGCCATCATCCGTGATCACGGTGATAACAGCAGTGACAGTAAACCTGCCTTGGACGACGATCTTGGGTTTGGCTCCTGGGAAGAAATATTGCGAGACGACGGACTTTTGTACTTCAAGACTCCCAGCTTGTGTGATGTAGACAAGGAGTTTGGAGATCTAGCCGGACGGATGCTTGGTAAGCACAACGAACGGCTCTGTGCTTTCTCCTATCCCAGTCTCTTTTATTATGCCAAGAAATCGAGTGCATTGCTAACGTATACCAGATCTTGAAGTGGAAGTGCTCCACTGTCTCGGATCTGAGATTTTGAAAAGGGAAGAAGCGCTGATTTGTGCATCCAACGCCATTGGGCACATCGACAGCATTCTTGCTCTTTCCAATGGAGCGAAATCGTTCCAACTTGTTCGCCCGCAAATGACCGAAGAAAATGTCCTATACATTCGGAAAGGTCGTCAATTATGGCAAGAGACGGACCGAGCAAGTTTTGTGGTGAATGACTGCCAGCTGTCAGGTGGCTCGGGCGATCCCGCGGAAGACATGGATTGCGATTGCTCACCTATTCAAGACACAGACAACAGCACTCCAAGTACTGTTGTATTGACAGGGCCCAACAATTCTGGAAAAAGCGTCTATCTAAGGCAGGTCGCGACGATTCTGTTTCTTGCACACGTTGGAAGCTATGTACCAGCGGAAGAGGCCGTTGTCGGCATCACAGATAAGATTCTAACCAGAATTGTCACACGGGAGAGTGTTTCGCGTAATGAAAGTACGTTCGGAGTCGATCTACGGCAAGCTGCATTTTCTATCAATGCTGCGACGCGGAAAAGTCTTATTCTTATGGACGAATTTGGAAAAGGCACGGCCACGGTTGACGGCGCGGCGTTGTTCGATGCGCTGCTTGACCACTTTCTCCGCATTGGGCAAAACGAAGCCCCAAAGGTACTTGCCGCAACACATTTCCACGAAATATTCAAGCGCCGAGGATTCAAACAGCACCCACGTCTAGGACTGTTCTATATGAGCGTGGCAGTAAGACCAATCGCCTCGAAGCCCGAAGAAAAGGTGAAGTTTCTTCACATACTTAGGGAAGGAAGAAGCACGGAGAGTTTTGGTTGCCACTGTGCGGCCATAAGCGGTGTCACGCCTACTGTCGTTGAAAGGGCCAGCCAAATCGCAACGTTGCTTGGACAAGGCGGTAGCCTTTCGAAAGTTTCCTTGCTGTCCCAAGTGGAGGGGTTTGAAAAGATGAAGGGCAACGAATACTGTGCACGCCGCTTTGTTGTGGGAATGGCGAAAGCAGTAAATTCAAGTACCGATTTACGAGCTCCGCGTGAGCTACTCCGGTATGTCTTAAATGGGAATATGTGAAGCTTGCCTGAATTCAAGGGAAACGCAATAGCGGACGAAGCTTGACGTCCAGTAAATGCATCTCGGAATATGTGTTACTCGTTGCAGCCCCATGGACCAAAGCCACAGCTTAGAGGGTCAGCGTGCAAGGAAACGACTGCACTTGCGTTTCCAAATTTAATCATGGGGCCAGTTTCGAAAACGAAATATATGTCTGTGGCATGGATTACGATGTGAATGACAAGACACCAGGGAGCTTGCGGATAGACCATGAAGAGGGATGCAATGCAAAGAGCCAGTGTTCCATTAATGGATACATTGATAATATATGTGTATGCTCGCTCTCCCCAGGAAGATTGGGTGTACGCATACCTCGTACGTCATAGTGGGTGGGCAAGTCGAGGTTTCTTGTTATTATTGCCACCACGTAGTGGGTATATGTTTGAAGCCCATGCATGAGACAAGTCCACGTAATTCGACGAGGCATTGTCGACAAATCATCCCAGCATCTCATCAGCCTTTTCTTAGCAACACTGTCTACAAAACACACACAGTCATCGATAAAATAGGTTTACGGTCCAGTTTGCACATGGGTCTAAATATTGGAGAATTGGTAATAACAGAGCGTGCGTTATCATACACCTATCGTTTCAACTGGATGGCGAAATATTTTCGGCCTGCAGCCTGCGACCCAATGCGCTCGTTGCACAAAGTGGCCTTCCAGCAGCTGAGATGTATACCGATATATATGACTCCTCATACGCTAACACTCGATTTTGAAACGAGTGTAGAGCAAGTACATCCTTTTCTGACCGGGAATGTCCAGTCGTAAGAATATCCGAGTAGGTTGTACGATTTACTAGGTACCATATTTAGCAACCCGATTCAGGGTTTATCACAGATTGAATTTTTTACAGTTCTTGATACTCGTGGTCGTGGCCGATTATCACGGTACCGGACCGAAGTCTAGGCGATAGGTTTTTTTTAGACATGCCATCTAAGAAGCTGCGTAGACAGAATGCATGACAAAGGAGCGTTCTCCAGCAAGGACATCATTCGGTGTGTGGGCTTTTGGTGGCAGAAAATGAAGCCTAACCGCAGTATCAACGCAACGGGTTGCCTTCGGTGAGAGAGTTTTTGAGACCAAGCATCTCCATGGCTTCGTTGAAGTATAAATGGAGGAGCTCGTCCTCAGAAAACGACCTTTTGGTTGCTTCTCATCAGACTTTTATATATATTCCCCATCGTCACCGACCACCTCATTTCTTACCGACGCAAAGTCAGAAGACAACAAGGTGGTAGACTGTTTCTCATCCCAAGCGAAACGCCCCGGCACCTCTTCGCCTAATATCGTCTGCAAGAATCTACTCGGTCTGGCACCGCTTGTCCGCCACCGCTGACAAAATGAAGCTCTCTTCAATTGCCCTCCTCGCGCTCGCGACGGCTGTTGTTGCTCAGGTATGCCGCCCCGTGTTCCGAAATGTAGAAGCAGCCGCAGCGGATTCGCCTGACACTGATTGCCACAGGAGTCGAGCTCTACAACGACCAAAACCAAGACCACGGACGCGTCGACTAAGACTGGCAAGAATTCCAGAGGTACGACAACCGCGGCCGCAAACAATGCCACCGATCCCGTGGCTGGCGGCTCAGACTCCGGGAAGGGCAACTCGACGGCGACCACGACCGCACCTGGCGGCGGCAAGAAAACCGCTACGACCAGCCAGGCCAGTGCCACATCATCTGCATCGGGAACGGGCACTGTCTCGGTCAATGGCGGCGATGGCTTGTTCAGTCCTGGGATGGGAAGCGTCCTCACAATCGCTGGTCTCGGGGTCACATTCACTCTATTTATGTGAGGCGAGCGACTTTGCGACCAACTGGATTGCTGGCGGATGGTGACTGCGTCATTTGTACATACAGAGCGGAATCTACGCACTGCGATGAGTAAATTAGGAGCAATGATGATTAGTTAGACTGGTTCAAGTTTGCTTCAGATAGGTGCAGCGCCTGCAGTGGACAATACGCTGTCGCCTACACTAATACGACGACGGCTCGCTATAAAACATACAAAGTTCGTCGACCACCAGTATGGGACAAAACAATACGGGGCTGCGTTAATCGCAAATGTAGACTCGGGGGAGCAAGCATTGATGCATAAAAAAAAAAAAACCGTACGAAACCGATGGGGCAATCAAAATATATGGTATACTGGACTACTCCACTTGCCTGCGAGAACGTGTCGAAATTAATTATGTTGTATGTTGTACACACTAGCACAAAATTACGTGCTCCTGTCCTGTGGGGACCCCCGCTACTTCGTTAAACAACTCTTGCGAACTTCGGCCAAATACCAGTAACCTGATAGTCGCGCCCAATTAGAATTTCCTTCATGTTTGCCGTCGTGGTCTTTATTCTAGCTCTGACGACCATCTATACCCGGCTCACCCCAGCACTCGACTCCGACGTCCTTGGAAATACACCATAGACACCTGCTACAATGGCTACGTACGTGACGATCCGCACATATGCAAAGGAAGGAAAGAGGCAGAATATCCAATCTTTGGCCGGTAGCGGAGGGGTATCAACTCGGAAAGCTGTCAGACGAAGATGGGCAATTCTCTCAGCAGCAAGGCAGGAGACAGAAAATAAAAAGAAACACGTGGCTGACAGATAGCACAAGAAACATCACCTGGCACACCGGCCTCACTCGCCAAGAGCGCAACCAGGCTCGGGGCCAAAAGGGCTACACCATCTGGTTCACTGGCCTGTCGGCCTCCGGGAAGTCTACCGTGGCCACGGCCCTCGAGCAGCACCTCTTGCACCTGGGTGTGGCTGCCTACCGCCTCGATGGTGACAACGTCCGCTTTGGTCTCAATAAGGATCTCGGCTTCTCCGAGAAGGACCGCAACGAGAACATCCGCCGCATCGCCGAGGTCGCCAAGCTATTTGCCGACTCGTCGACTGTCGCCATCACATCCTTCATCTCTCCCTACCGCGCAGACCGCCAGCTAGCTCGCGAGCTGCATACGCAGTCTGGCCAGGCCGGCAACGCTCCCCTAGAGTTCATCGAGGTTTATGTCGACATCCCGATCGAGGTCGCAGAGCAGCGGGACCCCAAGGGCCTGTACAAGAAGGCCCGCGCTGGCGAAATCAAGGAGTTCACCGGCATTTCAGCACCATACGAGGCTCCCCTGGAAGCTGAGATCACCATCAAGACGCACGAAAACACCGTCGAAGAGTGCGTCGCACAGATCGTGGAGTACCTGAAGAGCAAGAGCCTCCTGTTTATTCCGACTGCGTCTGCATAATCTTCGTGGCCCAAGCAGGGATGAATTGTGACAGAGAACGCCAAAATATAATTGGGCTACCAGGCTCACCCTATCCCAAAGTTTCAGATTGCCAACTGTGTTGATTGGATAAAATATAATAAAACACTGGCAGTAAACGGGGTTGACAAGACGGAAAGAACATGGAGAAGCGATGGGCGATGTACAAAATTTCAGGATAAAATAGAGAAAGGCAAATGCCCATTGAAGGGGAAGAACGTCGCTTTGCCCGTTCCTCTACTACAACGAACTACAACGAGGTGGCATGCATGGCGGTTGTACCCTTTTACATCTCGGTTCGGTCCGTCTCCATATTCAGGGGAATTCGAACTCATAGTACACGTACGCCATGTACTCGTTGCCATCAGCTAGCCCGACACCAGCAGCTGCCATATCAGAAGACAGCGACGCGTCGTCCTTAGTGATTTTGCCCTTCTTGTCCCTACCAAATGCATTGCCGCCGAGATATGAGTATGCTGAATCCAGCGATGTCTTGAGCTTTTGCGCAGACTTGGGTGATGTCTGTATTTTGTGAAGCAGAATGTATCATTAGCGGCATGGTTCTCTCCAATATCTAGTAGCGGGAGAAGAGGGAACAATAGAAAACAACGGCAAGAGGAAACTATTGGCTTCTTTTGGTCCTGGATTACATCTCACCTTGATTAGAACGCTCACGTAGTCGAGCGGTAGGCCGTACCGTAGAACTGTCTCGACAAACACACGGAGCGTGAGCGCATGCATCCAGATCATGACGCTTTCGCTCCAACTCGTACGCGCCAGCCATAAAGCTTCGCCCCAGACTTTCTTTTCTTCACGAGTGACACGGTCCAGCTCGCGCTGCTCTTCTTCCTTGCCGCCCTCAACGTATTTGTACTGGCGCGGTGTCCACTTATGTTCACGGCACTTCTGCAGGAACTCAGCACTGTGCTTCTTGAATGTTGTCACGCCAAACAGCGCAAACTCGTCGTCTTCGGCAAGCTGGTTCGCGGACCGGGGAACCACCATCGGAGCGAGCGTCTCATATTCGCGGAGGAACTCTTTTCGAGAGCCGGTCGGGACAACAACAAGATGCGTTTCAAGGTATTCCGAGTCTTGGACTAAAAGCGAGGGTTTAATGAGAGGGGTCAGGGACTTCGTGGCAAGGTTTCCACTAGGTTGATATTAGTCCAGGTTTGTCATATCATTTGCCCCTAGAACAATAAGGAGAAACGCAACGGGGGAGGGGGGATAAGAACACCATACGTTTGCTTTCTTTGCAAAGTAGCCAGGTTGGACTTCACCGAGTTGTACTGGGTGAACTTGCCCTTGACATCATTGTCGATGTTGACGAGCTCCTATACAAGCCACTCATTAGCCGCCTATAAAGCTTATAAACGTCGGAATGTCGAGATTGTTCAGCTCAAAACGTTATAACAAGTTTCTAGGAAGACATACCTTTTGCAATGTGTCGATGATATCGCCGAGCGGGCGATCTATCCGGTACCGCACGTTGTTCCAGGAGAAGTTTTGTAAGTAATGCTCAGTAGGCTCTAGCAGTCCAGTTAGCAAATTACGACTGTGACACCTGGTGGCGCAATTGGAAACAGAACTGGACAAAGCCTATTTTCTCCTTACTGTCATTGACGATCTTGTGCTGCGTGAGTTTCTCTTCGTCGTTGTCGAGAATCGTTCTTAAGGAGTCCGCCACCCGAGACGCCACACCCTCGCAACCAGCGTCGAGCTTTGCAAGGTCATCTGCCTGCTGGACCAAGGCATCTAGTGTACCAATTTTGAACTCAGGAATGAGGAAGGGTTGGACAGCGCCATTTTCGGGGCTCACGGTGGTACGAAGAGAGGCGACGGCCCCCTCTCGATCACCGGAATCGAAGATGCGGAGGGGAAGAGACACGATGGCGTATTTTGCGGGGTTCGGCATAGTCCCGAGAGGTGCGATAGCTGTGCAGAATTGTGGTTGAAAATGCGATGCGTATACAGTGCACCTGTACAGGAAGTTTCAGCCAGCAAATGCCCCGTAGATATGCTGCCCGCGAATGTCGACGATGGATGCTGATTGCAGATGTGTGAGAGAGTGTGTGGCTATTACCCGCTGCCAGTGCCAATCAATGCCACTCACTCCAGGGTTCCGACTGACAAGGGAACAGAACAGGCAGCTGGCACAAAAACAATTCGAGCGCAGAGATATGAGGTATCCGGTATTTTGCTGTCCAACGTGTTGTCAGGACATGGGCGAGTGGTTGTAGCTTAATGGGAAACGATGGACAAGAGGGGAGATGAGGCAGAATGCGTAAAATTCAAGCTCCTTGGTCAGTGTGGCCGAAGAGCACCAATGGTGGGGGGATATCAGATACCGAAGATTAACGAAAAGGCACCTTGTCGATACGTCGTTTAACAGCTTATTGACAGCACAGCTGGTGACAGCTGGCAGAACTGTGTGGGATGATAAGACGCTAGGCCAGGACCTCGCAAATCGAGCGGTGTGCCGTGCTAGCTAGGCTGTGCATTTCAGCACAAGAAAACCGGTCGTTGCACTGACAGTGATCTGACCGCGATGTGCTGTGCGCTAGTGGGGCAGCTAGGCTCAAGCGTCACCAGGTACCTGGTACCTGCTGGCTTGACATGAACAGAGCCCGAAGCCTAGTTGCCCTGGCTGCGCATGTCATAAAATTATCGCATAAGTGTGTACCGAGTACTTGCAAAAGCTGTCCAGAAGAACCCAACACGGACGTCAAATGGTGTTTCCTGCCTCACTTTTCGACATCGTCCGGTGCTTCGTCTCATTTCTTTTCTGAACACGCCTTGCTCCCACCGCGCAAACGTGCGGCAACGACCGCCGCTGTAACGCCTCTTCTCTTTTTTTTTTCTGTCAGCTCGGCGCTTGATACTGGCTGCTGGCACCTGTCGTCGTTGTCGTCGCACACTCGGGCCTGTTACAGCTTCAAATCAATCGGTAAAATCATTTGAGAGCACCATTGTCGTTGCAATCCCGTTTGCAATCCCGTGACCGCGTCCTGTTTTGGCTCTTCATCGCTCCTGTTGGGTGCTTCATATCCTCCGCCTCCTTTCCTCGTCGAACTTTGTCCTCTACCTAATCTTCGACTTCACCGTCGCGACTTCTTCACTTCGGCTCGGCTTGCCCGCATCGCCTGTTTCGGACCTCTTCGCCAACCCCGAGTAATTTACTGAGCAATACTACGGATACTCTTGGTAGCTCTCTTTGCTGCCCGCTCGTACCGACTTTCTGCCATCCTTCTTCTCTCCACGATTGTTGGTGTTGTCGCACTCTCGCTCACACACCCGACTGTTTCTACCTCAGCCCTCGTCGACACCTCCAAAGCCAGCAATACACCACCTACGCGCCAAAAGCAGGCGTTTGTAAAGTTTAGACAAAAGTCTGAACCTCAAAGGCGTTTATACACTGACTTTCTCGTCAAACACGTGAAGCACAAGAGTATATTACACTTGGCCAACCTCGTCTTTCCACTCTCCTTCTTTTACGCGATACCCTTTGACACACATCGAAATTGTATACCTCCGTTTAATCGTCGCAGTGAGGAGCAATCTGCTCGTGCCTTCTGCCGGACCGGTCGAGACCTGGTCCGCCCCCCGTGCCTTGTCATCTCCTCTGTACCATCGATCACATATGCTATAGTCGACCTGTCTTCGCCAAGCCAGTTCTGAGGGGGCGACTATGCGACTGTTTTACGGGATTTGACGGATCTCCTGCTTTGCTGCTGCGGAGCCGGTGGCCGCACCGGCAAGTTGCCGTTGCGCCACAGCAGTGTACGTTGGAGCCAAGAAGCCCATTGTTGAGGAAGTGTATACCACTGCCGTTTGCTAGTGTTAGGCGCTGCGAATGTCAATGTCGCCTACATCTTAGGCGGCTCTCAGATAACAGCACGGAACGAGACGTATCACAGGAGGCCCAGTCGCGGTGACTCTGATGGCCGATATGTCGTCTCTCCAACCGGTTGTGGGGCTCCCTCCACTGTCAGCCATCGCCGCTGTTGACCCTAACCCGGCGCCTGCTTCCAGCTCCATTGTTGGCAACGTTGCGTCGGTTAGCTCATCCTCAACCATTGAGTACCGAGATGCACGCATCAAAGATCCAATACCCAAGAAGCTGAAGGGCCACAAGGGCAGTCTCAGTGGCAACTTTGGCATAATACAATTGGAATTGGGTAGCCATGAGTCGTCACTTGAACGTGATGAACTTGCCAAACGTGCAAGCGAAAGCACGGAACTGGCTGCCATGCGTGCCTACCAGAGCAACCACGGCACGTCCTCTACTTCCTCTACGAAGCGCTTTGTCCGTGTACCGGATGATCCTGGCGCCTGGGATTCGTATTATGCCCCAACAGCCCAAACTTCTGGTCAACCGGCATCTCCGGCGTCAGTACCTCAACCACTCATGCCGGCAGACATAAAGAGCGAACAGACTCGCCTTTTGACCCTACTCCGGGATCTTTCTCCTGCTTCGGTCGTGGATCAGATTTGCAAGGCACTTTCTTACTTTGGGGGAACACCTGGTGCAGCGCCACCCTCTGACGGTATTTTCCCTGGAAGTGAACTTGCAAACGGCCCTGGGAGCGCCTTTGTCGGTTGGATAGCCGAGATCTTTCCCAAGTTAGCCAACGAGGCGTCTACCACCTCAAAATCCTTACGGAAGCCCCATCCTTCTGGCCTTTCTGCACTCGCACCTGGTAACTTGGCCGAGACAGTCTCCGGCGCCGTTGCAGCCTCTTCCGCCGGGCTCAAGCCCAATACAAATCCTACCACGTCAACTGATACGACCCATATTGTTCACCAAGCCACTATCATCGACGGCACCACTCCCTCCACAGAGAAAAGGCGGAGGGGAAGACCCAAGGGAAGCAAAGCTACCAAAGCGCGACGTGACAAGGGCATAAAAAAAGGGCCAGTCAAAGATCGGAAAGCTTTGGCGGCCGCCGCCGCTGCCGCTTCGGTTTCCTCGAAGGCACTGTCTACGGCCCAGGATCCCCGCCTCGACCTTCAGACGACTTCGATAGCCAATGAGAATCACGGGGATGACAGCTGGGTTGACGTTGACGATGACAACATCCTAGATGTTCCCACTTCCGTGGGGAATGGCTTGTTTTTTTCAACAGATACGAATGCTAGCCTTCCTGCAGACTCGCATCTCAGCTCAGAACTAGGGATGAGGCAGGCTTCGGATGTGAGACAGGATGCTGCCAAGATCGTTGATTCTTTTACTGCACCAGGCTCTCTTAAGGAAACAGGAAAGAAGAGAGGAAGGCCAAAAGGCTCGAAAAATCGCCCCAAGGCACCGGCGACGGACACAACGAACGAAACGCCAAGCGCAAGTGGTCCTGCCACCGTCACCCCAATCCCGCCCCCGGTAGTGCCCGGCGCCCCAGTTACTTCGAAATTGCCAAAAGCGAAGAAGCAGAACGCTTCCGCTGCAAAATCCCCGACGCTTCTCACACAGACTGTGCATACCGGGGCAAGCAATAGCCATGAAATAAATATAGAACCTCAACAGCTGCAAGGAACTTACGACCTCCAGAGCGCCGCGGCGGATGTCCATCACATGACGTTGGCACCAAGCGACACGCTTACTTCGGCAGTGAACAAGAGAAAAAGAGCCAAGGTTCCGAAGCAAGACAGTACGCCCACAGACTCAGCAGAGGCCAATGCCTCAACTGACGGAGCGGTTAGCGTTCCAAATTCTCGTAATAGCAGTCACGTTGGCCACCAATCAGATCATCTACACGGCATGTCGAGACCACCCAAAAAACAGAGGAAAGTGATTGACACAAGCGCGTCAGTCCAACCTGGTGTTGATAGCAATTCCTCGCCTGGTCCTGACATTATTTCAAGTAGTACCACCGGTGCTTTTGGACAGGCTGAGGCACCCTTAAGTAGTGATACGTCGATAATGCCACCTCTCGATTCCGGCACCGGGACAAACGGAGAATTCAATTCAGCCGCCTTTGAAGCCCTATCGAACCATTTAGAACACGATGCTCCTGTAGCACTTCCAGGACAGCATCAACAGAACCACAACGACGGCCTGTCTGCCCTCCGCAATCAACAAATACCAACGCAGAACACACAGTCCCTCCAGCAACCACCACTCGTCGCGCAGAAGACGATATCTTTGACTCCACAATTCCATACCTCTGATCACATTCAGGGCCTAGGAAGTGCAGCGAAACATCATTCGCAACAACAAGTTTCTCAACAGCAAGGGATCCAGGATCAGCCAGGACACCAAATGCAGCAGCTGCACTCGCATCAGCATGTATCTAACCATACTGGCTCATCTATCTCCTCGCAGCACAGTTCCCAGTCGCAAATGGCCGCATCGCTGTCAACAGGCTCACTTGCAACTCAGCAGTTGCCACGCCCAGATCAAGTCCCACAAACATACTATACACAGGGTAGGACAGCAAGAAACAGCCAGTTCAACCAATCCCTTCCACAGCCACTGCAGCACCTGCAGCACCAGCAGCAACGTCAACCACAGGAGAAACATCATTTTGGTTCGCAATATCAATCTCAAGGTCCCTACGCATCCCAGCCACAGCAACACCAATCATTTGCGCCCCCACAGCGTCAATCTTCCCAAAATACTGGCTCGAGCTCTCCGGGAATGTTGACCGATAGCAACGCTCATCGCTCGCCGCAGTTTGCGGCTCCAAATGCCACTACCATTCGATCTGGGCACGGGGGGTATGGGACCCATCCTTCTGCTGGGACAATACACTTTAATCCTTCTACATACGAACAGAATCGGCGCCAAAGCTCAACCGCTTCGCCCTCCTTGGGCCACACATATGGTACGGCGGGGACAACAGCACATGCATTAGGCCACCAAGGCCCGCCTTCTTTTGTGAGCACACGGCCACAACACTCGCCGGGCGCGGCACACTCGCATGGCGTGGGTGTTTCGCAAGGGATGCAGAGCTTTCACGGTTTCGACAGCCCTTCTCTATTCGACGGCATCAGCCTTGATACGACAGGCAGTGGTGGTGGGCTTGGATTAAGTAGTCCAACCACTTATGGCCTAGGCGGAAGCGTGCCCAGGACATCCGGTAACATGAGCGGGTTTGGACCCTCATCCTCCGCCAACTCGTTTGATACGAGTATAGGAGGCGCTTCGAGGGATCGCTTTTATGATGTCCGGCGATAAGCAACGGTTCATTGTGTCTTCTCTTTGTTGGACCTTCCATATTTTGCAAAACTGGCTGCAGCTTTGTTACGTACCATTTATTGTTCTGGCTACACAGGCAACAAAACCCATTTGCGTTTCATCACCCATGCGGTTGCCCTTTTTTTCGGCTTCGTGAAAGGAGACACTTCACCAGATTATTACTTTGGTAAAGTTTATTTCGCCTGCGCCTTGAAATATTTGCCCCTCGTCGAAACAGTTGTTTGAAGCCCGCATACTATGTCTGTTTTCGGGGGATGTTTCTTGAATATATATGAGCCGGAGCAAGTTTTTTTTTCTCCTTTTTTTGGTTTCCGATGTGGTTGTTGATATATGCCCACGGAGCGTAATGATTGATGATCAAGTTTAAAACGTTGCACCGGGGAGGTGCATGTGGAATTATTCCCACCAACCAAACTCAAATAAAACCTGAAAGCCATCTCCAATTAAAGAACTAATTTCACTGTTCCTGAGACTGTGTTGTAGGTCGTTAGCACTCCTGTGCCTTGTTGGATTTGATTAAGTCAAAGCCGGCGATTCACGAATTTCTCTTAAGCAAAATGAAGGTAAGACAATTGATAGACTCTTAAATAACTTTACCAACCATGGCTACACATAGCCCAACGCCGGACCTGTTGAGGTCCCTTAGTCTGTGTCTGTAATCCGGCCCAAAAAATTGACGTCTATGTTTTCCCGTAAGACGCAACTGAAAATATAAATAAATATATATAAAACTGGAAAAGGTCCGCGCATCGCTTGTTTGCTTGTGCCAACAAGGTGCTAATGTGCAAAAATAAAGAGAAATGTTTTTAAAACTGGACTGTGTTAACAGCGACAGCCACCTAGGATCATAGAGGTTGAGCTACCGTGTACCAAAGCTGGTTGGATCAGTGATCCCTCAACCTCTCGAGAAAACGCCTAAAATGCTATGAGGACATATGAAAGCCACGGCCGAGCGGTGGATGCATGTAAACGCATGATTGTATGCGTGCGTGCGTGCGTGCGTAAAAGTGCACGCACGTGTATGCGTGTCGTTGTGTAGATACGTGTGGTTGTAGTTGGTAGGTATTGTGTGGTTGTGTGGCATGAATGCCAGCCAAAGAAAGCAGGAGAGCATAAGTCACCCGGTGTCGGATGAACATAGTCACCGTTGCTGTTAGAAAGCTAACAGTTTATTTTGAGTCACGTCTATGTGTCTCATTATGTGCCAGCTGTCACGACGTCATGTCCTCAGTCATGTCTTCTTCGATAGAGTCCAATGGTGGCCGAATAGAATCGTGTGCGCCTTGGCCGTACCACCACTCGTCCTCTTCAGCGAAGCCATCCTCCCGGATGAGCTCCAACATCACCTGGGCATTTCGCCGGATGTCAGACTGTTTCTCCACTATTTTCCGCTCCAGAATCAGTGCCTCGGCAGTGACCAGCCACAGCTGCTGCAGGACAGGGAGATCTGACAACAACAGTCGTAGTTCTTCCCGAGGCAGAAGGTCCATTGGCATGCCGTCGGCAAGGCTGGTATTAAAGATGAGGTTGTTGCATCGCTCCCACGTAGCGTCATCCATCGAGCCACGTTCTGCGCCCGAGACACTCGAAGTCGATTTAGCCAAGGTGTTTGCAGATGTGGAGGAGTCATCTCGTATCGCCAATGACGACATTTTGCGGCCGAGACCCAGTAGTGCCCGACGAGGCTTTCCAGTCGACTCCGCTGGGTCCTTAGCGACAGAGTTATACCAAACATCGACTGCGTTTCGTCTGACGTTGTAGCCTTTAATTTCCCAGAAGCGTTCAACTTGGCGTAGGCCACCAATGCACAATGTGGCGACATGGACTTCGTCTGGAGGTTTGTCTTTCATATAACCTCTCAGTGACTTCTCGACGCGGCCAACATAAGATGGTGGCCGCAAACGGCGGCAAAACGACGCAATAACCAGTGGAAAGACTTGGTGTACCTGCAAGAGCGTCCGGTCGTCGTACATGCTCATGACTTCGGCTTCGATCGGGTTGATAGTATAAGGAGTTTGTTGTAGGCCTTTCCCGTCATGATCAATGATATATTGGAGGTGGCGAGCGCGATACGTTTCGAAGAAGTGGAATATGGTGAACAAAAGTGGGATCAACCTCCGGCGCATTCTCTCATTCTGAGGCGCGAACTCGAGCTTCTGAGCTTCTGATGTGCGCAAGAAAATTTCCTTTGTCACCCACTGGCAAATGAAGGATGACAATTTAGCGGCGACATGAAGGCGGTGCCATATTCCACATAGGTAGCGGAAGTCCAGCTTTGAGTAGTCTGGAGGATAGAGTCTCTTGGCGTAGGCGGGCACGTTGTGTTGGAGATGATGGCGGACGATGGGAGACTCGTTTGCGGAGACCATTGCGTGCATGTTCCTGGAGGAAAGGCGGAGTTGGAGGATATCGGCAAGCGGCATGGAGGCGATGATCTGTATTTGCAGCTCGGTAGGGAGGTTGTAGAACTGCACACCAAATCTGCTCATACTACTCCAGCTTGGTTAGCAATGCAATGAAGAGCCGCTTAGATACGGATGGCCAATCGCCCGGTGCAAGCGCCCGGAGCTGTCCCCCCGCCGCCATCGATCGCAAACTTACGGTTTTGATGAGGTCGGTGCATCTGGCAATGTGCTAAGCGACTTCGTAGTTGCGGGCGCAGGCGTTGGTATTGATGGGGTTGTCGGGATTGCTGTTTGCGATTTTGAATGAAGCAGCCGTCCCAAATGGAAGCGGCTTTTCTTTTGCTTTAGCTCTGGCAGATCAACATTTTCTCTTTCGTCGGCAGCCTCTGCTGTTTTTGCTGTCGCGGATAAGGGAAGAAAAAAGGGCGATGACAACTGTGTAGTCAACGGTTGCGGGGACGCGGGAGTGGTGGTCGTTGATTCGGATGTGCTGCTACCGGACGCGGCATTGTTCTGCTGCTGCTGCTGCCGCTGCTGCTGGTTGAATTTCGTAAAGTAACGGTCCGATGCGAACTCGGTGATATGGAGAGGATCCATGGCCATCGGCCGTGGTGGTGGAGTTGACATGGCTGGCGTTGGGGGTCAGGGAACTGAATCTGCGACGACTGCTCAACAAAAATATGCTCTGGTCTTGCTGGGCATCAAGAGTCGCCTCTATCTCCTCCAGCCAAACCGTTTCGCTGGGGTTTTGGTATGTCTCGTAAAGAAGCGAAAAAACGTCTAAAATATTCAGTCGTTCATGATAAATTGGCCATCATACAAATGCAGACGTCGATGAAAATGAAGGAACGTTGGAACGTTGCGGCGACTCGAGCGATGGTGCTCAGGCAAGGCAATGTCGTCAGGACGAGGAGGAGTTTAAAAGAAATGTAATGAAGGTGTCGTGCAAACTGCGCTGGGCAGTCGCGATGGCGGCGTCGCGTGACGATAATCGAGATATCAGGGTCGAAGACGACGATGGCGATGAAACTCGATGGGCGAGCGTGGCAGATGCTAAAAGTCCGGTTGCCAAAAAAGCGTGTGCTTCTCGTCGCGAAAGTCTCGACTTCAGTGTCGACAATCGGCAGGTCGGCTTTAATTGTTGTCGGGATGAAAAGATTGATGTGATGTCGTTTGTGCGAGAGAATATTGTACCTTAGGAGTCGTCGAGCCAAGAGGATATGTGAAAAGCGAGCGAATTTGCGAGAATGCGAGGCGACGGAGAAGTTGGCATGAAGATCGAAAAGCAGTAAAGGTGTTGATGATGAGGAGACAAGAAACAGGAGCAGGAACAGAAGGAGAGACGGACGAAAGAGGAGAAACCGGCTGGGATGACCGAAAGAGAAAGGGTGAAGGAACGACGAAAGCCAGGCCCTGTTTATTTGGGGGGGGGGGGGTGCAACGAATTACTGACTACTTCGTACAGAATAAGTATGGGGCGTTTGGTGCGAGACGAACCAATATCGGGAGAAAAAGGGCTGGGGAAAATAAAATCAAACAAATAATAGGTAAAAGATAACTGGAAAAGAAGCGACCCGAAGAAAATATGCGAAGAAAACGGTGCAGCTACGGCGCTGTTAAGATCGAGCGTCTGATTTTGATGGCACTGTTTAACGTGGTGTTAAGGACGCTGGCGGGCGGCGGAAGACGCTGGGATGGTATATGGTGCTCCCCAGTCTCAGTGTTGGCAACCGACAGGGTATCGATGGGCCGACCATGTAAATGAAAATAAGAGTGGTACAGCGTATCTAGGGTGGACGAAGGTACTGAGCAGCAGTAAAGGGCCGGGTGGGTTCTTCGGCGGATTAAGGGTGGATTGTTGATTGTTGGATTAGGCGGGTTTAGTTGGACTAGCCTGGCTGGCATTACAGAGTGTCTCTGTAGGCAGGTCCCATCACGACGCGGAATAGTAAGATGGGAATGTGAAAGGGTCGGAAAGGGGGAAGGATGGGGGAAAGTAACATAATAGAAGGGGGTTAAAGGATGGGTGGCTACGGCGGTTTGGCCGGCGAAATAGTGGAGAGACCTGTCGGGCCAGATAACATATGCGAAGATTCAGCCCCGAGCGGGTCCTCCCCTACAGAGGCTACATAAAAGTGAAACTCACTCACTAGTACAATACACCTGTTTGTGTTTAGATTATGTGTCTACTGAAGTACCACGCTAATCTACTGGTGTACCGCCGCAAAGGAGACGCTTCCTCCGTAGTACACCCCTTGTCGCTCCATCCCTCCCTCATACAAAAGACCAGCTTTCGGCCCTGTTTGTAAGTACCGCCGGCGGCGGAGACATGTACCAGGTACATGCTCAACGCCAACTAATGTTTGTTGTACGCACTCGTAGAAACCAGAAATTTGCCAGCTTCGTGTTATTTAAACAGGTGATCATATTAACGAGATTGACTAGTGTGCTGTAATTGTTGTGTATAAATTACGAAGCCGTCGCTACTATGTAAGTCTGTTGAACAAAAAGTGATGGCGACTTCAAGGTTACGAGTACTTTAAAGGAACTTGCTGCGACATCGTTGCACATCGTTGGCCGCAGGTCATAATTTAGCCGTGGCCAATTAGAGGGCGAGACAGCGCGGAGGTCTTAAATAGAGCCAGGAAACATAAGGCTTTGTGCACTGTAAACATACGGAGCTCCAGCCTGAACTTTATGGCAGTGTTTTACAGTGTGAATTATAGATTTAGCACAGTCAATCTTCATTTTAGAGAATGTTCTCCGCCTTCGTTTCACCCAAAAGCTGGGAGAATCAGACGGTGCGTCAACCAAACCAGTTCGACGCTGGTCGCCGTACTGAGTAAAACGCGGCCACCCTGGGAGATTCTCATGTCCATGAATTGATGGCAAAAGGTGCTCACTGTGGCACACTCCGATATGACCGAGCCCGCCTGTCTTAAAAATGCACCAAGCCAAACACTCACTCCACAGGAAAAAGGTCCTCGGTTGCCGCACACCACGAGCACACTTGGGTGACGCCAGGTCCGATTGTCCCTTGCAAATGCATCAGAGGCTCGATCACTGCAGCCACTGATGGCCGCCGAGGCATTGCAAGTGGCCGCGTTGCAGCTAGTGCTCAACAGTCGACCACGCTCAACTATTCGGAAACGGCCGCAGAGACGCCGGGCGGCGACTTCTTCCTTGCCTTTTGGCCTCCTAGGTGTCGATGAGTAAAGAACCAGGCATAAGGCAGATGGTCTAGACCGGGTTCAGCGAGCAGATTGATACTATCTTACGGAGTGCGATGTGCATAGTATGTCGTATGGTACAAGTTCCTTGCGGCCTGCGCTTGTTCCTGTTCGTTTTGCGGGCCGTTTCTGGAGGCAAAAAAATGAGGCCATGATTGATGGATGTGACATTGGATGTCGCGAGATGTACGGAGTAGAGTAGCTGCTTTTCTGCTGTCTACTGTATCATATTTCCTACTGCGGGCAAGAAGAATTCGAAAGCAGACGACAACCCTTGCCCGTGTGAGCGAAGTCCCAAAATGCCCTCATTTATTACGGCAGGTTTGGGAGAAATGTGCCAGGTCCTTCCCTAGGACCTTTTGCAAGGTTCTTTCACTATGCCACTATGCCACAATTGCGCGGGCATCGCTGGGCCGTTATTTCTTCCCGCAGGGTTTTTCTTTTCTTTTCTCTTTTTTTTTTTTTTTGCTGCTCTGTGCGTAAGAGTCATAACTATCTTACCTACCAAAAAGTGTCGTAGAGACGGCTTCATTCAGGGGCATACGGTGGCGTCAAGATAGCGAGCCTGCCACCTGCCCATATGGAAAGCCTCAGAGCCTGTACTTCATAAGGATCGATTTGCTACGGGAAGGATCTTAAACAATGTGGTGGGCCCAAAATATATTCCGACAGCAGAGCGGCAGCCAGATGACTACTCCGTACTGGAATGATAGAATAGCGCAACATCCTCGAGTGTCCCGACGTCTTTTTATCTCCTAGCCTGCTGGGTGGGGAGCAATGTCAACACTTGATCACCATTTTATGTGTGCTCGAAGAAGCCTCTCAAGGGCTGTGCTTTGTACATGTCAGTCTACTTGCCAGGACAATTCGTAGGTAGATCTACAATACTTACGAGGCCGGGCCTTCTCCGGTGTATCAGAAAACAAGACGCTGGTTTCGCCTTGCAAAACTTCCGAGTGAAAGCGGACTGGATATGGTGGATATAGTCTGTAAAGAGTAATGGCAGTTGGATTTAACGTTACTAACTTGCTGTGATATCTTGCTCAAAGTACTCCTGTTGTTACAGTTTTGTTCCAGACGGTTCTTTAGCATTTGCTTCTGTACGAAGTACTGTTCTTGTTTCTTTTCCTTTATTTGCTTCGTCTTCAGTTCTTTTGTCTTCTTCCTCCTTCGCCGTCTTTCACTTTCACCGCCGGCCGGTCTCACACAGTCGGTCCTCATTTCGGCCACCCAAATTTTAATACGCGCTGGTCTCGCCAATCGTCTTGGTCCACCCAAGCCCACCTTCCGCAGTGCCTTCGGGCATCCTCCGTACTCAACTGGTGTCCCTTTACAGCATACTAGTTACAAGCATATTCGGCTTTGAGTATGTAACTGAATCTGTGTGCGATCATGCGCGATCGTGCACAAATCACACGTGCCCTCCGTTGGGTTCTTTGTGAAGATCCCGTGCGCTAGTAAAACGAATCTGCCACCAGCCCTGGCGAGCCTGGTCATGTGTGAACCAGCCTTTACAGGACCAAAAATGGCCCCGTTTTCGCCCAGGGACGCGCCCGTCGGCGTCAGATTCTCGGCGGCTCTTGCTCGGCCAATACGGTAATCGGTCGGCCTCTTTGTGGGTGTTTACCGGCGGCCTTTTCTACAGTGGGTCGCCCCGTTCTCCCTTTCTCCCTTTACATCATTACAAACTACGTTCACCCTGTGGGGACGGGACATCTTGCACCGACGATCAGTAACTTGGGCCGAAGATCTTCCAGGCACATCTGTCTCGCACTGAAAGAAACAGGTATGGACGCAGAGATTCCAATATCGCTGGGAATCATGGTGTTATCTTTGTCAGGTGCTGCCAGAAACGGGAAATACGCCCCGGTAATTGCAAGGCCGAGACGCCATATGCCGATGGACTTCTCATGGCGACATAGATTGTGTTATCATGCATTCTGGAGGCATGTATGTAATCCGGTGTACTCTGCACTTCTTGGGCTGACTGTGCGATACACAGTGTCAGTAGCCAATATTGACTGGCTCGGACCGACACTCTTTTCCCTGTGTTTTCGTACAACCTTTGTCGTATTTGGTTGCATACTCCGTCGTCTGTACATATATTCGGTCGTAGCAAATTTCTGCATCCCAATGGAAACGAACCCTGTGCAACCCGATTTCCTGGCACAAACCGTAATGTTGACGCATCCCGTTTGGTTTGACCTCTGTACCTGTACAAGACCAGCGCTCCTAAACCGCACGGCTAACATTCTGACACTGGCCTTCGCCAAGCTGTGACAAAACAGGCATTTCCGCCGCTGCAAAGGCATGGAGAAAATGGCAATGGGTCGCGGCGCCATTCCCTGATAAAGACTAGCTCAATTCCCCAGTAGTTCCTGTTATGGAGAGAACGGGTTTCCTACATCGTATACTGTACAACTTAGAACGGAGCATAAAACTAGGCGCGTATTATCCGTGTGCCGTACGTCGCATTTATTTAATGCATTTTCGTAAATGGTCGATGTTTTTGCTAATCAGGGGTGAGTTGCGTCCTATATAAATAGAGCTCCGGTGTACTGTTGTCACGTCGTACATCGCAAGGTCGTATGCAAGAACGTGGCAGGATGTGGGGTCACCGCCTGCCGGGATGATCAGAAAAAATAAATGTTTAGTGGAATGTGTGTCACGTGAGATTGTCCGTACGAAGTAATAAGTCGTACTCCGTATATCTTTCGATTTTTTTTCCTGCGCTCCTTCTCCGTGATGCGCGCTTCTGACTTGACCTCACCGCTTCTACCATCAACGAGGATGGGAACCGAATACATATTCTATTATTTCACAACGTTCTCTTCCATTCTCCGTAACTACAGAGACACTGGCAGTGCAAGTCCCACATCGCCACGACTGAAGGCCCGGACGGCGCCATCTGCCGGCGTCCGGATCCCCGCTTTCCACGTCAGAGCTGGCCGTTGTCTCCGCGCAAGGCTCCGGGGAGCTCAGTAACCTTTCTTTCGTCCATCTCATCGCGCCTTCCTTGCCTCCCTGTTTCCGACATTACCTGCACCAAAATTAGCTGGCCAACCAGCGTTGAACCTCTTCTAAAACCACGTTCTATTTTAGTAAACAAGAACACTCGCAGAAAATACGAGCTAAGCAACCATGTGGGAGCGCAGTTGCTCGTGAACATTTCTTCGGTGCATGGTTGCGACAGCGCCATGGCCTTTTCATTTTCTGCTTCATGGGTTCTGTGACATTGTTTCCAATGGGCTTTGCTTTTTCTTACCCTCTCCTCTACTCCCCTTATTCCCTCTACCACACCCGTGTCACTGCTTGCAACTTTACACACAAACAGCTACCACTGTTGCTCTACCGAGTACCAATCCCATCCAAGAGTCTTGACAACCAGCGTACTGTCGGTAACTGTCGAACACGGGATGGTAGTTCAACGTCACTGTCACACTGCCCCGCTGCACCACTCCCTCTTGGCTGCTTCTACTTCCCGCGGGTTTCTTGTTTTATCAGCACATTCCTTTCCCGTATCTCTCACCAATTCAACTGCGGCCTTCCATCTGCGTTGCAATTTGCTTTTTGCCTTTAGTATCGCCCTGTTGGTGACATCCTGCGGTCTGCTAGCCACAGCATGTTGCTGGGGAACATGACATCTTTATTATAGCCAGGCACAGGAGAACATCCAGAATACAGCCAGAAGAAGGATACAAGAATAGCCGGCACAGCAATTCCATATTCCATACCCCGCCTTCGCCGACCCCAGCCTCGCGAGGTATCCTGATTGGGCTGTAGTAATATCTCAAGGGCGCAGAGTGGCAGCCTGACTTCGTTTTGTTCCTGGACGCCTGGACGCTCTGCCAGCGTACTCCCGCCCTCGGTATCTCACACCATCCCCCGTGGTATTTCTTCGCCATACTCAACACTGTTTCCTTCTGCTATGCTATCGACAGCTCATCTCATCGGTCCTTTGCCACACCGTCTTTACAGTTCGCCGCGGCCTCACGACTATGGCAGAACTTTGTTGCCGAGTACATCCAGCCTTGACGCCTCTCGCCTCTTCACTTTTCCTTGTGGCTCTCTAGATACATGACGTGGCATCGCCTACCACGTCCTGAAGCTATATCGTCTGTTGTAGTTAATTTCGCTGCCCAAAGTCTTGCCGAGTTTCTCCTACGTTTGCCGCACATTCAAATCGTGGATCCTGGATGATTGGCAGTGCTGACCGCACACCTTGTCTCGGCCCCATCGCCATACCTCACGCAACTTGATAACGCCCACTTCGATGCGGCCCGCCGTACTATTGCGTTTTTGACTCATCGCCAGGCTGATTGACGACGGTTTCTTACAGCTCCAGCTTACGCAACCGATTGGCTCATCGTACCAGCACCCTCAACCACCGTTGTCATGTCAAGGCAAGGTAGTCTCCCTCCTGCTTTTCCTCCTACACCCGAGGACGAGACGGGCATGGCTCAGCTACATCCTGACAGCGGCCGTGCGAAATCGACCCAAGGAATTACTCCAGTCAATCGCAGTGGCATCATGGACAGTGTTGTTGATACTCCAACGTCTCCCTCATCGTCTCTCGCCCTCTCACGCTTCGAGTTCGAGTATGGAAAGGGTAACGAGGGTACGAAGGTGCTCATGGTAGAATGGGATTGTATGGCGACTGAATCGGACAATATATCCGAAAACCCAACAGAAACCCCAGCTCGCCAATACCGCAAAGGCGCGACAGATCAGGATTGGGTCATCACGTGGGAGGGGAAAGACTCCCACAATGTGCTTGCAGCTGCCAGCATTGACGCCAACGGCGATGATGCAGAGAGACGAATGTATTTCTTGCTCCCCCCTGGTGCCACCATCCCGCATCTTGTGAGCATCACCCGTGTTATGAAAGGCGGTATGGATTGCAGTGGCAGCGAGAGCAAGGAAGAAGACTTGATACTCTGGACGAAACCCATGCCGGCCATCTATCCGACCAGTCTTGGGTCAGAGCCAGGTCAGGCCGGCAGGTGGGGCGTACTGCACACCCTGTGGGCTAGACAAAAACTTGCAAGCCTAGAAGCTGAGATTGAGGCCGAGATGAAAGCCAACAGCGAGAGCGTGGGATTGCAGATTGCACTCCAGGAGCAAGACTGGATTTCAACCCACTTTGGAGTCAGTCATACCGGCCATCCCAGGGCGAACTCGCCATATCTGCCGAGCACCGTGGGCGCTGACCGGATTGCCCTATCACGGTCACCGATAGGCGGGAAACTCGGCGAAAAGCTCAGTGGTCTGAGATTGGCAACGTCACCTACTGAGCTGGTGGCGGCGCTACACGGTGAGTTGTGCTGGCTGACCGCCGCCCCCCACATGTTCTTAACTTAATTGCAGCCAAATTCGTTTATGCTTTGAAAACTGTCCGGCCGCCCTAACCGTGGTCGATATTGCAGGTTCGAGCATAGACCCAAAGACTGCCCCACGTTCACGTTCAGCAGATGTCGTTGACGTACCAATGCTGGCAGCCATTGGCACCAGTGTGGGCCTCCGCACCTCCATCGAACCGCACATTAGCGGTCATGGCTCACTCGATGCCGTCATTGGCAAGAGCCAAAATGGAAACAGGAATACAAACGACGACGCGAAATTGGGTGGCGGTCGTCCTGGTACAGAAGACGATCTATTTGCCCTGCCGCTAAGTCCTCGGAGCCCTGAGATGGCCAGGAGTCCTTTCAGCCTTCTGTAGTTTGTACGATGTGTCCATTGGTGGACATTCTGGTGGTTTAAGATCTGGTGGCGCTGTTAGCTTTATCCCTGTTGCAGCATTGGTCTATTTTTTTATTCTGCGATCTCATGCTATCAAGCCACCTGAGTTCGTTGTTCTGGGCATTTTCGTTTTGTCTATCTCAGTTTTAGTTGCGATTAATCCTCACAATTAAGTTTTCGGCAACCTTTTGGACGAAGGCAAATATACATATACTCTGTACAAACACACTCACACACACGCACACAGAAATACAAATAAAGTGCTGAAGAGGTACCATCTTATCATATGCATATCCCATGTAAAGTTCAGTGACCTGTAAATAGTCCAGAGTAATCAAATACAAGGAAAGTATCAAAGGGAACAACAAGAAGCCAGAATATGTCACTCGTATATGTTGTACAACGCCAGCTTTGAATTCTATTATTCGTCCGTCTAAACGTTGCTTCAAACGGTATCTCACCTCGGGTGGATCGTTAGTGTAAGCCCCTATCTCTGATTTCATAATCCAAGGTGGCTGAAGTTTACACCGAAGTCTCGCCTTAAAGACTCTCGCAATTTCCTTGCGCCACAGAGGTACCTATCGACAGGTTAATACGATGCCCCTTACGGCATAAAAGAGCTTAAAAAAAAACCACACAAAAAACAATATTTTGTACAAACTAACAGGTCATAACTGCAAGGGAAGCTGAGAGGTGAATGTGGGTACGGAGTATGTTGTACTCCGTAGTCCCAACGATAAAGCGAGGTCGAGACCGCGACCTAGTAGTCGTATTCCTCGAGTCGGCCCGCCTGCCCGGCCAAGGATGGTGTGGCAGACAGAAAAAAAAAAGAAAAAAAAGAATCAGCACATCATGTCACAGCATGTTCCATGTCATACGAACAATAGGATCTTTGAGTTGCCCAGGCTGTTCAATTCACAGGTGTCGGCCTATTCACGGTCCAAAAATGGAGACGATGACTAAACAACACGAACATACAGCCGACGTCGTTGGCAGGATAGGATGTACTCCATGAAGCGTATCAATTCTCGCAGAAAGTATTCGGTGGACTGCGGATCAACAGGACATCCATCTTCTCTTCCCCTTGCGGGCCGGGGTGTTGCTGGTGTCATGGAGTAGTTTAACACATCGTAGTTTAGACAATACATGTGATGGATCCTCTTGACACGTTTGCAGAACGCCGTGCATCGTATCGCGCTGCCGTGCTAGAGTCCGCCCGTGGAAAGGATTACGAGAAAGCTCGAAGTTTTCCGACTTTTGGTGGTTAGCAGCACCCCAGAACATGTTCGCGTCGCGCTGATTTGGAAAGTCCCCGTTTCGACCCCCTGAAACGTAATTACATCATACCCACTCCAGTTCAATTCTCTTATTTTTGGCGGTCTCAGTGGCGGACTCCTACGGCGGCCTGGGCACTCCAAAAGAAGGCCCGTTTGTCCAATCCGCCGAAACACCCCACGTACACTCCCGCATCGGAGTGCCCGTGTCGGCCGACCGCTTCGTCTTGTCGGTCCTGTCGGTCCTGACGGGGTGGGGGTGTATAACTGATACAGTAGACAGCCATGTGTATAATTGCTGCCTTTTTGAACCGAAGCGACCATGCTGGAAGCGGTAGAGGCGTGGCCGGAAGTCCCAGACGGACTGAACCACCAGGCTGACAGGGCTTTATCTCCGACATTGTCCAGCAACACACTCATTCACTGTTATTGGCGCAATGCAGGTAGTGCACAGTAGGTGGCACGGACGTGTTGCAAAAGTGGCACTTCGTCGCTGCGTGCGAAGGGTTTCCTTGCGAAGTGGAGGTGTGGATTCACTTGCATTTGTCTCCGGTGACGATTGGTAGGCAGGTCGGAGCAAGTAGCCCGACGATGCCTTTACCGCCATCCGCCGACACGCCCTTCGTCCCATCGCTCCTTGCGTTCCTGCCGAAGGTAAAAAAGTTTACGAGCATCACGATACCGCCGCACCCATTCCGAAGCCTCGCGCTCGCTGGCGAGGCCTCCATCGCCCTCACCCTCGAGAAAGCTCTCCTCGAGTGCCTGGCACACCTGCTCCTGTTCATTGACGCCCGCTGCAAGCTGCTGGTAAAGACTAGCCGGAGCAAACGGGGCCAGTGCCGCATCCATGGCCGCTTGTTTGGCCCGCCACGAGTGTTCCAGCGCATGCGCACCGAGCAGTTGTGCCTGTGTGGCGGACCGTTGATGTGCTAGCCGTGCCTCCAACTCCTGCAGGCGCTTGGCCAGCTCCATGTTCTCGTCTAGGGCGCTCTGTAATGCTCCGTAGGATGCTGATACCGAGGGGTGGATGGTGGATGCAGAGTGTGTGAGGGCGGACAGAAGCTCTTGTGAAGCGAGGACTTCGAAAAGATCTTGCTTCCTGTAATAGAGCCATAATAACAGGCGTTGTTAGGAAAACGGCCCACGGCAAAGTCAAGGGGACAGTGATGGAAAGCACGTAGTGCTTTCGTTGCTGTAAGGACTTACGATTTGTCTTGCAGAACCTTTGGCAGCCATGTGTCTCCCGGGTCTACGATGGTTGGAGGTGCCGGGGTTTGCGCATATGCGTATGCGGTGACTTCGGGCAGGCTTGTCGGAGTCGACGGTAGCGGTGGCTGTCGGGGGGACTGTGTTGTAGCTGGGGTGCTCCGCCGACTGGCGTCGTGACTGCCCGGTTTCGGCGGTGGGATCGGTGCGGTGGTCTGCATTGGATTGCGTGTCCGTGTCGCTATTAGTGTCGAAATGCTCGAGGCCGACGGCCGACGTGGTGTGATGGGTAGGTGAGATGCGTTATCGTAACCGACTCCGTTTGTGCTGATGCTTTGGTGCATATCTTTCGTGGGGTATTACAATGCCTTAGGCGCATATTCCTGAAATGTGCCCCACTTTGAACGACAGCTTTGCATTCAGCGATGCTAGCGAGGCTTCCCCTAATTGAAATTGCCAACTCCATTCCTTTTCCCTGGATGCTTCATTGTTTCTCTTCGAGTGTCCTCCAAAAAGGGCATCCAAGACGGTTTCCAAGAAAGGAATTTGATAAGCAATTTTGAGCCTGTTCGAGACCCGTAGCAGCAATGGCGGGCCGCCAGGAATCAGGTACATCTTCCTCTCACAGCGCTCAGCTCTCACGTTTTGATCACTTGTATAAGCAGACAAACATCCTGACACATCTACACCACAGTAAATTTGGACAGTCTCAGCCCGCAACAATTAAGTGCTGTCAAGAAGCAACTTGATGAAGAGGTCGAGCACTTGTCAACATCCTTTTCACAGCTGATGGCTGCCCAGGGCAAGTTCAAAGAATGCCTGCGTTGTGTCCAGGGAAAGCCACGGGGTAAGATTTGCTATCCTGATCTTTAAATTGAGGTCATACCCAATTCCCAAGGTCCTTGGGCAAACCTATGCTCCTAGCTGACACCTGATACAGAGGCCGGCAAGAATGTGCTTGTGCCGTTAACAAACTCACTATATGTTGGCGGCACTTTGAGCGACCCTGACCACGTCATCGTGGATGTTGGAACTGGCTTCTATGTTGAAAAGGTGAGAGAGAACCTGTATCTATTCGTCACATACGTTATGGCGTCTGTTTATTATTTAAAGCCATGCTGACAAGGACCCAGGGCACAAAACGCGCTGCGCAGTTCTACGAGGACAAGATCAAGGAGCTTACCGGTAGCATTCAAGAGCTTGAGGCCATTGTGCAGAACAAGACATCAACATTGAGAGTGGTAGAAGAGGGTACGTCTCAGCTTTGTATAATTGTCTTTCATTTCGTTTGTCTTTACTGACCTACTTTAGTTTTACGGCAAAAGGTTCTTGCTGGTTCAGCACAACAATAAAAAACGCCAACCCCTGCCGTTAACTTCAAATATATTCAGCTTACTATCTACTTCACTCCACACTTTGAAAAGTTGTGACTTCACGTTTCTTATACCTGCGTCTGTGAAACACAAATGCCTCTCTGGTGCTTACTGCAGTTTTGAAGAGCGACAACACTTCGGATATTACAAGAAGCAGATTGGGTGCTGTAATATTTTCTTTTTCTTTCTTCTCTTCAAGTAAGTACCCACGAATGGTCGCTTGTCACGAATCGGTTAAAATTTTTGGAAGACATGGCAAGGGATACCGTAGAGCAGTCTGTGCGACTCTACAGGGCTTAAAGTTAACATGATTTGTAGATATCGGAGGCGGAATTTCACCTCGAGATACATGGTGCCAGCTCGATCCTTAATCAAATATAAGCAAATCCACTTCCTCCTCCTGATTGTTGGAGACGGCGAAAAGGTGGCTTGAGATGCGATTTCCCGAAATGTTGTGGCCAGTAACCAGGTCCACGGAACTGGATTTCGGCAGTGGATCAGGTTGAGACGTGCGGACGGCGTACTCTGCACTCTCCGTAATAGGTTGTGACGCCACGGAACGAGTGGCATCACCGTTTGCTCTGTGCCAGAGAACCAGAACCCGATCCACAAGCTTGAGGAAGCTCTCGATTCCACTTTCCGGTGTCCCTCGCCCGTTCCTAGGGCGAAATATTCGGTCCCAGTTTGCTCCTAGATCTCGGGGACCACCTTCAGTGGCAGGTGATTTGAGAGTTTCTTCCCATCCGCTATTCAGGATTGACATTCCCACCTGACCTTGGTCATTGGGCGCTTCTCCCATATGTGATGTTGAAATCTTGTGGTACAGGCAAAGCTCCAACATATACCGCGTACCTTTATACCCCACAGTCCAGGCTGTTTTACCGATCAGTTGCTTGACTCGGTTCTCTTTGCTCAATCCTGGCCTAAAAACTGGCATGGGAAAGCCGTCCTGCTCTTTATGGTCGACGACAGTGACGCTTTCGAGAAAAGCTTTTATAGTGGATGGAATTTCCCCCGGTAACAGCTCTTGGATTGTCTCAAGCTTCCAGTCAATATCTCTGACTAATGTTAGTACTCCATACATATCTCTCTATAATAAGGTACAACTGGGTGTGAAGTAAGTCATACCGGTTGGGACAAGCAATTGTAAGCCCCGCCTTCCCTTCGGACCCAATTGTTTGGAAAACCCGAAGATTAGATAGGCTAGCGGAACGTTTATCAGGAGCTGAACCGGGAGGTCCAATCTCTATCTCGAACCGGAAAGTCTCCATGATGCCAACAAGAAACCTTTGTGGCTCAACGTCGAGAAGACTTTCAAGAACAGAAGAGCAGGGATAGAACGCGTCTCCTGAGCGTAGCACCTGCTGCTGCATAGCACCAAACACTTCGGCACCGCCAATTCTTTCGTCCTGTTAGCAATTTTGATACCGAACTGGACCAATGTAATATTCGCGTACCCTAGGCTGTCCGACTCTACGATTCATATCCTCACCTGTGCTCGAAGATAGCGTCTTCATCAGTAATAGACTTGCCTCTGGCCGCATCTATTTGTTTAGCAACATCCTCAGAAGAAATCGGGCATTGGACATCTTGCGTGATAGAAAGCAGTCTTCCAAATTGGACCACCATGTGGAGGTTGGATGGCACGGAACGTAGTACGTCAGCAAATTGAGTGAACTGAACGCGGAAGCCGGATATTTGTTCCGCCAGACACATCTTATCGATGCTCTCGCACTTCATATCGTCGGCCTCGTCCTCGAAGCAGCATCGTGCCAGCTCGGGGTGACTGGCGTTTCTAACCAAAGTCAATTTCTTGCGTCGACCACCGAGAGGCAGTATCATATGCAATTGGTGCCGCATCGGCGATCTCAGGTTGTGCATAAAGCCATTGATGTCTTTGTGCGCCGAATGAATTGCATCCCGAGTTGCGCCGATAATTGTGAGGCTGTTTGGGAGAGGGACATCGTTCTCAATTTTGACAGCGTGTCGTCGCCGCACAAGGTCTAAAAAGTCCAGCACAGCAGGGCTGCCAAATGAAGCCTCGTAGTCTATGTTGACCGGGCCCAAGACAACGACCTGAGAAAAAAAAAGGGTTAGAGCCTGCCCATATCTATCTTGTTTGAATCTAACGAAGGGATAGAACCACAAACTTTAAACGTGGCTTTAATCACCACAGCAGGAGTTGCTTCTGCCTGTACTACCGCAGAAAGAGCCCTCCCGGTTACCGTGGTGGCGCCATTGTTGTCGATTTTCGTCAAGGTTAGGCTGTGCGATGTGGATGGGCTACACGGGCGGACGACACACCGGGCATTTTTTATGGACGCTTGCTTTGATTTCTTGCCAGAGACAAGTGCTTTACCCGCCGAATGTTTAGCACACCTCTTGTTCGACGGCATTGTAGAACGAGCATTCGTGCTGCCGGACCTCGTATCTGCCGTGGAATAAAAGGGACGGAGACGATGGGCAGGCGGGCGGCAGCCAAACGAGAATGGGCGGATGTGTACAGAGTAGCGCCGAGGCTCTTCCTACCCTTGGGATGAGAAAGGGCAGATTATGAAGGGAAAACAACAGCGAGCTTTTGTGAAAAATCGTTTTGGTGCCCATTCGTTGTTTACAGGAGACCGACGACATGCTTGGGATGTTTAAGGAAGGAGGGACCGCGCTCGCTCCTGCCACATTCAGCTATAATATTTGATCCCCAAGAAACAAAAGGACGTTATGTCAAATTAAATAGACCGTATCTATGAACGTTGCAGCTGCAGAAAGCTTCTCTCCCATAGGTGGGAGATTAGCCAGGTTACTGGGATCGGGGAGTGTGCATGTATTTGTGAATGGCATTGTTTCCTTCCCCTCTTTCGCACAACTGTCCGAAACGCACAATGCGTACTTGGATGCACGGGCTGTTGTCAATTTTTGATCTTGTATTATGATTTTGTTCGCAGTTCGTTGCTTCTGTGCGTCTAGCGAGCATCGTACTAAGTATGCCGACCGGCTCGAAAGCTTTGGTAACTTGGATTCACTTGTGGACAACAATGCAGATCAATCATGCGTGGTGTGAATGCTTCTCCAAAAAGGGGCTGTTGACGTCGACGTATGGTAGTAGTGCCACAATGGTTTAGCGCAGCTTCCCCAGAAAAGTTTAATTGAAACGCGAAAATTCGCGGCTAGGAGTTGGCGCGTTAGGCAAAACCGTTCCCAAATTCGCGTTTGCCTCGGGAGTTTGCAGCAATTACGACAGTAACGAGTCGTCCTAGCTAACATTGAACCACGACACATCAAACAGCATATTCGGACCTTCTTCCTCAGTCTTGCCTTGTTTCTCCGACTGACCAGGAACCAAAATGCCTCTCCTAAAAGCATCACAGAAGCCGGCTCGAAAACGAAGGACACCAGCAATTGTCCCCGGCATCGCACGCGATGATTCTGACGACGAGCTTGGTGATCTCGACCACCCCTGGGAATGGATTTACGCGGCCGACAAACCTTCGACACAACGAAATGGTCACGAATCTTCTCGGAAAAGAAAGCGCCCGGTCACCGGAAGTAGCATCGTGGGTGCCCGGATGGGCGATTTCGAATGCTTCCTTGGCGACACCGTGTTGCTCAAGGCCGAAGGGTCAAACGAGGCCTGGGTTGGCATCATTTGCGAGTTCATTGACGATGATGGTGATGACGGCGAGAAGGCCGCCCATTTCATGTGGTTCTCGACCGAAAAGGAGATTCGCAACAAGGTCAAAAAGAGGACAGACTTCCTACCCGTAAGCTCCCTACTCACCGACATTCAGACTTGGGACTCCCTGACGCTAACATGCATTTGGCTATAGAATGAGCTGTACATTTCTCCATCGTGGGATGTCAACCCACTAACATCCATCAACGGCAGCGCCAACGTCATGTCTCCCGCCGTGTTTCGCATGAGATTCCCGAGCGGCCGTCTTGGTCGGCAGTCAACGGATTATGGAAAGACATTTATATGTCGCCGCGGCTGCAACACCCGCACTGCCAGTTATACGGACGAATTTGTTTGGGAGGATATCTACAAAGGCACAGTCGAAGACATTGAACATCTGGTCGAGTTGGTCAAGACAGGCACGAAAGCCTCTCGAAAACGCCGACAGACAAAAAATGTGTCCGCCGACTTGTATGATTACCAAGACGATGTGGATGACAGCTACAACGAGCCGAAGGACACGGGTGGCGAGAAAGAGCTACGAACGCCAAAGAAAACGAACAAGAGTTTCGAAGATGCGACGACACCGACAAGCAAGCGGCCAAAAAGCACTTCGAAGCTCCTGACGCCGTCCCACCGAAGGTGCGTGTCAAAACCGCATATCAGTCAACATGCTATACTAACGGTTTTTGTGACTTTATATTGTTACTAACTTTCTCTCACGACATGTGTAGGGTCGTGTTGAAAAAACACCTCGAATTCACACCACTAGCCACTCGAACCCTTTCCCCAAACCACTACCTATCCTCGCCATTTCAAAAGGCACGAGCTCAACTACATATTGCGGCAGTACCTGCGAGTCTCCCATGTCGCGAGAGCGAGTTTTCGCTCGTATATTCTCATCTGGAGGCTGCCATTACCGAGGGTACCGGCTCTTGCATTTACATTTCTGGAACTCCAGGTACAGGTAAAACTGCAACGGTGCGCGAAGTGGTTTCCAGCTTGGACTTTGCTGTTCAGTCCGATGAGCTGGACGATTTTATTTTTGTCGAGATCAACGGCATGAAAATCACAGACCCACACCAAGCCTACTCCTTACTGTGGGAGGCTTTGAAAGGCCAGCGTGTAAGCCCTGGCCAGGCCCTTGACCTCCTGGAGCATGAATTCAGCAACCCCAGTCCTCGCCGCGTCCCGTGTGTCGTGTTAATGGATGAACTAGACCAATTGGTTACCAAAAACCAGGGCGTCATGTACAATTTTTTCAACTGGCCAGGTCTGCGTCACAGTAGACTGATAGTGCTCGCCGTTGCCAACACCATGGACCTCCCAGAGCGCACTTTGAGTAACAAAATTAGCAGTCGACTCGGTAAGCTCATTGTTCCTACCGATAATTTTGATGTTGCAGCTAGTCGACTAACGTTTCTTCTTTTCTTTCTTTCTTTCTTTCTCTTTACAAATAGGTTTGACCAGAATCACATTTCCCGGCTATACCCATGAGCAGTTAATGAAGATTATTCAATCTCGGCTAGAAGGTGTTCCAGGAGCCACTGTTGACCCCGACGCCATTCAGTTCGCTAGCCGGAAAGTCGCCGCTGTCAGTGGTGATGCGCGACGTGCCCTGGATATCTGTCGCAGAGCTGTCGAGCTTGCAGAGACAGAGAGCCGGCAGCAGGAGGCATCAAGCATATTTCAGACACATAGCAAAGGTAGTAAAGACCATGACTCCGACCGTGACACAACGAAGCGCAGCGCTGTCGGCCGTGTGACTATTGATACTATCCGGCGGGCTATTGCTGAGGCTACATCCAGCCCTCTCCAACAGTATCTTCGAGCTTTGCCATTTTCCTCTCGGCTCCTCCTGGCAGCGCTGCTCGCCCGGACACAGCGAACAGGCATTGCGGAGAGCACATTCGGCGATGTTCTTGAAGAGACACAGCGTGCTCTCCGCTTTGCGGTAGCAGTCGCTACTGGTACAAAAGAGGGCCGGCCACTGGAAGCACTCCTCACAGGGCGCAACCTAACCGACAGCGCATTGCGGAAACAGGCCGCGGCCCTGGCAGCCGCAAGGGGTGTCCGCCTCGCAGGTCTCGGAAGCGCGGCCGTCGAGCTTGCGGGCGCTGGTATTGTTTATCTCGAGGGCCATAGAGTCGAGCGTCCCGGCAAGATCAGACTTGCCATTGGAGACGAGGATGTGAAACTTGCGTTCCGCGATGACCCGGAGGTCAAGGCAGCCGGACTCTCGCCATAATCGCTCACAGCAACGACTCTCAATTGTGGGCATACCAAGCTCGTGTTTCAAAGGAACCGAGACTATACAGACAATTAAGGAATGAATGAATGTATTTATGCTGTGACCTAATGATTATTCATTGAGTATAGAATATGCTCGTAGACAACGAAGAAGCGAATGAGATTGCACACAATTTACCAAATTCTAAACAGTACGACAAGAATGACCCCCAATGACTGATGCGTTGCACAAAATCCGGCCAAGAATGACCATAGCCACACCCCATCTAATACCGTCGCCGTGACATTGCTGGTTGCCAGTTGATTGGGTGCGTTTCGGGAGTCGCTTGCTCGTCTTGCTTCCAAATCTTGATGGTCTTGTCGGCCTCGCCGCAAATCAAACGCAGGCCCGATTGGTCGAATGTGGAGCTCATGATTCCAGACTCAGCGTCGAGCGAGCCAGGCTGTGCAACTGTGTCGAGCGACTGGAACCGGTAGCCAGTCTTCCAGTCCCAGAAGCTCATGGACCCGTTGTCTGCTCCAGAGAACAACACGTTGTCGGCGTTGACAGACATAGTGTTGAGGATGGCGTTGTGGCCCTCAAAGTTTTGCATAAACGCGCCCTCAGGGCATTTCCACTGCTTGATACTCCCGGCGCTCGCACTGGCAAAGGTGAATTCGGTCGGATGGACAGTCAGAGCACGCACACCTTTTTTGTGGTGGGTCAGTACACCAGAGGACTTGCCAGCAGCCAGATCCCACAGCCGCACAGTGCTGTCCAGCGAGCCCGTAATCACCTGCGGATCTGCCTCCTGACAGCGGACATCGGAAATTGTGCCCGTATGGCTGGCCAAAACGTGAATGTTGCTGCGCGTGCGCATATCCCAGACACGTGCGACGCCATCGCGGCCGCCCGTGACAAGTACGTCGAGTGTGGGGTGTAAGGCCAGCGTGTAGACGCCGCTCAAGTGGCCATGGTAATGACGAATGACCTTGTTTGTCTCGAGGTCCCAGCACTTGACCATCTTGTCCTCTCCACAAGAGAAGAGATACGGATGTCGCGGGGACACAGCAAGGCCGCGTACGGTCGAGATATGGCCCGTCAGTGTGAGGCGTAGCTGACCGGACACAAGGTCCCAGATCTTGATGGTTCGGTCTCCGGCGCCACTCGCAAACCACTTGTTACCGGGCTCCACCGCCAAACTGCGCACCCAGCCGAGGTGGCCAGAGACAACCCGCATCAACTTCCACGGCGGGTGCCAGTCAGGCCGCGGTTGTGCGTGTAGGTCTTGCGCGCGAATCAACTGCTGGCCTGGTTGTCCTCGAGCGGCGCTAGGTCTAGGTTCTGCTTCTGCGCCAGCCCCCGGGTTTCTCCTGATCTGCATCAAGGCTGTCGTCTGTGTTGTTTTGCCATGTGCAGTACCCACTGTCGCATTTTTTGTCGTTTTTCCAGACTCCTGGATCCCTTCGATCATCTTCCTTGTCGCAGTTTCCTCGCTGCTCGGCAGCTCATCGGCTTTTCTACGCTGAGTCCTTCTTCGCGCGGAAGCAGCACCGACTGCGGCGACCTGTTTCGCGGCCAAGGCCTCGGGAAGAGTTTGAACGTCGGCATATTCTGCGTTTAGGCGTAATGACAGGGCTTCTTCGTTTATGTCCGGGTCGGTGCCGCTCGCAGGGTCGACTCGAAGCCGCTTGCGCGCACCGGAAGAATCAGTCGCAGAGCGCCCGTCAAAGTATATCGACTTGGACATTTGCGCATTGCGCTTGATGAGATTGGTCAGTGCTGCGGACTCTGCCGCAACGCGGCTGTCAGCCACTTGCGCGGCCATCGCGTTGATGTGTTTGGGCCTGGGTCTGCGACACCAGAATTCTTGCTGGTTGAGCAGTAATGCAATATGGAGACTGTTCGTGGTGTCTTATCTCTCTTTTTAAGATAGACTTTCGATCCGTAATGTCCTGCTCGGAAAGGATGGTTGTGAAAGACAATGATGTAGAAGGTCACCTACAGTGTGGTGTTGACTTTGGAGACGATGGCGCGCGTTGATGTCGACAAGAAAATTTAAGTGGGGCTCATTGAAGGTAAGTCAGCATTCGAGTTTCCTTTGGTACATATTATGTAGTTAAGCGTAGTCGCGTCATTCACAGCCTAATGCGTCGTACAAGATACATCACTTCGCCTACTTACATCGCTGGCCACCTTGCGCTCTCAGTCTGCTCTATCGCCCCCTTTTTTCTTTGTTATTCGTTCACCGATTTCGTATTTCCTGATCAGTTCTCGTTTTTCGCCATGGCCGACCAGACAGATCGATTTGCCATACATGCAGCATGCCGCGAAGGCCAAGGTGCGCAGCCCGGCAAGTCCTCATCAATCGTAAATAACATGAAGCTTACACGCGCCTACGGTACCCTCGTAGTCACTGTGGTTGAATCTCTATTGAATGTAAGGCTGTTGTGGATTTTTTTCCGTTTGTTGAATCCGTTTCACTGACTGTCATCGAACAGGCAGATCCAAAGCTGGCAAACCGCAAGGATGACGATGGTCGTCTGCCAATACACTGGGCTGCATCCTCCAACCAGCTGGAGATTGTGCGCCTTCTAATTCAGGTGAAAGGTTTCGATCCTGACGTTCAGGTTTGTATTGGCAGGTCCACGTAACCTCAGAGCTTTTGTTAGTTGCTTTTTACCACTCCATATGGCTGACATTTTCGAGTAGGATGACAGCGGTTGGACACCGTTAATGATCGCGGCCAGTGTCAGAGACGCTGAGCCTGTTGTTGATTTGCTTCTGAACAGAGGGGCTAGTGTGGACGAGAAGAGTGCGTTGCCACATCGGGAGCCTGGCCAACCGACCTCTTAGATTGGTGACCGCATAACTAACCAAGTACGCAGACCATAACGGACAGGTGAGCACGTGGTTAAATAGCGAGCAAATCAAAGCCAAAATATCGACGGGGGCCGAGTGTACTTTAGCTCACGGTCCTTGACTGACGCGGATTGCGTAGACTGCCCTCCATTTTGTTGCTTCAAAGAGCAACATCGACCTCGCGAAGAAGTTGCTTGAGGGCTCGCCTTCTGCATCGGCTCGTGTCCGGGATAAACGCGGCCAGTACGCGATCCACCGCGCTGCGGCAGTCGGCTCTACACCGATGGTGACTTTGCTTCTAAAACACCGCAGCCCATTGAATGCAACCGACAATTATGGTCAGACGGCGCTGCACCATGCGGTGGCCGAAGGACATGGTATGAGTCATTCCATGCTTGGTTCTATTTATCTCGAAGGGCGGTTTGTAATCGTTTAATTATATATAGGTGACACTGCCGTGGCTCTTCTCAAGGCAGGCGCTGAGACGGAGAAGAAGGATCAGTCTGGTTTTTTGGCCCTCGATCTTGCGCCAGACAAGGAGGTGAGTCTGTTGCTGACAAAGGCACAGGTGACGTGGAGATGAGCCGACCTTGCAGAAGTAAACTGACAATTGTTTTTAAGGTGCGGAAGTACATTATTCAGGCGGCTGAGAGAGAGGGCATAGAGCTGGCATGATGTTGACACTGCAGGCGTTTCTGCAGCATAGCATGCACTTATTACTACGGAGTACAACTGGACCATTCTCGACCTGCTTCACCATACATGGGTTTACAAACTTGTACTGTCTTAACAACCTAAAGGAGAACATGTCTGAAGACAATTAAGGAAGAGAAGAGAGGGTTTTATGTAGACAACATTCGCATAATTGTGATTGGTGGTATTTACATGTAAATATGCGAACGCAGGAAACAAGCACCGCGACCAAAATGTTACAAGACACGCACGACGTACATGAAAGCAGCTCCCATTCCGACGTAGACATATAATGATAGTAAAGTTTGAGAAAAAGCAAAATCCAAGCCTAGAAACAAGGTAATAAAGTACACCGATATACATGTTCATAGAAGTGGTCCATCATCCGGACACAAATAGAACGAAACATAGCCCCGTATTTCACCTCCTACCTAAAATATGCACAAAAGAATACCAACATGACAATATCGACGCCAGCCAACAATAACCTAGGTATAGTAAAACGCAAAAGATAATCAAAATAGTGGCGCAGAGAATGAGCAAAAATAAAGGATGACATATAAAAGAAAGTAATGAGGAAAGCTAAGAAGCTGTCGGTGGTGATGGATAATTATGTCACCATCCACAGGCAACCACATTTACTCAAGCCAGACTCATCACGTTTCTCAAACACCTCACCGGCCCCCATGATGTCCCTCTTTCCCTGTGAAAACAAAGACGGGCCAGATTCAATTTCGGAAATCGTGACTTGAATGGGCTGCCCGCTGGCATCCCGGTTTGGAACGGCCTTGAGGCTTGTGCCTTCCAGTTTGAGCTCGTACTGCATGCACGTTGCCTGAGGTGAGTTTGCCATGCGACGCTCCTCCATCTTCACAACACGTGGGTATGGAGGCGGAGCATTTGGGAATAGTGGAGGCGTAGACGTTGCCGAAGAATTACTCTCCGTGGCCGTAGCGGCACCACCATCTGCAGCTGCACCGGTAGAACTAGGGTTCATTTGAGTTGGCGTCGGCGTGGTCGTCGACGGAGTATATGTCGAAGACAGACTGAGTCTGTACATGCTCGTGTTTTGGTTTGGGTAAATGAAAATTTCAAGAATCGTATCTGGCCACGTGCAAACCCAAGGCTTATCGCCCGCCTGCGCCAGCATGGCACCCTTGCGACCGAAGGGACCAGCAGCATCAAACGATAGCGATCCAGTAAGGCCGCCCGCACCACGCTTATTGTTGTTGGTAGTGCTTGCTTCCGTCGTAGGCTGAGCATTGGGAGCAGACAAAAAGCTCTCGCGAACAATGACGGTTTTGTTGTACGGCATCATCTTGAACCATGCTGGTCCGCGATTCAGGTCGAGGGTGTCATTAACAAGTAACAAAGGTGCCCGTGACTTGATTGTAGGGGCCTGCTCGCCGTAGAAAAACAAGTTATTCTCATATGTGGCCGATTCATTGCAATGGATACTGATGTCGTACATGGGTCCGTCCGGAGTCAAAGGCAGGCTATTGACTGTGAGGGTCATGCTGTATTGATTTGCAATACCGCACTTCCATGCTTGGGCTTGTGTTGTATCGTTGAAGCAGGCGCCCGGGCTTTCGTTGATTTGAAATGGCAGTCCAAATGTGCCAGTTGGGAGGCCTGGGAGATTTGTTGGTGTAGGAATCGGCGTCGCATCGACGGTGACGGTGACGGAAACAGGACCATTGTTATTTCTAAAACACTTTGTGAGTGATACTGGCACAAGACGAAAACCTTTGGCAAGAGTCTGGAGGTGTTTGAGCTTACGAGTGGTGGAGTTCTTGGGCCCGTCTGTGTCTAGACACAAATGTACCAATGACAGCGCCGAGAACGATACCCATCAATAAGAGGGCGGTGATGACGAGGCAGATAGCCCAGTAGGGGATAACGCCGAGGATCCGGCGTCCGCCGTAGCGTTGAACGAAGTGTGGAGCTTTGTGCTTGCGTTTCTCGCTTATATTCCGCGCTTCCGTGTTGATTTCGCGCCCACTTCCCTCCGTGGTGAAGCTTCTCAAAGAGTACCGAGAACGGGGTGACTCGGCGCCCTCCACACCATCAAACTCTGGATTGCGTGAAGCCAGCCCAATTCCCCCGGCGCCAGGGATAAGTTGTATGGGGGCGGGTACCGCAATATGTGCGGAAGTTGATGCTGTTTCACCCGGTGAGGTAACAGGTTGCACTTGAGTTGGGTCCGGCACTGCGGCTTGCACCGCTGCAGGTACTGCAACTGGCACTGTATTTGGAGCTGTTGGTCCAGATGCTACAGAGCCGGCCAGTGGATCAGCTAATGGGTCGTAATGTGGTTGTACGTTGGCGGCGGCAATCTTGCGAGTGTATGCTTCGTCCGGATATCTCGTGTATGGCGGCAGCTGCTCAGTATGACCGTCAGGGCCAATTAGATCGGCAACATCCTCGCCGTCGGGACCGATGCGACGTCGATAATTGTCAGCCATACTGGGGAATCCAACGGGGATGTCGGTTACCGGCAGGGCACTTGGACCGGCCATCGTGTTTTGCTGGTACAAGCCATAGGGAAACGTTGGACCGCGGGGGCCAGAGTAGGATGAATCGGATGGTGCGACAGTAGACGTTGTGGCACCGCTCAAGGTTCTAGCCATGCGTACATTCTGAGGATACATCTGGTAAGGGAAAGAGGGTCCTGACGGGCCTTGGTAAGGCTCTTCTTCAAGTACGGGTGGTACACTGCTCGTGGCGCCCTCGCGAACATTGTCCAAAAGGCCGGTGTTGCTACTACTACCAGAGGCGCTTTCGGGAGGCACTGACCTCGGGGAGTGTCCAATTGGAGGTTTCGCAATGCTAGATGGACGGGTAGACGTGAGAGATCTTGGTAAAGAGGAGAGGGTAGGAGGTGGAGGCGTGGGCAAGGATGCAGATTCTTGTGGCGGTTGCGGTAGAATTGGTTCGTTGAAGAATTGTGACGAAGTCGTCGCGAACGCATTTGACGGAGACGAAGTGTCTGAAGGAGCGGCAGAGGAGGAGGAGGAGGAGGAGGGAGGGGGGTGATGAGGGTGATGAGGAGGAAAAGACTCTTTCGGCGAAGGTAGAAGAGGCCGCAGCGCCGGGTGTTGTCGAAAGGTGGTCTTCTTGATGAGGTCCGTCAGACACGGAAGACCTTTGGCTGTCCGTAGTATTCGTATTGGTAGTAAGAGGTGTGCCTGTTGACGTAGCAGTGGAGTCTTGGTGAGGCCTAAAGCCATTTGACACGGTCATAGCCATGGCGGTTAGATAGGCATCGTCGTCCGCGACATCGGGAGTGTCCGCGTCAACTTGGACAGAAACTCCTCTGGACAGGCGCCGCGAGGCCCTCCGCTCGAATTCAGACGCCTTCTCCTCGGAACGATCCATGGATACTAGACGTTCGGCCACGGACTAGAGCCGACAAAGATGATGAGACTCGCTGCCGGCCTGCCCGGCTGTTGCTCGCATCCGCCTGCGTGGGGAGTATTGCGCCCTCGACGCAATGCCCGTCGTTGCACGCTTGATCGATCGAGTCCCGTGAGTAGATGGCAAGAGGAATTTGCCAGGCGACGACGGAATGCGACGATGTTCGAACGGCGCGATATATCTCGGCGTGCAATCGACGGTTCTGTATCAAGTTGTGATCTTCGGTGTGCCTGTTTCAGCCGATCACAGCGTTCAGTCGTGATGCTTCAGCCGCAGCACCTCTCGTTCAGACAACAGACAGAAAAGATGCAACGGTCAACGTTTGTGAGATCCCGGGAGCGATTGGGAAACAGTGCGTCGTCGGGTGAAATGGCGATGATCCACGGGCGATTGAGAGTAACGTTGACGACAAGGCGAAACGAATCGAAGGATGGGGATAATGACGAGAGAAATGGAGGATGACAGGAGGAAGTGAAAAGATGCGTGGGTAAAAAGAACCAGTGAGAAGGAAAGGGGGGGATGCGGCGAGTGCCCCAGCCAGCGCCAGCCCAACCAGCCTAAACCGACGAGGCGCCGGCCCAGAAAGAAGTCGAAAAAAGCACTGACCGAACAGGGAAAGACCAAATGGCTCAGTCACGGCGAGACTAACAACAGCGAAATAATACAACGTACGGCAAGAACAGGGGACAGCCAGGGGCAGTAATTGCGCTAGGTCTCTGGGGGGAAGGTTCCTAGAGTCCGTATGCGTGCGATGAAAGGAAACATTTTGCGTTACGACTTTACAGATGTAAAATGAGAGGTTACAATTCCCCCCGTCTACGATAATTGGGAGTAGTCCCGGGCGACAATTAAAATACAGAATGGACCACTTTTGCCTTAATCCTCCTGCGTCCTCCATCGACTACAGACGACAGCACTGAAGGGGGGGGGGGGCGACGCACAGGTTGCCGATATACGATGTGCTCCTGTTTGTACTCTGTACGTTACAATACGAAGCATTTCGAAAGCCCACCTCTGTTTTCCGGGGAGCCGACTTGACATGTACTTGGGACCACGCGGCAAAATCAGCACAGATGCACTTTCCGTTCTCAGTTAGCGTTTCTCTCAAGCGGTCTTCCCTCGTCTTCGTGCCTCTGGCGATGAGATACAGCTGCTGACGATCAAATGCCAGTGCCGCGTGCAGTGAAATCTCGTTTGTTGGACAGACAAAGAGAGCAAGCAAAGGAAGGATCTGGTTGCCAGTTGACAAAAGGGCCTGGCCAGTTCCAGGAACAACAGGAACAGATCTTGGCTGGGGTTTCGGACCGGGGTGTGTAGGCGGCCTGTGATTGACCTGGGCAAGTGATGGGGCCGCCGCCTTAGCCTCCCTTCATGTGTCTTTTCTTAGCAATGTCAGCATAAGGAGCGAAGGTCTTGTTCGAGTCAATCCGTCCACTTCAGCGCCCCTGATTGGCTCGGAACATGGGCTGGTAATAGGCTGTCTGGCACAAAACACATGCCGTCCTTTCAGAGGGTCCTCTGGTTCTCTGCGACATAGATTCGTACAGAAAGACAACTCACTTGGCCAAATACTTGCGTTTGGCACAGCCGTTTTGTTCGCCGGGGTTCTGACCTTGGTTTCGGTTGTACTTGGGAGTTGAGTTTTGCTAGATCAAAAAAGGGGCGTTGGTGGAGCCCAGGTCGGCGCCAATAACGTGGCCTTCTTTCTGCTTTGTCCCAGGCTCAGTTCGAAGGTGTGGAAATCGAGTCGACACAATGGCCTGGCCAGCGAGCCAGCAAACCCCAGACAGGAACGGCCGGGCCTGGCCCACAGAAATTGCCCTATGGCGTCCCTGTTCGTGAAGAAAAGCCGGTGGCTTCAAAGCGCCAAGAAAAGTTTCACGTCCCCTCGTCTTCCTCCTGCGACACTGGCCGTGGTGAAGATCCGTCGACGCACGTTCGGCCGACAACTTTACTCGTCCAGGGCGCGCTTTTGTTTGTGCCTCTAATTCCCGAGCTCAATCGTTCACAAACTGCCTTAGTCCGTATGTTGTACTTCTGTCCTGCACCCCTTTTTTCTTCTTTTTTTTCTCCCCTAATTTGTGATTTTCTGTGTCCTTCTGCGTGTCGCTTTCCACAGGTTACTTCTACAACCCAACATGCTCAAGCGAAGACTGCCGATTTTAATATGGATGCCTCATATGCGCCATAGCACGGGATTCGATCATTGGCCTTTAAGCCTATATCCCGATGTCATACTTTCGTAAAACGAGAACAAATCCGAGGAATGCGGTAGGAAGTGGTACACGAGATGAGTAGAACAAAACTAAAGAAGGACGGAGGAGCCAGACGAAATGCCAGGAGAGATACGGTGAAAGACGTAAATTTTCTTGTCGGGGACTTATATCAGTTAAAGTCAAGACAGGGGCTGCTACCAAGTCAAATTCGCAGGTCGAGCGGAAGATGCACGGGGAAACACAGAAGAAGCGCACCACGCCCAAAACAATGGAAAAAGCCAGCTTAGATTCAAATAACATCAACTATATTTCGAATAAAACAACCGTCCAGCCGGAAAGCTAATAAACACCACTCACCGGAAGATTTTAAGCTTTCGATTTATTTAAAAGTTGAGTCGAGAGCGACGAGGGGGCGGGATGAGAATTCAAGAAGATGGTGTAATGATGTGCGGCACACATTGGTAAGTGGCCATTGACACTGGTCAGCATTGGCAGATGCCCGACAAAAGCAGGGCCGGCGGTTGTGTACGTGCGTGTAAGCCTGTTTCTCCTCTTGTCCGACTTTGAACGTCGTGTTACCAGGATGACACGTAGAATCTGTCAGCTGTTTTGTCTCCTTTCAACGCCTTGGCGAAATGTGTACTGGTAAGAGAAAGCGTAGATCTTGAAGATGTGTTCGAGGGCATATTTGAGTGAATAGACAAACCGAGAAGAATAAAACAAACGACGGGAACGGACATCGCACGAAACACCAGCTCAGGCTCAGGGACTGGAGACAAGGTCTAGCAGAAGGTGACACAAAGCTTGGGCATCGGTCTAGATGGGGACGGCACTCGTAGGTCGTGTGGCTTGTGTGCTTGCTGGCCTTGTCTTGCTTGAGACGAACTGGGCGGCCAAATACGCAGGACATGAGTGCTGGGACCATAAATGCTCTGGGGTCATCCTCCGGATTGATAGAAAAGAGAGAGTGAGCCACGAAAGGAAAGGATCGTTGCCTTCCTCCTTATTAATTGCACTCCGCCAACGCCGCTAGGATGTGCTATTGGCTGTGGATGTGTTTATTGTGCATTGTTTTTATTTGTATGGATGTTCCTGGAACCCGCTCCATCTAGAGTGTCTTATGGGGTGGGTGGCGCCAAGACGCAGCGGGCGGTTTGATTGCGGCCATTTAAGGCGGCGTCTTGCCTCCGGGTAAATTCCCAAGAGGCACGTCCGAAGAAGGTTGTGTGGCAACCGTCGAGTGGGACACTTTTGAAGAGAACTTGGTATGAAAATAGGCAAAACGGGAGGGCCAGACACAGTACGGCAAGGAGGAGTCGAGGGCCGTGGCGATGCTGCTGACTGCATGTACTTTGATGTTTGCGAGAATTGACAATTGCGGTGTCGAGGAAGCACGGCATCGTGGGTCAGGGGCCCAACACATAGGGTCTGAAGAGCATCTCGTCGAGCGAGAGATGACAGACGAGTCAACACGATCTGTTAGGAGCTGAACTCATTCTGTCATAGCCTGGTTGGCGTTGGAATAGGCAAGCTTGGGCATGCAACAACATAGCCTTGCCATCCAGTCTCGGCATACCGCGAGTGAAGGCGCGGGCCCGGGCCGGCTACTGGTGCCAGACGGTGGTGTCTTGGCAGGAAATGCCATTGTTGGCTCATCTGGTATCTTCCCGAGGTGGTCCGGTCAGCCTCCGTCTTCTGCGCTTCTCTTCCCCAGTGCCTCCTTACGTCGTCCCCCCTTCCCAATTCTTCTCTTCCCTGTTGCCTTCTTTCGCCTTTGGCAACCTGCAGTAAGATCTGTGTAGCACCGCGACGTCCATCTTCTCACAGTCCTCTGTTGTGGCTCGTTCTTGTCGTCTCTTCTTTCCGCCAGAGTTGGAATCTCCCCACCATTGATGCGGCATCCTTTCGTTTCTACCCCTCCTTCATAAGATCTCGCCTCACACAACAGCACCAAAAATATTCTCGCCGGCCTCAATGCCATCCTTCCTAGGCAGGCCTGCAAGACTAGCTTGCTCCGTCGCTAAAAAACATCCAGCCTCCAAGCATCAAACCAGCCCTTTCAATGTATTGCCGTATCTGAAGCTTAGCAAGATATCCGTACGACAAAAGGATAACTCAATATGCACGCTGCTGCTACTCCTGCAGCCGCCTCTGCCTCTGCATCCGTTTTGTTCGTTTGCACGTCTCCAATACTAGGGCTAGCGAGTAAGCATGTCGTTGTTTTCTCTTCTCATTTCGGACCCTCCTCTATGGTCTCCCATCCCTCTTTCTGTGTCTCGGGGTTGAGAGATGGGCCCGTTATGTATTCCGAGTGGGTGACCTGACATTCGATTCGTTCCCATTTAATTCTCGCTCGTATGTCATGCATCTGGCTGTTGGCCCGCGTCCATACTGGCTCGAAAACCGTTTACTCCCTGCCCTCTTCTTGTTCTTCTTGCGGTTGCTTGCCTCACCGCCCTTTTTGTCGTCTCCTCCGTCCGCATTTTGTCCTTCTTCTGTTTATGCACATTGCCATGAAATAGTGCACTTTTTCGTTGCCCGACAGCCTCGCATGAAATGACAGGTCAGCAGCAACGATCAAGATGTGCAAAAGGGAACTTTTGTTGATGCAACACCCGTCGGGCGCGTTCCAGACGCCTGTCAAGGTACGTTTTCGTGCATTTTCGCCGTTGATGAGACAAAAATCGGGCGTGCCACGCTGAGGACAATATAAAACTGGCACCTATTACAAGCTTTGTCACTTTCGTCGATCTCGTCTTCTCTCTTGACATCGTCACCTTGGTCTTCCTTCGCGTCGACCTATCCCGCGAGCCACGGTGTGCCCCGCCAGCGATGTAGGGTCGCAACGGGCCTTGGTAGGCCCGAGTCAAGGGAGTGAGGGACAGACTTGTCTGCACCAGCCAGTTCAGGAAAGGCGCAAGCGGCTCTGGCGAAACACCCTCCCACTATAATAATGAACAACTGTACTGCGTAGTTCATGTGGGTTGTCGACCTCATACGTACGTATGATACCTGAACGCGAACGACCTCCGCTAGCTAACGCATTGCTATGCCGTTACGTACAGCTGGGAAAGGCCATACATTAAGTATGGATGACGAGAAGTTCAACTACATTTTTGCCAGCAATTGCTTGGAAATTTCTCTCAGGTCTTGCTTGACAAACAGCGGCGGGCAAGTGAAGGAGGCCAGCTTCTCGTCACACAAAGGACTCGAGGGATGAAGGACCATGTCTCTGTCGATTGGCCTGAAGGTCGCCCGCAGCGACAAGGCTTTCATCTGAAGTGTGGTTGGTTCGATGCAGTTTCGGAAACAAACTAGCATGTCGATGTCGTGGCACACCGATCTGGCCACTGTCCGTTTACAAATCAAACGAATAAAAAGAAAAGGAAAGAAAAGAAACTGATATGGAAGAGGCAGACGCGAGAAAACGAGCGCATGTGCAGAAACACGTCTGCAGCTCGCCGTGAGACACTGCAACCATGGCCCGGCCTTTCCTGGCGGTAAAACGCACACGTCCCAATCAGAGCGTTCATGCTGTCCGTCTCAACACAGAGCCCGAGGTCAATGCCACGACCCAGCGCGCCTTGTCTCGTTGCCCAGGAAAAAGGAGGGCGGATGCAAGCAGGACATGTGCAGGTTACGAAGGTTTCGTTTTGTTTAAGGAAGAGGAGCTACCAAATGTGCTGAAAGTGCCCAGAGCCGTGTGGCGCTGGTCAGCCAACTAGGCTACCGTCACCCCCTCACTCCTCTTTCCATCACACTGCACTGCGTTCTTCACCAGTAGACTACCTCTCCGGTTACCTCGCGACTCGTAACTGAGCTGCGGCTCTGGTCTCGCTCTGTGGCCTGTTTGATCCCTACCCTCGTCGTTTGCCATTGCATGCTCTCCCATGAGATACAGCTTATATATATTTGTAGGCAGGGCTCGCCCATGCACTCCCTCCCCTCCTCCAAACATTGCTCTGCAGCATTGTTCTCGAGAGACGAGTCACGCCTTTGACACTGCTCCTGTCTTCTTGTATCCTGTCGGATCCTTTGCTTTTATTGCTTCGAGCTATCTTCTGCATTCGATTGACAAAGTCCGTTTTCCAACCGTACCAACTCACAGTCCTTAAGTTCACCATCGCAGCCATATCTATCAGCGACTCGAATTCCACTTTCCCATCTTACAAGTTATAAACTCAAGAAAGCAACACGAGGCCGGGCTCTCCCCGTCCATGATGAGTTGCTCTATATAGCGAACAGCGACCTTGGTGCTCAACCAAAGCCCCCGCTCCCTTCCTCCGCACTCTACGTGTTTGATCTCCAGCCCACACCCCCTAGTCAGACTTGACGAAGGAGCTCGATGTTGTTGAGACTGCCACGCTATCCTTTCACCAATCTATGCCAGTCTCGCCACAATTCGCCTTTCAAGGAGCGTTAACGAGGTCCACATTGAGCCCGTTGCACGGTCACTCTCTCCAGGCTTGCTAAGCATCCGTTGACGGCTGTAATCGCCTTATCTTTTGGGAGAACCACACTCGGACACCTCTGTATTTCTCTTTTACCGTACTCTATCCACCACTACTCGACCCTTGCCAGCATCCAACATGCCTCCCTCTCACTACTCCTCCAGCTCCTCGGCGTCTAGCCGCTCGAGCCATAGCAGCAGCAGCTCACGCTCCTCGGCCCCGTCACGTTCTTCCCGTGAAGAAATCCGCTCCACCAAAGTGGCACTGCCTCGGAACCGTAAGGCCTTCTCTTGCATCGTCTGGTTTGCCGGCGGCAACCCGGGCCTCGTCAAGCACATCCGGCGCGATGACTTTACATACACTGTCGAATCCAGCCGCGACAGCCGTGGCCGCCGCAACAGTGACGGCGCCGCTACAATCTCGGAGCGCACAAAGTCCCGGTGGCACTTTGTCAAGGTTACAGATCGTGATTATGACGACGACGACGACTATTCATCACAGAGAAGCCTCCGGCCGCGTGGAGGCCCAATGCCATTCCGCGGTGCCGGTAGGCCTCCTGGGGGCCAATCCCGTCGACCAGGCGGCGCTTCTGAGTTTGGCGGTCCGCCGGCTTGGGTAGGTAGGCCAGGCGGTCCTGGTGGTGCTGCCGGTCCAGGCATGCCGGCGGCTCCCGGTGGTGGTCCGCCGATACCTCGTATGCCGAACGGGGTGCCTATGCCCATGAACGTGCCCGGTGGCCCGCAGCGGTTCCCGCCTGGCGGGCCACCCGGGGGACCGGCTTTCCGTGGGCCTATGCCTGGACCTGGCGTCCCACGCCCCGGAATGCGTCCAGGTGGACCAGGTGTTCCTGGTGGCCCCGGCGGCCCTGGTGTGAGGCCGAATATTGTGGATGTATGAGAGGGCATCTCGGCCCATGGCTAAAATTACCATGGCGCCGCTTTGAATTTCATTTCCGTCCTTGCTTTATTTGCCCTTTAGTTTGTTCTCTCTTACGAAACGACGTCAGTATGACTTTACGGGCCTATGATGGCTGCCCATCTCATTTTATAACTTTAACTTTTCTGTTTTACTTTATTTTCATATCTGTCGGGGACGGGGCCGTCGACCTGCCGTGAGTAGGAATGGTTTTGTCATTATGTTTTATTATCCTTTTTTTTCACCCACCTTTCTACCTCTGATGTTGTTTCTTATCCGCGGTTCGTGCCCCCTGCTATCGTTTTTGGTTCTGCCCATAATTTTCTACCGTTCGCCCCCAGTCCATTTTTTTGTTGTTCCAGCATTGTCCTCTTTTACCGCCTTCTTTTCTTTTATCACTTTGCTTTGACGCAACAGACACAAACAACCGGGCACCAGATAGACTGTAAAAGGCACTCTGGACAGACAATGCTTAGAATCAATACAGTAACAAATAAGACAAGAAATCGAACCAGAGAACACATCGAAACTAGAGAACACAATACTACCGCACGCGGCCTTTCTTTGCTACGCGTATCGTGACGATGAATGCGGCTCTGCGCTTCGACGTCATGCTCCGCACTCTTGCTGCATTCTTAGGATGCCCGCTCAGCAAGTGAAGATGATAGGCTGAGCATGTGCCACTAGCGCCCTGGGAGCTGCAGACCGAGATGGGGTTCTTTTGCTCTTGATAACGGAGTCAAGTTGAACAACCCCGGAAACGTTCCTGGCAAGATACCGCTGGCGGCACTGGCAGCCCGAATAAGGCTGTCAGACATTGTCGGCCATTGTAAGTTATTAACAGGCAGACCATTTTTTTTCTCTGTGTCTTGGATCCCTGAATTACCCGCTCCCACGCTTTTTGACATATTTGCGCCCTCTGCTGCTTGGCACGAGAGTTCGTGTATATCTCTGCCCGCGTATGTTTTGCGACGCATGTCTTGGTAGCTTGGATTGGTTTGTCGACACTCTTGTCATCGCGTGTGAAGTGGATCCAAGCCAGATGAGTCCAAACCAAGTAGATCCGATGTTTCTAGGCTGCAATGGTTGCCTTATAATAGGCGCGCAGGGGTGCAAACACCAATAATACAGCAAATCAGAAACGCGGCCGGTTGTGAGAAGTAGAAAATAAAATGGACAACACGGAAACAATTAACAAGCATTGCCAGCCGGGCACGGACAAGCTCTGCCGAATCTGCTGTCGGACTGGACCGGGGACTATCAACTGGGCAAATGAATATAAAATGGCCCGGCTGTAGGCATGTCGTCTAGAGCGTCTTGGAGCCCCACACAGTCATAGTGGTGTCTTTCTCTCCACTTTCAGGGCTCTGGCCAGGCTGCAATAGGACAATAGGATATGCACGTCAGATTCAAGAAGGAATGCACGGCTGTAGGAGGGCAGCTGGCGCAAACCGCGAGCCCAGCAAACGGCCAGAAGAGGTCGGCCTGGCCATATTTTACATTTTCCTTTTCGCCTCCCCTGCTTTTCGTCTTGTAGTATCTTTCCTTCAATCTCCAGGGGCGGCGTCTGCAGGCTTTTTCCGTGTGAGGTGTGCACTGCATAATGGTGAGAGATGGTATTTGATATACCCTACAAGTATTTTGCACGACGTTTTGCCGTTACGAACTCCGCCGAAGGGGGTACTCGTAAGCATTGCAGTTTGTAAGGTTCGCCAACTGGAGACAGATGCATATTCGCCGCCGGAAAAAGAATCACAAGGGTCACCGGGGGCGGTTGCAGCATTGTAGAGGACGACAGAGATCAAGGCTAGGCTGAGGCACGAGGGAGGGTGAGGCACAGAACCAACTGCGTCACTGTGAGGCCAACGACTGCGGCGCGAGGGCGTGGCTGTACGCGGGGTGCATTAGGAAGGTCATGCCGTGGCCTACTGAATTGAGGTTACGTCGCTCAAAGGGCGCTGTAATACAGCATACGTCTAAGAGGAACGCAAGTTGATGGCACCCAATAATTGTGCGACGGCCATCCCGTAGCGTGTCGCCCAGCAATAAACCGTGCGATATGTATCGCGCCCTGCAACTTGACATGTTGCGCATCCTCAACGTCGACCAGGGCAGAAGACCATCAAACCAGCGCAGTTTCTTACTGCACGTTGATCCTGCTGGGAGTGGGAGTGGAGGGGGGAAGGGGGGGGGTGCTCGGAAGTCTTGCAGAACGATGTTGCAGCGGTGCTCCTTCCCTTGAAGCCTCCTCGTCACGTAAACAAACGACCAGGCGATGCGGAGATAGCTCTTTCCCTATTCACTGCCTATTTGCTACCCCGCTATGGGACGCGACGCAGTCACGCATCCTCTGCGTGGGACGGAATTCCCCTAGGTCATTGGCCTCACAGATCTGTGCATAATGCGCCTGTCCAATCAACTGCCCCGCTGCTGTGTACAACGACCTCGCTGCAAAAGTAGGATGGAGGCTTGGGAGGGTCTTACGGCCCAAAGGTCGTCTTACCGACAACGCATGCCGCGTGAGGCCCCTGGAGCAGGAGCAGGAGCTGGTTCGGTTGCATGCTCTCGTTCTCTTGTTCTGTCGTTCTCTCGTTCTTATCTCGTCCCTTTTCCAATTATCTTCCTCAATAAGAGGCGACAGCGGGGGGGAATTCATTGGGGCCTTGCCCAACGGGTTCTCTTGCGCACCCCAGAGAGACCAATACGATGCGGTGATCACCGTGCAGGCTGTGTGGCGGGAGACATGACGAGCCAGCACCAGGCAAAAGACTGGACCGGCTGCAGGTAAGCGGACACGGCGAAGCACAGCACCTCAGGGGCCAGATCGGTTGGCCTGACCAGGGGTGGCTGCAGAAGGACGTATGACGCAGTTGGCCCCGAGAGTGGTACTGGTGCCTCGGAATGCAGGTTGCGATCGGGCACGGTGAGCTTGTAGTTGAGGCTGCTTCGTCAGGCCGTATAAGATCTTGTTCTTTCCCTCCTCTTCTGCTCTCTTATTTCTTTGCTTTTTCTCTGCATTGGATGGTTTCAGGGTACCTACTCTCCTTCTTTGTCTCTCTTAATACTCACTTTCTTCCCATTATTCGTTTTCTATCCGTCTGCTTGCCTGCTTGGTCTTATTTTCCTTGTCCTTCTTTCGTCCAATGTCAGTCACCCAATATTCTGTTTTTTCTTATCTGCCCTGCTCTTCTACCATATAATTTCTTTCATTCTTTCATTCTTTTTTCACCGAGGAACATCTTCCTCTCCTCGCCCAAATGGCGACCAATGCATCATGCAATACCATGACAGACCCTATGGCCACCGTCAGTCGGGCCTCGGATTCCTTTGCTAGCCAGTCCTCGGCGCCGTCGGCCGCCCTGTTGGATTTCTTCTTCCCGGGTCTGTCCGTCTTCACTGGTGCCCTTCAGCGGTACCTGCATATCGACCTCAACTACTATTTCCCGCTCGTGCTGTTTCTCGGCGGTGTCACCTTTGCCTGGAACTACTTCAGCAGCTACCTTTATGCGCAGCTCGAGAACCACTTTATGTCCACAGTCGAGGTCCGCTACGACGATGAGGTCTACAACATGCTCATGACCTGGGTCGCCTGCCAGCCGTTTGCCCAGAACGCCCGTCGGTTTATCGTCAACACCATGGTGGGGTCTCGCTCATGGTCGGTTTGGGAGTTGCAGTATGAGGAGCGCCGTCGCAATGCCTACGACTCGGACGACGAGAGCGGCGATGACAGCGACGAAGACGACGACGCTGGGGCCGACACATCGCCCGAGGGTCTCGCGAAGAAGAAGAAGCAAAAGAAAGCCCTCTCCTACACCCCGACCTTTGGCACGTACTACTTTTGGTTCCGCGGCAGCCTGCTCGTCTTCCGCCGCACACAGAGCCGCGACAATGCCGCCGTCAGCTCCGACCAGCGCGAGTCCATCTCTGTGTCTTGTTTCGGTCGCAACCCGGCCGTTCTCAAGCATCTGCTGCTCGAGACCCGTCGCTTGTACATGCGCCGTGATGCGCACAAGACCGTCATTTACCGTGGCAGCAGCAGCGGCGGCAGGTACCGTATAGGAGAGCCCACATGGATGCGTTGCATGGCCCGTAACCCCCGCCCCTTGTCAACGGTCATCCTGAACGAGAAGGTCAAGGACGGCCTTGTGGCTGATGTGGAAGACTACCTCGATCCCGTTACACGCCGTTGGTATGCGAACCGGGGCATCCCTTACCGCCGTGGTTACCTGCTGTACGGTCCACCGGGTACGGGCAAGTCGTCGCTGAGCGTCTCGCTCGCCGGCCACTTTAACATGAACATATACATTGTGAGCTTAAACGGCGTCGCCGCCACCGAAGAGACTCTCTCCGTGCTGTTCAACGACCTGCCGCGTCGTTGCATTGTGCTGCTAGAGGACATTGACACCGCCGGCCTAACGCATACGCGCGATCCCTCGTCCAGCGGCAAGGACGAGGGTGGGAGTGGATCCGACAGTGGCAGTGACAGCGACAGCGACAGCGACAGCGACAGCAGTGATGGCAGCGAGGATGAAGACGGCGAGAAGGACGGCGGTGGCGATAAGAAAAAGACCGACGACGACATGGACAGCAAGGAGAAGAGCAGCCGCAGTAGCAAGAAGGACAAGGCCGGCCGCTTGTCACTCTCGGGACTGCTCAACATCCTCGATGGCGTTGCCAGTCAGGAGGGTCGCATCCTCATCATGACGACGAACCACGTGGAAAAGCTCGACAAAGCGCTGATCCGTCCCGGTCGCGTTGACATGCTGGTCAAGTTTGACCGTGCCGACCGTGACATGACAGAGGCTCTCTTCCGGTCCATTTTTGCTACGCTTGAGGGAGACGGCGTGCCGGTGATGGACAGTGTCAAGAAGGATGCAGAGGCCAAGACCATGACCAAGGAGGAGATTGCAGACGAACAGGCCGCTGCTGCGACCCGTCTCGATGCATTCGCCAAGGAGTTCTCGGCCGTCATCCCCGAGCTCACCTTTAGCCCCGCTGAGCTGCAGGGCTTCCTCTTAAAGCACAAACGTGACCCTGCAAGTGCTGTCGCGGGTGCCGCCGAGTGGGTGACGACGGCTAAGGCTGCCAAGGACAATGCAGAGAAGCGCAATGAGCGCAAGAAGGCGAAGTCCAAGGCCAAGGAGGACCGCCATAAGCAAAAGCAGAAGGCGAAGAAGGAGAAAAAGGCCGCTGAGAAGGCCGCCGCCAAAGCCACGAAGGAGGCTAAGGAGACGAAAGAGAAGGATGCGGCCAAGAAGAAAGCTGTCAAGAAGTTGCTTAAAAAGGCGGGGACAACGTCCGAGAAGAAGAGTGACAGGGCTTCAGACGACGACGATCTGGACCTTGCAGCCCTGTCGGACCTCTACAACAGCGACGGCGATGCGGACGTGCGGAATAGCAGCGGCGAGGATGACAGCGACGTCAATATCAACGAGTACAGCTCGGACACTGACAGTGAGGCTGAGAGGAAGAGGCAGAAAAAGGCAAAAAGGGAAAAGCTCAAGCTGCAGCAGCGCAGACGGCGTCAGCAGCAGCAGCGGCCCAAGGGCCGCTCGGTTGTTGCCGCCGCGAACCCTGCGCAGGCTTCAGCTACCATTACGCCGTCCTCGTCGTCTGCGTCCGCGGCAACTCTTACGATTCCGGCGGCGCAAATCTCAGACCCACCTGTCTCGTCGGCATCGTCCGCGGCCGATCTGTCAGATCGGTCTGGGACGTCGTCAGACGCGTCATCAAAAGCGACCACTGTTGACAGCGCTTCTTCGGAAATTGATGCAGCTGATCTTGCACAAAAAGTGCAGGACAAGACTAAGAAGCCTATCGAGGCCTAATGTCTGGCGAATTTTCGGACGGTTTTTTTTTCCCTATAAAAGCGGGTGTAAGCACGGCCAGGCAACTCGGCCAGGGGCCCATTTTCACACATGACAGACATGATATTCCACGAATGGGGCGGCGTTGGAGAGTTCGTCTTCATTTTTTTTTTTTTTTGATCTTTTTCTTTGTCCCAGGGACCAGCTACTAGACCATGGCTGTTATCAGCTTCGCATGTTACGTTGTCGACGAGGAAGCGGCACGGATAGATAGAATTGGGCTATCTCTACATGTCACACTTGCGGCAATATTAGACACAGCATCTATCACAATACCGAGTGCACATGACACAGTAGCACAGAGCACATATGCATGAATCATGCACCCGATGCTATCGAAAAAATATGTTGTGCTATCCACAGAAAACAAACCCATTCTAAATTTTTGATATTGATTTTCCGCCACATAGCGACATTTTTCTCATTGCTCTTCGCTTAGCGGAGTGTAGGCATGGCCACGTCGGCCTTCTGCGACAGAGCATCAGCTGCCTGCCACATCGACGTCACGGTCTTCTGCTGCGTATAGAAGTTGACACCCGGACGGCCGTAGAAGGTGTTGGCACCACCACCGGCAATGGATGCTTTGTTGCCCGTGAAGGAGAACATGGGCAATGGCACCGGGATCGGTACGTTGATACCGACCTGACCAGCCTCAATGCGGCGGCGGAAGGTCTCGGCCGTGGCGCCAGAGCGCGTGAAGATGGCCGTGCCGTTGCCGTACTCGTTGTTGTTGATCAGGTCAATGGCTTCGTCAAGGGTCTCGACATTCAGGCACACAAGCACAGGGCCAAAGATCTCCTCCTTGTAGCACTTCATTGACGGCTTCACGTTGGTGATGATCGTCGGGCCGACCCAATTGCCATTGGGGTACTTCTCAGGCTTGAAGCCACGGCCGTCCAGCAGGATTGTAGCACCCTCCTCCTCGGCGCTGGCAATGAGGCTTTCAATTCGCGCCTGGCTCTGGGGGTGAATAACGGGGCCGAGATCGGCGCCGGCCTCGAAGCCGCCGTTGACGTTCAGGGCCTTGGCCATCTCGGCCAGCTCCGGCAGCCACGACTCAGTCTCAGGGCCAACAGTGACCAGGGTGGACAGGGCCATGCAGCGCTGGCCAGCGGCACCAAAAGCAGCGCCAACAACCGAGTTCATAAAGTGGTTCTTGTTGCAGTCGGGCAAAACGGCGGCGTGGTTCTTGGCACCCAGGTTGGCCTGGACACGCTTGCCGTTGGCCGAGCCACGGTTGAAGATGTACTCGCCGGCCTTGTTGCTGCCCACAAAGGAGATGGCCTTGATGACTGGCTCGTCCAGGATGAAGTCGACGGTGCGGTGGCCGCCATGGACGATGTTAACAACGCCGTCGGGGAAGCCTGCCTCGCGAACAAGTTCAGCCAGGATCATGGCGGCACCAGGGTCGCGCTCGGACGGCTTCAGGACCAGGGTGTTGCCGGTTACGGTAGCAATGGGGATGCACCACAGGGGAATCATAGCGGGGAAGTCTTAACAAAACAGTTGTTAACACACAGAACGTCCTCAACGCGACGCAGAGAGAGAGAGAGGGGTGGGGAGGGGGTTGGCGTAGAAAACATACTGAAGGGGCAAATAGCTCCAACAACACCAAGAGGCTCGCGGTAGCTGCGGGTTTCCATGTCTTTGGCGACCTCGAGGACCTCGCCCTTGAGGAGCTCGGAGGCACCGCAGGCGGCCTCAGCGACCTGCAGGCCACGGAGGACGTCACCACGGGCATCGGCCAGGGTCTTGCCTTGCTCGAGGGTGATGCTGGCGGCCAGGCGCTCCCAGTTGTCGCGGATCAGGCCGACGAACTTGAACAGGACGGACTGGCGGTGGATGACACTGGTGGCGCTCCAGGCGGGGAAAGCAGCCTGGGCGGCGGCGGCAGCGCTCTTCAGTTCGGCCTCGGTCATCTGGGGAACACGGGTGACAAGCTCGTTGGTGGCAGGGTCGTGCAGATCAATGAACTCAGTGGTCTCCGAAGCGACGAAGCGGTTGTTAAAGAAGTAGGGCGTGTCGGCGACGTTGGTGGCGGCCTTCGTGACGTGCTCCGTCGGGTAGCTCGTGGTCGTGCTCGAGAGGCGGACATCGTTGTACTCGGCCGGGTTGCGACGCACCACGGACGCGTAGATGCTCCGGGTGGTCGTGCGCGGGGCAATCATGTTGGCAGTAAGGCGGCGGGCCGAGGAGGGCGCCGAGGGCCGGGCGGAGCCAGCGGCCGCAACGCTTCTGGATATTAGACGACGCATTGTTGTGAATTTGGAGTAGGATGCAAAGCTAAGCCTGCAGCGAAGAGGACGAGGAGCTGGGTTGGAGAGAGTAGAGGGACGAGGGGTAGGAAAAAAACGCAGAAAAACAAGAAACGAGACGAAGGAGGAAAAAGACCAGAAGACGAGATGGACGAGAGGGAAGACGAGCAGATAAGTCGCTGAGGAAAACGAGGCCACAGGACCACCGTGGGCTAGCTAGTTCGCAACGCCAAGGACATTACCCGTAGAAGACAAGAAGTTAGAAGAGCCGGGGGTATCGGTGTGGAGGGTGGAGATGGCCTGTGGACTTCACATGGGAACTAGAGAGGGGTGGAGAGGGGAGGGGGCGAGTGTGTGTTATTGATAGGTGAGGAGGAGGACGGAGAATGAATCGGAGATGCTAGTCGAGCACAAGAAACTGAGGTTCCAGCTCGGCCGCCGGCTATGCCTTCCTTTTCGGTCCAATTGATGCAGTTTATCTGTCTGCTCGGGTACGGTCTTTCCTTCTATTTTGGGACTCTTCCTCTTCTTTGCGCTGCCTCTTTCCTCGCCAGAACCGACTGAACAAACAGAACTCAATGCTCAGAGGACGGCAGAGAAAGAGCGAGAGACAGCTGTCCCCAAACAAGAGCCGACCCAAAACACGGGCGTGGAGTAGGTGCGATTCGGCCCAAGGACGGCACTGGAGAACGATAGAGCCGTTGAATGCCGAGGGGCCGATGGCTAACACTGGCTATGCAGCTTGCTAACGCTGGTTGGTCGTTTTGTTCGTTGGACCAGAAGGCGGCTACGCAGTAGGGCCGCTTGGAGGTACTGGAATCTACGCTGTAGCAAGCAGTCCAGGCAGGGCGAAGCAGGGGCGACCAGGGGCGACTTTGACTAGCAAAAGGGAGGTACAACTGCCCAGAGGAAAAGGTTACGCGGGGAAATTCTCAGGGTTGTGTTGGTGTCGGATTCTGGGGATATTTAAGCCAACACCGCGACAGCGAATCCCACAAGCCAGCCGTATTAGCTGACGCCCTTTCTTTGCTTTATGCTGTGTTTCCCTTGTCCATCCCGCGGCTGGCCGCTCCAACTGCCATTCTACGGAGTACACATGCAGATACGATCCGTGTTTTTGTGCCTTCCTTGCGTGGCGCGGGGCGGCTTCGGAAAGTTTGACAAGAAAGGGCAGGAAGGGCCCACTCTATTCGGCAGGGAGGACGGGCGATGCTGTGTCTGTTAATTGGATAGTAGCTGCGTTTCTGCTTGCCCGGAAAACGGGAATAGCATTCAGTATTAGCCAGCGAGTGCCACATTGCGTCCAGATTCGCCTTCGCCGCCCGTGAGCCCCACCTCTGGCCAGGCCGGTGGACGCCCAAAGCTGCCACGAGAGGGGCTGTAGTGGCACGCGCCGCCGCCAACCGCTGAGCGCAGTCGGAAGGACGTTGAGAGACGGACCACACAATGGGCAGGTCATAATGCTCCGTTTGTGCTAAAGAAAACAATACATGTTCACAGGGACCAACTTCGACGCTTGGCAAGGCCCTCACAGGAGAACCGTGGATTTTGTTTAGTTGCCATATTGGGTTTGGGTCGTTTTCTTCCAACCTAACGTAAGATGCACTTTCATTGCGCCGATTTCATAACTAAAAAATAACGAGAGAGAAAACTTATGGAAACAAAAAGATATCCACAAACACAATGACAACGACAACTGCCTCTGTCTTTGCTTTGATCTACTTTTCAGTCTGATCCGCGATCCGCTATTGTTACTGTCCTTTCAAGACCCCGGTATTTCTTTCTTTCTTTCTTTCTTTTTTTTTTTTAATTCCCTTCATCCAGGGCCTTGGCCCCTTGCCGTCGTCTCAAATTTCTCCCAGACGGTCAGCTATTAGGACTGGCTGCGTGTCGCGCGCTTGGTGGCACCCTCCTTGCCAGTGTCGACGCCCGAAACGACCACAGCCTCCTGCTTGTCCTTACCCTTGCTCTGGGTCGCAGCCGGCTTACCGGCCGGAGCAGCAGGAGCGCTGCCGCCGAGGACGAACAGACCAGAAAGCAGGACGAGAACAAGGGCAGCGATACCGCCAGGAACCTCGGGCACCTGCTTGACGGCCTCAATAGGGTCGGCCGAGGCGATGGCGATAAACGCGTTGATCTTCTCCTTGACGAAGAGAATCGGGTCGTCGAGGAACTTGAGGTCCGACGCCACAGGCTTCTTCTCATCTTCAACCTTGGGCTTGTCGGCCAGCTCAAGCAGCTGCTCCACAGAGTGCTTCTCGAAGAAGGTCTCCTCGGCCAGCTTGCGGGCGTCCTCGACGGAGTGGCCGATGTAGATGTTGTCGAAGAGGATGTCGTTCTGCATGGTCCAGATCTCAAAGCCAATGGCGCCCATGGGCTCGAAGTTGGCGGGCGTCTTGTCCTCGAAGTAGGCGGGGTTCTTGATTTTGCGCGGGGCCCAGACACCCTTGTACGCCGGGTTGTCGATGAGAGGCGCAGACCACTTGCCCTTGTAGTCAGGGTTCTTCTTCATGGGCTTGGTCCACGGGCCACAGCCAGACACCTCGGCGCACTTGGGGTTCGGCACCGTGGGGGCCAGCCAGTCACCGTCCTCGTCGTCCTCCCAGTCGGCGGGCTTCTGGGCCTCGGGATCGGGGATCGTCAGCGGCTCCTCGTCGAGCCAGTCCTCGGGCTTGGTGGCCTCCTCGTCGATAATCTCGAACGGAGCGTCCTCATCCCAGTCCTCGGGCTTCTTGGCTTCGGGGTCCGCGATGCGAGCCTCATCAACCCAGTCCTCCGGCTTCGTGTCCTTGGCGTCGTCAATCTCCTTGGGCGGGTTGACGGCCGGGGTGAAGTCTTCCAGGAGGCTGCCCTCCTTGACGTTCTCGCCGTTTTGCTGGATAATGTAGGTGTTGTTGGGGTGGACAATAAGCGTGTACAGCTCCGTGGTCTTGACAATGCGAGCAGTGGGAGGGCTGTTCAGGTGCTTCTCCTCGTACTCGCCAGTCTTGGGGTTCTTGTGATTGAAGATGAAGTGGACCTTGTTGGTGTGGCCGCACTTATCCGGGCCAAACATGATGACGTAGGGCGTGGTGTTGGCGAACTCGTCCTGGTGCAGCGCCTTGGTATCGCGGAGCAGCTTCAGATACGCACCGCCGCATTCCAGGCCGTCTAGTTGCAACGTTAGCTTTTGCGCAAAAGCGACTTCCGCCTGCACACACAGCCGCACACCACCGATGGTTCCTGAGATACGGATCAAGGAGACTTACTCTGAAGCTTGACCTCATACTGTACAACAAGTGTCTTGCCCTTGTTGTCAATCTTCTTGGGGAACTTGGCCGAGATGGCGTGGTGAGCCGCCTTGTTCTTGACCACGAGACCCTTGTCGTTCTCCATGCCTTTGTAGACGGTAGGCTCCTCAACGGCCCACTCGCCGACGTAAGCCCACTCCTCCTCCTCACTGCCGGAGCTCTTCATGTCCTTCTTGGCGTGGGAGGGCTTCCACCGCTTCTCCCAGTCGTCGGTGAACTGCTCGAGGAAGTCGGCCTTGAGTTTCGTGGGCTTCAGGAGCTTGTCAGTATTGGTAACAAAGATGGCGTAGCAAACCCAAACATCGTAAAAAGACAATCCTTGGCGATTGACGCAAAGCAATACGGATTGCGACATCGCGGGGGCAAACGTACCGTGAACGTCGGCAGCTCCGGGGCCACGGAGGAAGCGGCTGCAGCCGCGCTGTCATCCTGGACATCCTCAGCATAGGCCTTGCCAGCCAGCATGGCCGCACCGAGGGCGGCAGCAACAGAGTTGATACGCATGGTGGTTTGTGAACGGGCAGAAATGGAAGAAACCAATTGAATTGAAGGCGGTCTCAATCGCTTGCGATAAAGAAGACCTTCGAAACAGGGGCAGGACAAAGAAGAACAAGAGAACCGAGCTCTCTCTCAAGACAAACAAAAGCAGCGAGAAGAAGCAAAATTGGTGAAGCGACAGACGTCGGATTGAGGAACGAAATGAAAAGAAGAAAGGGAAGAAAGGGAAGACGATGTTTTAGTGGGTTGGAGTCTTAAAAGAACGGTTTGGGAGGCGGCGCAGAGCTTCTGCTCGTCGAGGCTACAGAATCATCCAACGTGTCCTTTTTTTAACGCACTGCTGTCGGGTGGTCCTCCCTGAATGCACTGTATTTTGTCCCCCTCTCGATCCGCCAAGCGGGCTGTTGATTGGCCAACAGTCCGGTGACAGGGAGCCTCCTCTGACGGCCTCGTCAGGGTATTAAGCTCTTGACCTGTTGCAACTGGCACTGACGCCTCTGGACAGAACATAGTGCGGGGGCGCCTTCACATATTTTAGTTAATTTTGGTCAGGGACGCCGTTGGCCTGTGCTTTGCGGTTCTAACAGCTTCGAAAGTTCCACCAAGTGCCATTCCTCGGAGTAATAAATCGTACACCCTTTGTTCCTGCCCCTTAAGGTCATCCACGTGTAAACCTGGGGTCTCCTTTCTGCGGGCCATTTTACAAAGAGGAAGGCGCGAGCAACGATGAGAATTGGCCCACCGCGCTCACCGATCGCATCGACTATAAGCACAGGAAGGAACGAGAGATGGCAATTGAACTGCCACGCGTGCCTTCCAAACGAAGCGGTTATAGGAGGACAGAAGGATAGAAAATAAACCACTACCATGCCATAAAAATGACATAGAAAAGGCCTCGAAATAACATGTCATGCATTGGGTACCCAGCTTGCAGAGTTGGCCCCCACAGCAATCACGTCCTTTGATCGACATACCCTTACTGTTGTACTCAGGCAAAGATCGAAACCAGCCACCTCTCAACTGTCTAAACACGGCCAGCAACACTGACAATTGGCTACCAAGCCAGGCATTGAGATACAGATAGGCCCGGAGTTTCACGGGAGATACGAGGCCTGTCTATCTCAGACAATACCGTGAGACTGGCACTGTCTGGCTGTTCACATTCGTGCAGCTGGTTGGTTTAGTTTTTGATCGGTGAGTGAAGAAGGGTAAAGGCTGGATGCCAGGATGTGAGTGAAAACGGGCAAACGTCCTGAATAACAAAGAGAATGTTTAAGAGAACAGACATTGAGATGAAAGAGCTTAAGGCCAGCTGTCAACTTTCGTTGACAGCCCGTCGTGGAAATCGGCAAAGAGGCCGGCGCAGGGTCTTCCGCGTATCTTGATCTTGGGGGCGACCACGTGGAGAGCAATGAGCGTGCAAATTGCGCCAGTGGTGTGTCTGGTGGCGACAGGGACTGGGAAGCCTCAGCATTGGGCTGGCTGGTTCCAATTGGTAAAGCACATTAGGCTAGGTCATCGAAAAGAAAAGAGCTAATACGACAAATTTCCAAATCGCAAGCCAATGCCCACTACCTCCACAAACCCGTTCTGACTTTTAGCCTCAATCACGGCGCAATCTATCAGCAAAGAGTCAATCAAAGACGCGACTAGGCAAGACACAAAGTGAAGCAGCGGGAAAATCCTCCTCAGGAACTTTTGTTCCGTTTCGTTAGACCAGGGCCGAATACTGTGGAGCTACGTGCGCATTGAGCCCCTGATATGATAGAGGTTGACTGGTACGCAGGAAAAGTCACACCCGAACCACAGTTCAAAAGGGTAGTTGCGTGGAACTGTCTTCTCTACAATCGTTTTAGCCGACCAAACTTTGAGGCTCCAAGCGGCGAGCAAGAGTGCTTCCGAGAGCTAGGAAAGGAACAGGCATCAGGATGTCCGGCGAGGCCAGCGCAACATCAGACGGGGCATCGAACAACAACGAGCAGCTTGTCATCTCCATCGACCCGAAGCACCCAGCGAACCTAGTCCCGTCGCTGTGCGCCAAGTTCTGGACCCTGGGTTGGGTGACCGGTACCGGTGGTGGCGCTTCTATCCGTGATGGGTGAGTCGCAAATGTAGAGACAAACTCTTCTTTGGAAAGGCCACTGTATGGCAGAAGCGCTCCTAACAAGCTATTGCAAAGGGATCTTGTGTACATTGCGCCTTCTGGCGTGCAGAAGGAGTTGATGAAGAACACGGATATTTACGTTATGTCACTCGAGGCACAAGCCAAACTGGAAGCAGAACAGAAGGCAAACGGCACATATAACTTCTACCGACCGGAACGCACGTATCTGCGGAGTCCCGTGAACCTGAAGCCGTCGCAGTGCACCCCGCTGTTTTTGGCCGCATTCACGAAGCGCAAGGCTGGCTGTTGCATCCACACGCACAGCCAGTGGGCGGTGCTGGTGACGCTTCTGCTGGAGCAAGATGGCCGGCAAGGCGGCAACGGGCGCGAGTTTTGTATCAACAATGTGGAGCAGATCAAAGGCTTCCGCCGTGGCTACCAGAAGACAGGCAACATGGGCTACCACGACACCCTGCGCATCCCTGTAATCGAGAACACACCTCAAGAGGAGGATCTGACTCCGTTCCTGGAGGAGGCGTTGGACGAGTACCCCGATACATACGCGGTGCTGGTGCGTCGGCACGGTGTATATGTGTGGGGTGATACGCCGGACAAGGCCAAGGTAGTGGCAGAGTGGTATGTCGCCACCCTCCTCCTTCGTTTCTCCGCACGGGCCGGTGAAGAAGACGTGCTGATACTGACATATGCTGCAGCTACGATTACCTGTTCCAGCTGGCCGTTGAGATGCGCAAGCTTGGGTTGCCGTGGGTCAGTGACATCAAGCCGGTCGATCTCAAGCACCACCAATAAACAGCTGCTCAAACACTTTGGACCCGACCAACACCCTGGAGACAGAAGCACAGCAGCGGTAGACGTCTTCACGAACGACAAGCGTAGACATGCAGCAGATAAGGCCGATTGCAGGGGATATCTTTGATTAAATCGTTTGTAGAGAAAAGCCCTTTTTCCAATACTGCAAAATCCATCGAAGCAGCTTATCCAATACCCCCTACCACGACATTACATTATGTGAAGTTGTATTTTTTGTTCGAATGCGCGAGGCAAGGAGTGATGCAAATCAGCGCTATCCAACTCTCCGTGCTCGAATTATGTTGGAAGTAAGTCATCCCCGTTCCGTTTCTCCCCTGTTCATCGTGCGTCTTGTGCATATATTTACAGGGCAATCAGTGCGGCAACAAGGCCCATGAGACCAAAGGCGGACGTCGTGACACGCATGGCCTCGCCGCCGTTCTTGGACGAGGTTGCAGAAGCAGTGGAGCCGGTGGCGGTGCCCGTGGCAGAGCCAGAACCAGAAGCAGCAGTCTTGTCGGGGCTGGAGCCAGTCTTGGCGCCAGCAGTACCAGTGGTGGTGGCAGTGCCGGTGGCAGCAGCGCCAGAGCCAGCGGCGGCGTTGGTCTGCTCCGGAGTGCCGGTAGACGTGTAATAGTTGGCACCAATGCAGGCGGCGACACAGTCGGCGTACTTCAGATTGTCCGAGGCGGTGCCGTTGCCCTTGGGGCAGTCAGCCACGCAGTTGTTGGTGGCATTGGCCTGGGAGGCGTTGGGATCAGGGACCTGGGAGAGGAGTTAGCAGCAAGGTCACCTTTGGACGCACAAAGCAGTACCGGGAACAAGTAGTGGACACATACAGCAATGCACTTGGCACGGCAGCTGACGTCGTCGGCGGAGCAGGCGTCCAAGCACTTGGTGATAGTAGCCTGAACCGAGGACTGAGCAGCACCGGCACTGGACACAGCGGTGGTGGTGCCCGTGGTGGTGGACTGGGCCGAGGCGAAGGCAGCGAAGACGCCGACGAAGAGGGCAGCAGAGAAACGCATGGTAGCGGTTGGTGTGGATGATTAGGTGACTAAAGTAGACGAGACTGGGTTGCTGTATTAAGAGGCCACGAAGTAAAGGGCTGAATATTTGCAAAGAGTGTGAGAAGCGAAGAGAACGAGCGTCTGGGGGTGAGTGGTATGGATGCTTGGTGAGAAGAATCTGAAGAAGAAAAAAGAAGAGGGAAAGGAGAAGAAACAGAGGTGAAGAGAGGAAGAAAAGGGGAGAGGCCTGGCACTAACAAATAGTAAAATCTTTCTACGAGCTGGCCACAAAGCTATGGTCTGCGGGTGCATATAAAATGGAAATGAGCTATATGGAGCAAAACAAGCGTGTAAACAAGTTTGTGCTCACTGTGTGGCACGTTCTGAGCTCTTGGGTTCTTGGCTGAGCTGCAAGGCACGCGCTGACACCCCTCCCCCCCTCCTCTCCCAACAGTATTTGGTCGTCTCTGCCTTCTGTATTATTGAGAACGGCAAGCGGCTTCCTCTGGGCGGACCGACTGAGCTGTTGCCGTCGTGTGATGGGGGCAGCGGACTTGTCTGGGGGTGTAGTTGCAGCTCAATTTAGCGTGATGCGAACCGTGTCCCGCTGGTCGACCGTGTGTATATCTCTTTGTCCACGCACAACACAACGGCGTTGCAGATTGGATGGAGTATATTTTTACACAGCAGTCTTTGAGACGGGTTTCCCGGTACAAATCGTGCTTTTCCTTTGTGAAGTGCATCGTGCAGCGACGCCTAAATTCGAGCACATATTGTTTGAAGTCTATTGATATGGAACCGACACTCCTGCGCCTTTGGTCCTTCGATGCGACTGCTCCACACATTGTTCTATTCTCCGCGTGACTTGTTGTGGAAGACTAAAAAAACACGCTCCATAACCGCCCGATACACTGGCGTGGAACCATTCGGCCCCCTGCGCAACATACATGTACTTCGTACCATCAAGATCGAGGCGGTGCAGAGAGGCAGGCGGTAGACGAAGTGGGCAAAACTCCACCAGATGTCGAAACACCGTCTGGGGAACTTGATGTGAGGTTTCTCTGGTTTTTGTGGCTGATCAGTAATGATGTCCTCCAGCATGGGTTGAATGGGTAGAGCAAGGCATGTAGAAACCTGTTGTCGTGCCACGATGGTCACCATGACTCGCAAGGCTACTGCCTGAACACGGACGGACAAACGAAATGAGCCATTGCGAAAAAAGAAAAGAATGCAGAAAGCAATACGATGTACTAACAGGAGTGACGAAGGTTGCATTGTAACTGGCCCCATGCTTTTCGGCAGTCTTGGTTCGCTGGGGCCAAAGCACAAGCGGACCGAGTCAGTCCACACATCACAGGCCGGTTTTCCGTAGCTGCCCACCCCTTTTCCTGTAGCTGAGGGCGTCTTTGGGTCGCCTTCCCTGTCACAGCTCATAATTAACTATAGCCCGCAAAGATACTTTTTCATTTTTAAAATTACCGCCTCTGTGAACATTTTACAGCTAACGCACAATCGAAATACGGGGCATAAGGCAGAAGAAGGACGATAATGTGTCAGGGATCAACTGGGCAATGCATACAACTTACTTATTCCGTAGGGAGGAGCATTAGAATACTTTCGCTCGTCAACGAGTGGGAGACCCGCCGTTGGTTCTCAACTGGGTACTTTCGATGAGATCGCGTTACCCTTCGGGCCGGCAAAATGGTAAGATAGTTGCTTCGAAGTGTGCGGGATAGCTCACAGCTCGGGCCAAGACGCGGACGCGTCCTGCTAATTTCTCATTGGTGCTTTGGTTGTCTTCTGCACTCGCCTCGGCACACAACACCTCGTATTCAACTTGGCTTTGGCCGTGTCGCCACATGAAATCAGACAGAAGCCGGACACCACAAACAAGAAGGTGTTGAAAGACAACAGACGCCACCGTCCATGTTCGGCTTTTGCTTCAAGCCAAACATGAAGTGACGGGTGGAGAGGAATGTGTTCAGTCCGTTTGCTAAGGAAACCGGGTTGAGCATTCCTGGACCACTAGCAAGGGGAAAAAAGAAAGAAAGGAGAAATGCAATTTACACTGAAACAGCCACCAACAAGAGAACGAGAAGCGAACAGCATGGCCGCCACACCAAACGGACATCGTCACTATTTCCTAACTTTTCAACCCTTGTCCGAGTTGGAGATGAAGAAGGACCAGGGGTCTGCAGCGTGCCGTGAAAAGTGGGACCAATACTGACCTTGTTCACGCCTGGCTTTATCGTCTTTCTCCTCATTTTTGCCGTATTCCTGCCATTGGCTCCCACCTCCTGTTGCTGCTGTTGCATGACCGCGTGTCTTTTTGATCTTGAGTGGTGGACGTTGACGAGGCGCATGTTCTTTTGTGTCACTGTAGGACGATTTATTTTGGTCGTGGAAACGGCCATCCTCTCACCCTCCCATCAGGTTGAACAATCTCATCTGTTTCTCTGTGCACACTCCAAGGAGTTATTCACTTCGCCGACTATAGGCATTGTGTATCCTGTAATTACGGACAGAACGAGAAAAGAGGTACAGCGGCAATGGCTTGGCTCTGAACGAAGTGAAATAGCCTGCATCACCACAGCCGCCCACTTGTGTTCCACTACAGGGACTGCCATTTCTTCCAGTGAGCATGGCCGTTCGATCGTTGAAGCAACCGCCACCTTGACCATATCCCCTTTCTGTCCGCCACATTTTACTACTGGCCGCGTATGAGCATAATGCCCCCTACGAAACAGTATCCGCCATACCGAACCTGGAAGTCCATGGCACGTCTATGTTGTACATGTTGAGACAGGCTTTATTTAATTTTCCAATGCGATATCATATCTACTGTCATGCTCTCTACTTCGTAGACACGGCTGTGGACAAAGATGAGACTGGCTCGTAGGAAGCCCCCATTCGATCAACTTACTTAAAATCGGGGCGTGCTCACGCCACGTGATATCATCTCAACTTTCATGGCTCCATATTTTGTCGAAAGGATTCCATTGTAACATTGTAGCGTACAAAGTACTAACACGGAAATCCTCCATTCATGGGGTGCATTTTGGCCTAGTCTTGCACAAGGCTGATCCGCAGCCTTGTCTCACGCCCTTTTCGTCCTCCCTTGCCAACATTGACCATATCTACAACTACCAAGGGATGACGCCCTGGCGGTTGGTGTATGTCGCCGTCTCGCCATCAGGCCCCAACGTTGCCAAGCGTACTGCGTTGATGGATCCGTTCTCGACAGTGTCGTAGCCGGCGTATCCGTTCAGGTTCGTCGCGCAATAGCCCGGGCAGTTGCAGTTGATCTTCCAGTTGGTCGTGTCGCCCTCCAAGTCCACCATGTAGTGCCACGCCAGCATGTTGAGCGCCGCCTTGCTCGTCGTATACGCGCGTGCGACGTTTGCGTGGGTTTGCGCCTTGGGGTCCGACTTGTAGCCCATGCTGCCCAGCGTCGACGACATAAACACGATACGCTTCGGCTTGTTGGTCTCAATCGATTTCTTCATGAGTGGCAAGAACGCGTCCGTCACCGCGGCCACACCACTGACATTGGTGTTCATGATCGCAGCCCACTCGCTGCGCGTCTTGACGGCCGGGCTGGCCTTGGCCAACTTGGGGTCCGTGTAGTTGCTAATGCCCGCGTTGTTAATGAGCACGTCGAGGCGGCCGTGCTTTTGCTCGACCTCTTGTGCCGCGGCCTCGATGGACTCGTCTGAATCTACATCCAGAACGACGGGTTCGACTGTCAGGCCGTCGGCCTGCAGCTTCTTGGCAGCCTCTTCAATGGCGTCCTTGCGACGGCCCGCCATGACAACAACATAGTCCTTCTGTTCAGTGGCTAGGCGCCTGGCTATCTCGAATCCAATGCCTTGGTTGGCGCCGGTGATGAGGGCAACAGTCTTGGAAGCCATGTTGGTGAAAGATCGATTTGATTGCAAAAAAAAGCGAGGAGAGGCAGACTTGGTAAAAAGGTGGATGGCTGGTAAGCGGGTAAAGTACATGGATTAATGAGGCAGTCGTTCAGAATCATAAAACGAACCAGGGGCATCCGCAGGCTACTTCAGCACGCATCTTTATATATTGTTATGTGGCGCTCGATGAGAAGTCTGCCTTCAATATGTTGCCACGAATGTTGGTAGCACGGACGACCTTGGTGGTTACAGCATTGGTGGACGCGAATTAGTAATGTTGGTTGATGACAATGTTGTCCACCCGGAGAAACGACCAGTAAACTCCGGTTGGCGACAGGCGAAATGGTACGGCGCTTTCATTTTTTTCACAAAGAGACTCCCGCGCTGCCAAGCTGCACGGCCCTAGTTCGCGGTGTTAGTGGTTTGCATCAAAAATAAATCCCGGAGACATACGTTGCGGAGAGTTTCATATTACCGTTTTGCACGGAAACATAAGAGTGTATGTCCAGCACGGGTTCTGACGTATACGCGACCTCCGTCAACACGGAGGAACAACACACGATGACAAACCAGACCAGGCGACAACGGTGACACGACGACACGCAGTCTTCTGGACACCTGTCATGATGCACCCATGCTCGCCTTTGTTGCGAAGAACGAAGGAAATTCGGCAGCGTTCGTCGAAGGTCACGGAATTCCGCTTCCGCAAGTGATACCGTCTAGGCGCACACGGGGAGCATTTGATTCGGCTTTCGCCTCTCCTGTGTATGAACATTTTCTGTCCAACACACCCGTCCTTCCCTCATTGGCGTTCCATTTTTTTGTCAGCCAATTTGGAAAACAGGCAACGGTATAGTTTGTTCATATTCGCGTAAGAATGTGTTATGTAGGCGCCAAGGGCGGCATGGGCCGACGCACTGCCGTCCGGGCCTGTCTGCTGTATCTGGGTATACGGCAAATCATACAAGCTCGGCGTCGCCCGCCTCGACGAGCGGCTTGGCATCTGACCACCGCAGAATCAGCACGTCCCCGTCCTCGCCTTTGACGATCTCGTCGACGTCGACGCCACGGCCCCGGACGGCGCCGTCACGCAACAGACGCACAAAGACGGCACCGTCGAGATCCGGGCTGTCAATCATGCTGATGTTGCCGGCGGTGTCGTTGAGGTTCTGCAGGTTCGGTGGGAACGCGCCGAGAAAGGACGACAGGTAGTGATTGTGCAGCAAGGCTTGATGGCGCGTGGCGTAGGCCAGCTCCGTGTCGGACATGCGTTCGCGCAGGTCAGGTGTGGACAGGTAGTGCAGTGTGTGTTTGTCAATCTAGAGCAAATGGCCGCGTGGATTGCCCATTGGGTCAGCTTTGAATGCTCTCGTGCTCCTGTCGTTGGAGATGAGACAGCTTCCTCCTCCTCCTCCTTCTCCTTCTCCCCCCCTCCCCTCCCCCTGTCCCTCTTCTCACCTTGGCGATACGCGCACGCAAGTAGCTGCGGACGAGGTACTTGTAGCGCTCGAGCTCGGTTTGGATGACGATAAGGGCAAAGTTGGTCTTGGGGTCCATGTCACCAGTCATGTCCTCGACGGTTTCAATTTGGTGTGTGATACGTTGGTTTACGCGTTCAAACAAGCCAACGGGCCATCTGCAGAGAATTGGCAGTCAGTACTCGGTACGGGCCCAATACATACTGTCCGGAAACAATCCCCGCTTCGGTCAGCACCCCGCCGCCATTGCCGACACTCGGACTAGGATGTGCGCAAACGTCTCCCCTTTCTGTTGCTTCCCCTCGCGGATCCAACGAGTATGCAAAACCCAGTCACTGCTGCATCTTACGCTAGTAGCTCTGGCGCCGAACGCTCAGCAATCCAAGCTCGTGTGAGGGCCTGGAGGTCGTGCGTTTCCTGGCCGGTGATGGGGTCGAGACTGGGGTCGACCTCGCGCAGGATGTCGTCAATGTCCATTGCGAGAGGACGCTGTGGCATATGGAGTCGTTTACGAAGTCAATCAGCTGCGGGTTGTCGTCTGCAACGGCTGTGGTGGTGTCGGACGGGTGCATGCGGCGATGCGTCGAGTCCTTTGAACGGTTCGAGGTTTCGCGATAGGTGTTGCAGGAGTGTGAGGGACGCGTTTTTTGGCGTGGCTTGGGCCGGCCCCAATTGAGCCAGGGTCTCCGCTAAAACGCTTTGCTTACTGGCGGGGTGCACTTGACGCGTAAAGTGGTCCAATTATAGGGGGAGGGGTGCTGGCGACCGCATACTATGGGCCGAAACCACTGAAAGCGACTGAGGACACTGAACTAAATCATCCTGCGCAACACGTGTGTTCGCACCAACAGCAAACACGCAACTCACCAGTGTCCCCCGGCCTCCTCCTGCGAGCTGCTCCGGCGCCTGCTAGTTTGCGAAGCGCATAACCTATGACGGAGAAGGTTACAGGCGGGATGGATCGATGCCGTCACCACTCCCGAGAGGGCAATCCACAATACGTAACAAGCAATACGAAGTACGACATTCATACGCTACGCGTTGTCTCCAGCGTGCAGCATCTGACCGCCTCGTCGTGCGGTGTGATATCGGAGTCGATACCAGCTACGACTCAAAGGAAGAGAAATACACAAAGATTTGAAGTACTCCGTACCTCGCCAGTCTCCAACAGCGAGCTCCAGCATATCCAGCTGAAGAGCGGCGCCCTTTGAAAGCCGGATGTGACGTTGGAGGCTCAAAACTGGTGCCAACGCATTGGTGCCGCGCTTGGCACGGCCCAAACACTGGTTATTGGCTGTCTCACCTGCATCAAGGACAGCTGCAGAATAGATGAAGCGAGAAAAATGCGAAAAACGAGCTTCGACGGCCCCCAAAGAGGAAACGAGGGCGGCGATGGCGACCCACGGTGCCCACCGCCTTGCTGGGCTTTCGGCCGGCCGTCGAATCAGTAAGGAGCGGGGCCTGCGAGGTGATTGTCAGCCCATGCAGGCCCCAGCCTCCGGGCGAGGCCATTCGCGATTGCAGCTACCAGGTGTGGCAGGAGAGATGTAGATAAGAGACAGAGACGCAAGGTGAGACGATGTAAAAGAGAATGGGCGACAGTGGGAAAGAGGGAAGGAGGAAAAGCAGGAACTGCGGAAGGCGCAACGTCGTGAGAGAACAAAAGGCAGATATCACCCGCGTACGTGAAGCCATTGTCGAGGCTGAGAGGTTATGCCTCCGTCTTCTGTCTTCCATCTTGCGTTATGTATGGCTCTGCGTTTCTACTTCGCATTCACTGTCCCGTACAACCCCATCTCACCGTTGTCAATATACGCAGTCGTTGACCACACAATCTCAGCTGCTCCCAGTTTCTTCTTGGTTCATCCTCGGTTGCTCGTGTTCGCTGTCATCCCGTTGGCTTGTTTCTCTCTCTCTTGGCTTCTTGTTTACGGCTTAACGAAAACCAATTTTCTCCTCTCCTCTCATATTGGCCAAGTTGGGCAAGTGGCCGGGGCGTTTTCTTTGTTCTCAGTACTTCGTGATGCCTAGCTCCACCCGGTCACTTACACATGCCTTCCCACACGCTGCCCACTCTTGTCCACTCTTGCCCACTCCTGCCCACAGAGGCTGGATTGGTGAACAATTGGTTCTCGTTCGCACTTGCCGCATCCTTCTGAGCCCGCCCACCACTCTTGCCTCGAACAGCACCACCACCTTTTCGGGGTTGCGTGTTTTGTATTTTTTTTTTTTTCGGTATTTTGTGTATGTTGATTTTTGTCCTACTCTACCACCAGCTGCATCCACTGTGCCTCTCAGCCTCTCAGCCTCTCCGCCTCACGCCTCCCGCTCCGTTCGCCTGATTGGCAAGGGAAGTTGCTGCCACCCACGACGATTGTGGACTGTTGGTCGTTATCGTTGTTTGCCGTGTACCTTTTGGTACCCATTTTCCGACTGTCGTCCTCTTCACTTGTCGTCGGTTTTATTTTTCAACGATTCTGCCTCAAATCTCACTGATTTTGTGTGCCATTTACTTTCATCCCGAGTCCATTTCGCGAACTCTTCAACGCTCACCCGAGCTCCTTGTTCATCCTGGGCATGGTTTACGCTTCTTATATCGGCTCTTCCCTCCTCCCTCCAAACAGCCCGTTTTTTCTCACAAGGCGTCTTGAGGCGTTGCCGGAGTCCCAGCTCCACAGTGTGGTGCTGACGATATGTCCCCAATTCGACAGTATCTGAGACACGGCAACAAAGGATACCGTTACTTACTTCCCAAACAAGCTACCATCGAGCAGCCAGACCCGCTACTCTAGCCTCCTAGCTCTCATAGTCTACGCTTTCTCCTGTTTCTTCTTGGCCTCTCCGTGCTTCCTTGATGGCTCGTCTATTTTTTTTCTCTTGCCATCGACCGTCCGTGTGACAAAGATCTAGGAAACCGGTATTCGTGTCGTCCGCCTCTTGTTGTTTCTTTCTCCCCCTCCTCTTTGGCTTGCAACCCTTAAATTCTCTTATCCCGTCGACGTTTCCTCCGTCCTGGTCGCCGTTCTGTTTCGCACGTTATTGATTCTGGACCATCATAAACCACCGTACAACTCGCATCCGGCATTGTCAAACTGGCATCACTCGACAATATTTACAGCTAAGCTCTGGACAACGCAATTGTCACCTCTCTATATTCTCCCGTCTCTTCGCACGCATCGCATGGCCTGATTCGACACACTGTCTCCGAAAGACACATTTTTGGGCACCGCCATCCGGGTTTCCAAATAAATTCTCACACCTCGTCCGATCAACTATGCAGCCGTCAAAGACTCCACTATGCCAGTTGCTGTAGGACGTCTTGTCGCCCATGTCCTGGGCTACCTTAGACCGCTGCATATCCCGACTCATGCTCGAGGTCACGATACAGTACCAGCCGACGGCCTTTCACACAACTTCTTTGACGGCTTTGCCCCTCAGCCGGCTCTCGATGGCCGTCCACCACAAGTCGGCTTTCGCCGTCCACAGCAGACTGAGCATATGAAGCGGGACTGCCTCGCCAATGGCACCAACTTTTGCTTTGGTGACAGCAGCAACTACTGCTCATTCTGTGGCACATGCTGCTCAAGCCCCAGCAACGGCAACAACAAATGGTGCTGTCCGTCCGGCGGCATCTGCTGCGGAAACTCTTGCTGTGGCAGCGGGCAGTCATGCAACAATGGACAATGCTATCTACCTGTGTACGTGAATGTAGGCGGGAGATGGTCTACATCCCTCTTCCTTCATCTTTTATGATATATTTTGTTTGCTAACAACTCTTTCCAGTGTGACAATCACCTCCACCAGCTCTGTTGTGGTCACACACACCCATTTCGCTTCAAGCCTCGCAACCGTCATCCAGAGAGTTGTCGAAAGCTCTGTTGTTAAGTCTATAGTTGACGTCACGAACACAGATGCAGAGACACAGACAGTAGGTGCACACTGTTCCTGGGCAAGTGGAGTGTATCGAAAATTACAAAACTAATGTTTATTGTTTTCAAAAAAGAACTGGGTTTATGTTACGACAACTTCCATAGGAAAGCGCGCAGAGCCGACTGGGCTTCCTTTGGAAGACATCAACCGCCGTCGTCCCGGTGCCATCAGTGAAATTGCCAGTGCCACACGCATCGACGCAAAAATAACCTCACTGCCGCTACGTATCCAGAGCCCGTCCCCGGCCCCAATTCCGTCAATAGAACCCTCGGCGACCTCCGAAGCAATTGCTTCGGAGAACATTCTTCCTCGTGATGCCCAAGCAGACGCCAACACAATGGCTGCCTCCCGTTCTACGTCGACTGTAATCGTTTCTGCAATAATCACGAACGTTGTCACAAGCTTCATTGCTTCGACTACGACAGTTTTAACTACGTCCACCAACGTCGAGACCATCTACCAGACGAATACGGTGTAAGGCCAAGCAACCAACACCATGAACCTCGGGTCCCATATACCAGTCCACTAACCAGAAATAGAGTACTAAACGCCAAGGCCACTGTCGAAGCAACCTCGACATGGACATATACGTCGCACCACCCAGTCACCGTCACGATGACCGAATTCTCGACAAATTCTGAGCCTGCGTCTCAATCCACAGAAGCTCCGGCCCTCGTCACCAGCGACTCGGACGGATCTTCGACCAATAAAAACCTCTCGGGAGCTTCTATAGCCGGCATTGCTATTGGGGTGACCGCATTCACAGCCATATTCGTTGCAGGCCTGATTTTCTTTGTTCGCCGTCATCTCGCCCGTGCCAAGGAGAGAAGGTCCATTAGCGAGGATTATGCTTTCCTCGGGACAGGTCGCAGCGACTTTGACGGCCCAACCCGAAGCAACAGCAACAGCGGCAAAGGCCCATCGATAGTCATGCTCAACAGGCACTACTCAGGACCCCCGCCGCCAAGCGCTCGGCGGCCCAGCGCCCAAATAACACCCACTCAATATGCGGATCCGATGCAGAACGAACGCGGACTCCCGCCGATTCCGTGGTACTCGACTACGTCCAAAACCTCACCTCCCACGTCACCTATCTCACCTACCTCAGGCTCCTTTCCCTTTAGCGGCGATCTCAAGCAGCTAGTGTCACAGACATCTCCAGCATCCCCAACGTACGCTCGCACATCCCACATGCGCTCGGGAAGTGCGAACACGACTATCACAGCTGGCAGTTCGACAATTGCCGGTGGTAATAGCACTCAGACGAGCGTGCGAAGTAATTCGAGTAAGACGGTGCGGTTTTCTGACAGTGGTTTCTCGCACCAGCGCGCTTCCTCGTCAGGTTCTGGGGCGGGTACTGTAATTGATTCCTCAAGCGACGTTCCAATGGAAACCTCTGGCAATATCCCTACGGTCCAGGTCACGCCAATTTCTCCAGTCACACAAGTCGCACCGTCGGAACTTCCAAGCGTACCCGCCCCATGCGCATATTTATCGCCCGACCCGCCGTCACCACTGCTACAGCCGCACCTCGGCCCGCTCCGAATTGTTAATGGTTCGATTGACGAAGCGTCTGATCAAGACGAGCGAACTCCAAAAACTCCTCCGCCGGCGCAGTGATTAAAATCCAAGTTACGAATTTCATTTGTTCTCTCTTTGATGCCTCTCCTATGTTTATAACACTTTCCTCAACCATTTACAACTGGAAAATGTCCCTTATGTTTGTCGTTTACTTTGATACCACTTTTCAGGTTATGTGCATTAGTTTGCGTTTGCATTTTCATTTCCACTGGATTTCACCAACATCTCACTCGTTTCATGATAAATGCCACAGCTTAAAACAGGACGCAAAATCGTTGTGCGTTTCGGGGGGCTTTGTTTTGTACTCTGGAAAAACTAAGGAGAGGGAACAAGAATCTGCATACATTCGCTCATATATACATTGTCGGGCCGGTTGACAAGACAAGGCCATATCGGGGTATGCTTTGCTATGAGGGGACTATGGCGGAAACATTTACTCGGAAAGCAAGAGGGCACTGATTCATATTCAAGGAGAAAACGCCATTGACGCCGCCAAGGGCGTCGCATTTAAGCTTTCAAATCAAAAGCATACAAAGAGGTAAAATACATTAAACATATCAAGTTGAGCATTCCAGGTACCTCTTTCCCTAAACCAAAGCATATGCATGTTGTATAATCATTTCTTAGGGAAGATATATCCCAAACTAAGAGTGAACCCAAGAAATACTAGGAGCAAAATACATGTATAAAAACAGAACCAAGAAAAAAGTAAAATGAAAATGGGTTAACTCCGCCATATAATGTGTGGATGCGTCTAGCAAACTCCAAGAATAGTAGATAAAAAAAAAGGTAAAAAGCTGCGAAACAAATAATGGTCCTTTTAGATGCATTTTCAACTGAGGTAATACCATGCTGTAGTTCTATTTAGCCACGGTACGCCCGGTACCCTGGGTACCCGGTACGCTCCGGCTGTGGCTGTTGCAACGGTGGCGGGCTTGACGTGTTGTTCAATGGCCGGCTGCTGCTACTATCGTAGCCGCCGTTGTAGTTGTTGGCGCTGCTGCTGCCGTACGAGTCCTGGCCGTGTGCTTGCGGTCGGCTGGATCCGCTGATAAAGTCAAAGCCGCCACTGTTCTGTAGGGTCGGCGATGCCGGCATCTCAGCAGGGCCATAGTTTTCATTGTTCTTGTTGTTGCTCGTATTCGTGTTGATTCTGTTGACGTTGTTCTGGCTGCCGTAGGCTGAGCTGCCACCGTTGCCCGTGGTCGCGCCCGAGTACTGGCGCTGTGGCGGTGGGCGGTTATTCATTAGGCGGCCGTTGGCAGGTGCCTGCGAAGAGGCGGCACCGTAGGGAGCCGGGCTGGCATACCGATTGGGGCTACTGGTCACACCAAAATCAGATTCGTTCCCCGAGCTAAGCTCTGGGATACGAGGAGACCTGTTGTCCACACCGCCAACATCGGGTATGCGGGGCGACCGGTTATCCATACCGAGATCCGGGATACGCGGCGAGCGGCGTTCCATGCCGTAGCCCTGAGGAGTGTTGTTGGCACTTCCACGGTAGCCGTCATAGTAGTTTCCGGCATTGGGACCCTGGCCGGCACGTCCATAGCCACCCTGTCGTTGCTGTGGTGGCGGGCTGGCGCCACCGTAGCCAGGCCGTTGGTTGTTGAATTGGTGCGGAGACTGACGGCCCATTGCGCCAGCACCCAGAGCACCTGCAGCCATAGCACCGGCACCATATCCACCATGATTGTTGTTGTTATCCTCCAGCTCGGCATCGTAGTGGTCCAGAACACCCGATTGCTGTGGGCTCACATAGCCCGGGCCGCCCCTGCCGTATGGGTCAGAACCGGCGCCAGCCACATTCGGGATAGCGCCGGCAGCGAGGTAGCCGTTGGACACAGCCGGATGACCACTACCGAGGGTGTTACTAGTGGGCGACCGCGCACCGTACGGGCCAACGGGACTGGGGCTGCCCAGCGGGCTGGGGGTGCCGGGGCCGGGAGAGACGTTGCGGGTATTCAAAAGCGGTGCAGTCTGTGTTGTGTTCTCTGGTTTCTTGAGGTTGTCCATCTCGACCTCTTCCTCGAGGTAAACCTTCTTGTTGTTTGCGGTCTCCCAACTCGGCATGGCGGGCAGAGCATCTTCGTGGCCGGCTGATTTGCTGACGTCGAAGTTGGCGAACTGCGGAGCATCTGCAACTGGCGCCTTGTACGGCAGACCGGTTGCCATGGGGGCCTCGGAACGATATCCCTGGTGTGGCGGGATGTAAGGCTCGTCGAGGTACTTGTTCCTCTTACCACGCGGCGGATCGCAGCAGCCACAGCAGTCACCACAGCACTTGAGGCAATAGCAGCATTCGCAGCAGCACGACAAACCGCAGCACAAGCAGCGAGCAATGCACCACACGATGGACAGCACGATCAAGCCGCCAACAATGATGATCGCGATCACTGGCCACCTAGGAACACATGTTAGTGGTTGGCTAGTTTGGTAGTGAGTACAAAAAATCCGGAGTGAAGAGAAAATAAACATACTTGCAAAAGTCCGCCTTCATGCAGTTATCCCAACTAGAGAAGGCGGTCTTGACGTCTGTGATCTTACCCTCCACATCAGCAACACCTCTGCCGTAGACAGCTGGTCCAACGGCTGCAGCGAGGACATCAAGAAAGCTCCTCCTCGTCGCAACGCTGCGGATCATCGCCACGTCGATGGACGGCATATTGGGCGTATTTGGAATTAAGAGGAAGAAGAAGAAGAAGAAGAAGAAGAAGAAGAAGAAGGAGAAGAAACGTGAGCTACAACGCTCAGGGTTGGCTCTGGTAGAGGGAGAGTCGACACGCAGGTTCTTAACGTAACAAAAAAAATCTCAAGGTTGAACGGTGAAGAGTAGGAAATGGTGTCGTCACTCGAAATTCGGTTGGTTCGGCCCCATACTTGTCGAGAGTTTCGCAGAGGTAAAAAAGTTCGATTCGACGTAGTCTCAATCTAGGCAGATGCAATTTCCAGGAAAGACCCAAGCGAAATCCGGCGGTAGGTAGGTCTCGTGCAGTCCGTGTGTCCTTTCAGTTCACGTCTCGAAGTCGTTCGTTTGTCTGTGTCTTCCTCAGTGCGGCGAGGAGGAAATAACGACAGATGATCGGAGAGAGTAGAAGAAAATGGGAACAGGCTAAATTCGAGTGGTAGGTCGAGTCGTGAGTGGATTCGGATCATAGAAAGAGTATCGAATAGCACGTTACGGTTCGTTAAAAGTGTCACCGTGTGTAATGAAATAACGGCTCGCGTTGACGCCGTTCCTGTGTGTTTTCCGGCCGTAGGGATATCTGAGCAGCAAAGCCGTGGAACAATGCGAGATCAGTTCGCGAGATTTGTGCGTTATACGGTTCAATGACCGGTGGAATGCAGTCGCACGGGTGCAGAACGAACGAGAACAAAGAAAGGGAAGAAAGAAAATAAGAATATGATGTGAAAGGAAGGGAGAGGGAGGGAATGGAAGAGGAAAAGAGAAGTGTGAAAAGGAAAGAAAAGGCAGTACAAGAAGGAAAAAGAGAAAAGAAAATGGCGCGCAATTCAAGGATGCTCAGGGCAAACAAGGAAAAACGGAGGAAAACAATGAAGAAAGAACGTCGGATCGACGACACTGCCTGGGTGTGGAAATGGGATTATCAGGAAATGGTAGGACGAAATACCCTTGCCTTGATGAAAGAAAACTACAACATCACAAGAAAGCACGAACAAAAACTGCGAAAATGGCGAACCAGATTCAGGGGCCGGGGATCTGGCGCAAAGCCATCTCGAGGAATGGAGGGGAGGACGGGACTGGGAAAGGGGGAAACTGCGACCGGCATTAGGATGCAGGTACAACGACGGAAGGTGCAGGTCCACTCAAAACTGCTAGTTTCCAGGTACAACGTACAGCTCCACTGACGTGAGATATCTTGGTCCCCGTCAGGAAGGACCCCTGGTGGGGTGAGGAAAGAGCAAGAAACGGTTTGGTGCGCCCCTTAGCACCTGGCCCGTTGGGGGTACCGTCGACGGGAAGTTCCCACGCTCTGGGGAGGCAAGGAGTCAAAAAGGGTACTATGTACATCCAAGACGGAGCCTGTCAAACCAGCACTAAGGTCGCTAAACTGACGGTGACTATTTACACAGTCAGCGAACGAAACGGCAGACGGATGACGCAAGGTGACCCGCCTGCACAAAAGCATGCAGACAAAAAGGGGCTGGGTGACACATTGATAGCGTGCTGGCTATGATTGACTGCCTGCCTGGCAATCGAGCATCTTCGCTGAGAATCCATCGCCAGTTGCGACATTACAGGTGCACTGTCACCGTTTTGAACGCGACGCCAGCGTCTTTCTGCAGACACAGGGTCTTATTACTCCGTATTCCAACAATCCTTGCCACCCGGAGGTGGTTGCGAGGCTGTGTAGAAGACATGGCCGCGCTAACTGGACCCTTCAGCGTGCAGTGTCAAGTAGGGAGAATATGTTGTCCTGGTTCTGAGAAAAGAGAGGCCCAAAGGAGTAGGCTCAGCATGCTTACGAGGGGCGCAGACGACACATACAAAGACGTCAGTCTGACAACCCCAAAAATGGAAACGGAAGTACAATGTTCTGGAGGCGAGAAACAAAAATAGGAGCGAACACGCAGAAAGCGACTAATACGTTACTAGCCTGTCAACATGTGCGCGAGAGGCACCCGAGTGAGGTTGCGAGGAAAAGGGGAACGGCTGTGCTGGGATGTTGGTTATCGTCATTTGACGAATGCCCATGAAAATCTCGGGAATACCAAGACCAAGAGCGACAAAGCCAAGAGGCCCTAAGAACCAAGCGTTACAAAGCAGGATGTTGTGGTGGTCGCACTCAAACAGGCCAAGGCAAAGCAACAAGGGCAAAGTCAAGCCGGATCTGACGACCTTGCAAGGAAAGAAACAGCCAAAAAAACGGCTTGGGACTGCAAGCATAGTAAGAAAGGCGAAAAGAGATGGATAAGGACTTGACCTTGGAGCGCAAGGGTGATTGTTTATGAAACAACAGACTTGCGCGACTGTCCTTCTAGGGCCAGGGAACAGCTTAATTTCTGCAGCACAAACTTAAAATTTATGCATGCCCCGAAATACTTGGGTTGATGACGACTGTCCAGCGGCCAAAAGGCCCCATTCCTAGCCTTTGCACGTGTGAGGGCATTACGTCGAATATCTGTGGCGTTGCCAAGGAGCGCCACAGTACTCCACAGACTTGCTGACCACGAACCCACTCTCGTTTCTGGCACTCAAGCCTGACCGAGCAACAGGTTTCGAATGACGGACGTTACCGCCACGTAACTCTCTCCACATTACGCGTCTCGCCGAATGATCCAGGCGGCCTCCTTTGTAAACAGTAAATGTGAATAAATGTGTGTGTTGTAGCATGCCCTACGGCACGGAATATTAAACGAGAATTGACAGCTCGAGGTCGTGTGCGGATTCTACTGGTAAATCTAGTAGTAAATCTAGAGTTACATCAACTAATCATCCTGAGCGCAAGCCTCGAGCTACTCGAAGAATCCATGTCTGTTGAAACTCATGTCAATCGCAAGGGAGGCCCCGCTCAAATCTGTCACTTTGTCGAGTCTAAAATATAAGCGCCAGCAGTTGGGACAAGGCTGAGAATAGAGTTTCTGTATCCTATGTCGACAAAAGCCAGGATGGCACAAGACAAAGAGGGACGTGCAGGGACAAAACTGCTTAAGGAATAAAAGAGTAGTTTAACACCGAACATATCATAAATGTGATTAGATACCTATTCCTGATCGTAAAGGTGTGCCAGGCTCCGCGATTTGATTGCTCCCCAAACGCCGTAAACAGATAGTTGAACAGGAAAGGACTTGAGAAATGTCGGAAAATAAGACAAGACTCCGTGACAGCGCTGCGCGACAATATCAATCTCCAAGAGATTTTGTAATAAATGCAAAGGTAAGATCGACCGGACACACAACTACGTCCGGATTGCCAACATCGTCGCTCCCCGGCATCCTACATTGCAGTCCACTCTTCCACTGAGAAGCACTTTTGCCAACTTACTCAGTACACCTGTCGTTCTTTTGATGTCACTCAGAGTCGTATAGTTGAACGCTCCTCACCCCATCCGGTTCTTTTATCTCTTGGACGGCGGGGGGCCTTCGGGCGCCGCATAGTCGTTATCGGCCTCCCGCGTCGGGTAGTAGGTGTTAGACGGCTGCTGTAGGGGCACATCGTTGTTGTATGTGCCGGTGTTCTGGCCATAGTAGCCCTGGTTGCTGTTGTAGGTGCCGCCTGTGTACTGGGGGTTGCCCGGAGCCTGCTGGCTATACTGCGGCGGGGGGGCGGAGTAGTTCTGGGCGTTGTTGTACTGCGGCTGCTGGTTTTGCCCCCAGCCTCCCATCCAGCTGGTGCCGTACATGGGCCTCGTACCGGTGCGACGCTGGCGGCGGACGCGGCGGCTCATGAAGAGCAGGAACAGGAAGAAGACGAAGACGATGACGCCGAGCAGAACCCAACGACCCCAGCCGTACCAGTTGGAGTTGCGGTAGCAGTAGCCATTTCTGTAGTAGTACCCGGATGTGCAGGAGTAGCTGACAGAGAAGAGGATGTTAGCAACAACAACGCACTAGAATTCGTAGCTTCCAAGGCCAGCACAAGACAACTGCAACTTACCGAGCTTCGAGCGCAGTAACTGCTTCGTGAGCTGGCGCCATTGAGAAGAAAGGGATAAAGGACGAGATAGAGCGACGAATAATAATTTATATGCCCAAAGACAAGGACAAGACAGATGAGATCGAGTTCGATGCGTTGACAGGTTTCCGTGCCTCGATGCAGTACAAAATATGCTGGGTCGATGAAGATAAAAGCGTGCAAGAGGAAGAAAGCAAGATCAAAACAGACGGGAGGAAGAATGCTGGTGGAACAGAGACAATTAAAAGATGGGCATGAGGTGTGGGCAGAGGGGGAGGCGAACAACAAGCGTGCTGAGTAGGTGCCGTAATTATGGCGGTCTCGACGGGCGATGGAAGTGGGCACAGGTGTTTTAGCACCGAAATGGCATGCATTTGTTGCGTTAGTTCCGATCTTTGGGGGGGCAACCTTCTTGCCCAGCCGCGTGTTACTACCTATTTTGGCCCTGCCGATGCACCAGGTCAGAGGATCGCAAGAACGACCAGCTCGACAGCATACAGTGGCTGGCGTTTTAGCGTCATACACCATCGCTTTGCGCCCGTGGGCTATGACTGTTGGCAGCCTGGCCTGCCCAGGTTTGGTCCATTTTACGGCCTAAATTTCCCCTATGCCTACGGGGGTGGCAGGGCGGCACAGGAGGGAGCCCAGGGAGCCAGCGCACAGCCTGGTGACGTCGCTGAGCCAAAACAAGCAAACCAGTATTTAACAGCATGCTGAAACCACGGAGGCACACCTTCGCGACTGCCGAATGCGACGAACCATCCATGGAAGGAAAGAGAGCAGAACTTACCTCGATTCAATTCCAAATGGGGCTTTTCGAACTAAAGTCCTACTTCATATTCCAACGATAGCCACATTTCGACACCGCGGCCAATGACCTAAACGACTTCAGCTGAGCCTTTAGATTCATGATTTTCGCGTCGGTCGCATGTTGCTAGCGCATTCATTTTAATTCGGGCGTTTCTTTTGCAACATGTTCAGCCCATTCTCCTCCTGATCGTGTCAGCTCAGGCTCCTCCTTGCCAGTGTCGCTCTTTCCCGTCTTGGGAGCTTGGCATTTTAAGGAAGATACATCGTCGAAATACCGCCGTGACATGCGACCAATTTTTCACAGGCAAAGGTCCCAAGCCAAGGCATACTAATGTGGCTTCTATTACCGTGAGTCTGGTGGAAAAAAAAACGAGTGCGAAAGTCGATCCATTTCTTTGGTTCACTCGCAATTCTTCGTATTGAGGCGTCTTTGTTTAGGACTGTTCGCAGCTTCCGAAGCTTTGGGTCCACTTTTTAGCAAGTGGCTATGTTCTTGGCAGGTGCTCTGTCGACTGCTCGAGATACTATGATGATTTTACTGCCGCGGAGATTTCACAGTGCCTGGAATCATGCAAGTGTAATTACCGAGTAGAGCGATGGCCCAGGCCCCAGCCGTGCCAGACCTTACGAAATACAAAGCCCGTGAAAACGGAGTAAAATTGCGCTAAGAAAAGGTGCTCCGTTATCGCATCTGTCGCATCCAATTCATCTGCGAAATCATGGGCAGTCTATTGTCGCTTTATTTTTTGGCCTGTTCTTTCGTCCAACACACGAATAATACTCCTCACATCCGGTACCCGTTCGAGCTTCCCTCACATCCTTAAAACTGTATATTCCAGCTTGCAGCATTGGCCGATCGCCTGCTAGACTTATACCCTTACAATGGCCTCCCAGCGGGTGTATATTGCAATCATTGGTACTGCCCCTCCCCCGCCTTGGCTGCTGTCGTAGTGCTCGCCTTTGGCACTGCCGGTTTGCCCAGCACATGCTCCGAACAGCCTCGCCCAGACTGTCGTGGTGCACCGAGAGTCCACGATTTTTTGATCACGCTGAACATTTAATGGCCTCCCAAAGTGCAATTGTGTATTAACATGACGACCCTTGTCTCCTAGGCGCCGGTGGTGTCGGGAAGTGCTTCCTCGGCCAGCTCGCCGATCTCGCCGCTCGCCGCCCAGCTACCCACCTCAGCCTCTGCTACATCACGACCAGCAAAAAGGCCGTCTACAGTAAGGACTACAGCGACATCAGCATCACCGGCGCCGTTGACAGCCTTGCCGCCTCGACCCAGGCTCCGCTCGCCATCCCGGCCCTCGCCGACTACCTCGCTGCTGCCCCGGCCAAGGTCGTCCTCGTCGACAACACTAGCTCACAGGATGTCGCCGACGCTTACCCGCTGATCCTCAGCCGCGGTATCAGCATCGTGACGCCCAACAAGAAGGCCTTTACCGGCTCGTACAAGCACTGGCAGGACATCTTCTCGTCGGCAGCCAACTCGGGCGCCAAGGTCTACCACGAGGCCTCGTGCGGTGCCGGCCTGCCGCTCATCTCCACCGTCAAGGACCTCGTCGACACCGGTGATCAGATCACCAAGGTCGAGGGCATCTTCAGCGGTACTCTGTCGTTCCTGTTCAACTCCTTTGCGCCCGCCAATCCCTCAGGCGCCGCCGCCGGCAAGTGGTCCGCTGAGGTCTCCAAGGCCAAGGCGCTCGGCTACACCGAGCCCGATCCGCGCGACGACCTCAACGGCATGGATGTCGCCCGCAAGTTGACCATCTTGGCTCGTCTGGCGGGTCTGCCTGTCGAGTCACCCACGGCTTTCCCCGTGGAGAGCCTAATTCCCAAGGAGCTCGAGTCGGTGACCAGCGGCGACGAGTATCTCGAGAAGCTGCCACAGTTTGATTTGCAGATGGAGGAGCTCAAGGCCGCTGCCGAGAAAGAGGGCAAGGTTCTGCGATATGTGGGCAGTGTCGATGTGACGACCCAGACACTCAAGGTCGGCCTCCAGTCGTTTGACCGGTCGCATCCCTTCGCCGCGCTTAAGGGCAGCGACAACATCTTCAGCTTCCACACCAAGCGGTACGGCAGCAACCCTCTCATCATCCAGGGCGCCGGCGCTGGTGGTGAGGTGACGGCCATGGGTGTGACGGGCGATCTGATCAAGGTCCTCTCCCAGATTGCATAAATGATGACGACGCCTGGAATAGATATTAAAAAATGGATAAAATGGGCACATGAAAAATCATGACACGGACAAAAGGAAGGCTATGATAGAAATAAAACATCTATTGCTGTCCTGAACTGCCCTGCCTACACGGCCGATTCAGTCAGTGCATTCTGTTCATTCTTGTTGCGACATCAGTCGACAGCTTGGTTGAGCCGGATCCGTCGATACAAGGAATGCGATGTAAAATACGCCATGATTGTGGCCATTCGGATAGGTCGTCCTATCAGCTATTTGATGTAGCTGGTGGTTTTCCTGTGGAAGTTTTTGATCTGTGTTGTTCTTGCTGCTCCTGCTCCTGCTGCTTCCTCAGCACACGTCGCTGTTCTCGCAACAGCTGCTGCTGGTGTTGTTCTTGTTGTTGTCGCTGCAGATAAGCATTGCGGTTGACAGAGTAGAGTCGCCAGATCCAGAGGCAGACGTCAAAGACGACCAAGGAGATGATGGGGAAAACGAAAGCGATGCCAAGTGCAGCCTGTTTAGCGAAGCAGCATGGTTAGCCTTGTAACCTCCAAAAAAAGGAAGAAGAACGAAAGAGACAAAAAAGAGACAAGAAACAACTACAGGGATTAAGGAATATGGTGAGCCGTACAAAAACACCGGATATGATGCGCACAGTCAGGTATGGGCTTTCTGGGAAGAAGGCCGATTGCAGCAGCTTCACCAGCCAGAAATCCAACAGTCCGGAACTCCCGGACGCCATGGTCCACGATGTATAATCCAGTAAAAGCCGTCGCCGTCAACAGGTGTGGTATAAGAGCAAGATAGAGAAAGAGTCGGAGGTTCGGTTTCGACGGCAAGATCCGAAGGTCGTATGCCAGTTCTCGGCATGTGACGGGAGGAGAGGATGGCCAGCTGTGGCCAAGATCGAGTTCTGTTGGGATGAGCGGCCGTTCAGGGCGATTTCGCGGGTGCCTGGCGCCCCTTAGTCAATTCTTGTGGTAGTTGAGTAATAAGCAGGCCAACGTGCGGTGATTGCAACGCATGCAAGTACCCGTTGGCCGTTGCTGTCGTTTCGTCTCTTCGTGTTGTGTGCAAGCCGAAGAGCCAAGAGCTGCGTCGCGTGTTGGGAAGAGAGGTCGTGTTTTGGAAATGCAAAGCGAATGGAGAGAAGTCTAGTCAACTTCAGCTTTGAAAAACCCGGCAGTCGGGGGAAGTGGAGCGGCGGTCATTGGGAAGGTACCCTGCCTCGTCGCAAGAAAGCTCCCTTATAACAGCCCTGTAGCCTGGCCAAGAGATAAGGCGGTTGTTAAGCCACAAGCACGGAACTCGCTTGTACGAGGCAGGTGCTCGAATGTGTATTACGGGATATCTGCACGGGAATGCAAAATATTCGAGACAGATATCTATTATACGCACTCATATCAACTGTCGCGTGCCTCCTATACGGCCTGCTCGTGACAACCTTTCCTGTTTAGTCGTTGTACCATATCTGCTTCCTGAGTTTTTGACAGATTTTTTCTTTCTTTAAAAAAATCAGAAGCCAAATCAAGCAAGAAGAGACGGCTGCGGATGAAAACTGTGTATCTAATACTATCAATCGATTAATACCAATGTAGACTTCGAAAATACCTACTTGTGTTCGGTTTGGCACAATTTCCTGCCTTCATCATGTTCAGTGGCAGTAACACAGTATGCATTTTGGGTTGAGTCGGCCGCGTATTTGGAGGCGCGTCAATGACAACATTAAAGTGGTGATTATACTTGTGATATTTTTGGTATTTTCATGGCTTTTATATTTTATATATATTTATTTGCCGATTGTCATTCTTTTCATACGTAAAAAAAAAACCTCTATGAGTAAATTTAAATGACCGCATGTGGTTCAATTCAAGGCCATCACTTGTGTGCTTCGAGTCAGTGCCCCATACCTGCTCCCCGTACGATGCAGCGATGCGTTGTCACTTTCCCAAAACGAGGGCTGACTGGTTGTGCATAGAGTTGCATGGTATATTAATTGAATGGGGACTTTGTGAGGCCAAAAGGCGGTCGACAAAGACACCCAAAAATAGACTTGCAAGTACGAAGCACAAGGCCACCCACGTATCATGCATATTCTGCAAAGTGGCACGACTACATTGGCTTTGTTTGAGACAGCACTTCTGTTGTACTCTAGGTTAGATTTGCACCAACATTTCGCGGGAACACACACATATATAAAGACACGGCGGCGACTTGACGATGCTATACCTTATGACCCCTTGGTGCGCCTTCCTTGGCCCGCTTGTATTGTTTCCAATGAGAACACACTTAATTCCGGCCTTAACGACGGTTCCAACAACCGCACGAGCGGACCAATACAACTATCCGGTCATAGCGTACGTATCATGGTCCCAAGCTGATTCGCAAGTGATATGAAAAGCATGTGGAAACTGAATATATTATCGGTCGTTGCCGGCCAAATGGAGGTGTCTTTTTTGATTCTCGGACATCTTCGTGTCATCATGGAGGCGGGTTTGAATAATAGAGCAGGCACACAGTGGTAATAACAAAACAGGACAAGGCATAAACCAAAAGGGAACCGTGAAAGAACGATACATGCACAACCAGGGTAAGATCGAGGAAAAAACCAAGGGAAAGAAACAAGCGCAGTATGAAGCCGGGATACACACAACAAATATCGAAACAAGAAAGACGAAAGCGGCAGTTGGCATTCAAAACAAGCCATGGAAGCCTTTGTTCGGCCAAGAAAAGACTTGCGGGCGCCTGGAAAGCAGAAAAAACAAAAGAAATAGTGCATACGGCAAGATGAAAAACAAGTGAATACAAGTGGCTTAAAATAGCATTGCATAAAACACAGCGGCAACAACAAAATGACACCGACAGAGTAACGAGAAGAAAGGATGCGAAGTCAACAGATGGCCATCCACACTGGAGGTGACATGTTCCTTCGCAGCACTTTATCTTTGCAACTCGTTTGCGCGCTTCACCAACCAAGAAAGAACGGCTTCCAGATTTGTCTCCTCTTTGGCACTGATGCCATAACAAGAGACCTCACGGTGGTCGATGCCCTTGAGGTCCAGCGCATCGATGAGCTCGTCGACGGAAACTTTTACCTCGAGATCGGATTTGTTGCCGAGCACCAAAAGGGGGATCCCCTCGAGCGACTCTTGCTCCATAATGGAATGCAGCTCCTCCCGTGCAGCGTGGAGCTTCTCGACATCGGCAATATCAACAACAAAGAGAATAGCGTTGACGCCACGGCAGTATCGCTCCCACATCGGCCGGAACCGAGGCTGGCCCCCTATGTCCCAGCACTTAATGGAAACGTTATTTTTCTGCACCCGCTTCATGTTGAAGCCGATCGTGGGGATGGTACTGTGGAGATGACATCAATCAGGACTGGAACAAAACAAGACACAGCGCTTGCCAGCCGCGAGAAGCGCTGGAGGCTGAAAGGACGACTGCCGACTTACTCGTAGGTGAAGTCACCACCCTAGTTGACAAGGCGCGTTAGCAGACGTCTAGATCGCTCCTTACGGGGCGAGACCCCTGGTGGGGCAGGAGGGGAGGAGGAGACAAAGAGGTTGGCAAGAGCTAGGAACAGGGTTCGGGGCACGAGACGAGCGACGAGAAACGAGACGTCATACCGATAATACGTTTAGCAGGCACGTTTTGCCTGCATTTTGGAGACCAAGCATGGTGACGTCCATTTCCATAGCCCTGGATCAAAGAAGCAGAAGTCCGTGCGGTTAGTTGACAAAATCTTCGTTCCAGGCAGCGGGGGCGTGGTCAGAAGCAAAACGACTCCAGGTTCAGCGCAGGATCCTGAGCTGCTGGCGGGTTGCACAATTGCGCCGCGCTGCACGACAGCACAACTGACCAGCTCTCGAGCTGTACACAGATGGACGAGGAGGGGTAAACGGGTACCTACCAAAACGTCCTTAACCACCACTCGTACACCTTCCTTATGATCGCCGCCATGACTGCCAGCGTCGCGGTTGGTGGGCGTTCTTTGCGATAGGCGCGTGTGTCTGGAGAAAGGTTGCGAAGCAAGCGACGTAGCCCAGACGAGTCTTGGCCGAGGAGAGAGTCGGCAGGCACCGAGAGGTTAGGGGTATACGATGTTGGCGGAAGTCGGCTAGCAGCGGCGAGGTACCAGGTGGCTTTTGGAGCAGGATGGGGGCGGGATGGAAATGCAAAAGGCTATAAAAAGGGGAGGGAGAGCTCCGAGGAAAAGATGGCGATGGGAGGCAGAAGTGCTGCAGATTCGGCCAGGCTGAAGACACGGCGAAGGGCCTGTTTAAGTATGAGAAAGCAGAAGGTAGCCCTAGCTGTCCGTAAAAGATAACCAAGGCAAGAGTGACTAGAGACGGGAATGGCGGCTCAGTTGACTGTTGACCTCGATTTGGGGAAGCGCCGGTTGGGGTCGTGGCCTAGGATGTGGGCGGCTGTTTGTAGTCGGAGGAGGGGATGGGGGCCAGCCGCGCACGGCGCGAGGGAAGCGAGGCAGAGGAAGGAATGTCGAGAAAAGGCAGGCGCAAAGGTGGAGGCTGTGTGTATGAAAAGGTGAGCGAAAGAGGCAAGAACGGTCTCGGGACGAGGTCAAAGACGAGTGTGTGATCGGTGCGGCGTTGGCGGCTGCGCAGGTGGCGCGTGCGAGCGAGATAGGGATGGAAGGTGACGCCGGGGAGGTGGGTGACGAAGGTAATCGAGGAAGGAGCAAAGAGTGTTTGGTCTCCACTTAGCGCATCTACGCCAGTGCGGGCGTTGGCGTTGCGGATGTGATATGCACTCCGTAATACCATATATTTAGGTAAAGAGGCTGAAAATGAGCGAGTAGAGGAATTGGGTGTGCCTGGACTCTCCGGGGTGCTTGCAGACGACAGCTGGAGGAGCTACGGCACACTATTTGTTGTTAGTGATGCAGGCTGTAAGTTGACACGCCTAAGAAGCTAAGCATTGGTCGCTTCGAGTTTTGTTATTTTTTTTTTTGGTGCCAAATGTTGTCACGTCTCATTTCAACATGTGAGCGTCTTGTACCCTTGAGTCTTGTCATAGCCGCTTCCAGCTCGGATGCCCATTTCACAGCGGCTACAGTCTGAGAATAGCAACGGATCACCGGGCAACTTACCGGGGCATACCGGGGCACCCTGAGATGTTGTCGCGGACGGCAAGGTCAGAAGCCCACGGAGAAAACAAGAAAATAAAACGAAAAGAAAGACGAAATGATCAACGGTAGCGCAAAGAAGCTGGAGCAGCGAAACCGACCAGGGGCTAGCAGCTGTGCAGACACACGTGGGGAAACATGCACAACCAGATGACACTGGCGTCAGAATTCAAGATGGGTTGTGCAAGGTGTGCCGTGGGGCCCGAGCTCTGTTCTATTCCCAGTCTTTCTCAGACGGGCCCGGGGTCGAAAGCCCTGTCGTTCTCGTAGGCGTTTAGATATTGGGTTTTGTGAACGATATTGGCAGGGGTTTGAGGCAATGTTATTTGCACACGCGCGATGGGGGAACGAAACAACGCCACGACAATAGAGGCGAGAGGGGCAGAGGAAGGAATACGAAGAAAATCAAGACAATGACGGGACGCTAAAGACGGGGAAATTGTCAATATTCCGGCATCAAGGATCAGTTGGTAAGAAGCGAAAAGGAAGGACCGAGAAACACGGACAGCGAGAAGCTGGAAACTGCTTGACGCGGGATGGATGTCTGGATGTCGAGTCAATCGGTGGACGGAGGTCTGTGGGAAATAATGGAGTGATGAATGGGACAAGGTGACAGAGTGAGGAGGTACGGAATTGCACTCAACGGTGCCTGTCACTTCTACCGTGGGCGATGTGTGCATGCGTGCATGCGTGCATGCAGCATGCAACGGCAGTAGAAGTCGCAGCAGAAGCTGTCGCAGAGGCCGCAGGAGACGAGGAGAGTGTGACGGGACGTGGGTGACGGAACGGGAAAGGCGTAGAGCTCAAAATTGACAAGGAGGACAATACTCTCTGGCCGTTAGGTGTAGGTGGACGGGCTGTTCGACCTTGTGAGGAGGGTTGCCCGTTGTTTTCGTTGGGTTTTTCTATTTATGCAGTCTTGAAAGTAGACTATGAACAGGAAAGGGCCACAAACCAGCTTAAATATGTCGATTTACAAGAGGGAGCCGAGCACGCGATACACAATCAACAGCTTTTTACTTATCTAGGGTTATTTTTGTTTGTTATTTTCTGCATGTCTCCCTTGTTTTGTTAACCCTCAAACCCGCTCTGTCCTTCGCTTCTGCTTTTTACCCTCTTTACCCTCTTTCACCTCGTCTGACTGCAACACTGAAGCACACCGTGTGTCGGCCGCAGGAGAAGCGGCCTGGCCTCGTGGGCCGGGCCAAATCAGGCAGCAAGGCCCGACCCTTTAGCGCGTCGCGGAGTGCGTCTTAAATATTTTGATCAAGAGAGAGTATTACACTATCGAGAGAGATTCCTCTATACATGATGTTGCGATATGGGCTGTTGCAACCATATGCTACAATGCAGTAAATAATTGGGCGGCCTGTGTGTCCAGTGGGCCTGGTCACCCGGCTGAGCAGCCAATGGGTCTTGGAGTAGGAGGACAAGCCGGAGCCAGCCCTGTAAGGACTTACTCGGGGTTTGCATGTGCCAGTGGTTAAAATATAACAGTACGAAAGACACGGTCTGAGTGCTTTGTCTGGAAATAAAAGTAACTCGAAATAAACAACAACCGACTGCCGCGGCTCAACCGCTGTGGCGAAATCAACAAACCGGCACTGGTGTGTTGACACAATTTAACAAATTTTGGTAGCTTCGCGCATCGGGTTGTGCAAAACGGCCAACAGGCAAAGCAACGGTGGACGGCGGATGCGGTGATGAGGCCGGTGTAAGGTAAAAAATGTTGATAGGCGAGGCTGAATAGCTGCTGTTCTATTGGCGGATCATCTCTACGAAGCTGCAACCAACGAGAGGGCCTGGTCGCGTACTGTGTATGCGGAGGCCATGCATTGCAGCCTAACGAAATCCACCGGAAACCGGGGAATCCGCATTTGTCCAAATAAGCCGCACAGGATGGCATGCGTGGTCTGCGCGACAGTTTGGTTGGGAGAGATAGAGAGAGAGAGAGAGAAGGGAGGGGAACACGCCAAACGGCGCGAGTGGTCGCAGGGTATGCAGCCATAAGACCCAATGATAGCACTTCTTTGTATCGTGCAGTCTGCTTGAGAGGCCTGTTCGGGCGGCCTGTTTGAGTAGTATGCTGAGGCGGACCGCTTACGAGACCTGGGGCCATGCCTTCAATTGGTTGGCTGTGAAAGCAAGAGGCAACCATTCGAGACGGAGCGGCTGAACTAGATTATATTCTTAGTGCAAGGCCATTGACAAAATGAGAAATCAAAACAAAAAAAAAGGCACAAAACAGGACGTAATGCGGATGAAGCGAGACAAGAAACAAAAAAAGGACAAAGAGAAGGGGGGCGTGGTTGTGTGAGGAGGGTGCTAATTGTTGCCGCTTGGAAAATGGGCGAGCATTCCGGGTTCGTTAAAACTCTGGAAGAGTAGACAAGTGGGTGAGAATATGGCCACGGGATGGAAATATCGTGAGCAAGGCGGGGATGATAGAAGTGAACATCAACATGAAAGATATCCGGGAGTACTACGCAAGTAAATAGTGGGTGGAAATCAATAGTAAGAGCCTGGGCCAATAGCGGCAATGCATCGATTTACTAATAAGCGTAGATTTCCCCACACTTCGTGTTAGACATCACGTGCATTTGCTTTTATCGCACTCTGGCCATTGGCTCTTTCCTACCTATGACCCGCTAAAAAGTATGCTTCCGATAAGAAAAAAAAGTTGATCCAGGGAAGCAGCGACAGTCCGGAAATGCTGCTGGTGAACTGCGCCTGGAAAAAGCTTCACGTTCTCAGCCTCCTCCGAAACAAAACCCAAAGAGATCAACCCTAATTGACGGCCGGTTGCCTTGCATTTCTTCCACATTTCGCATATTCCACACACAGGCACCTCTTCTGCATACGGTATATGAACATATTGCATCCCACTGACTTCGTCACGACGAATCCAGGCACGCCCGCCTCGTCCGGTCCTCCCTCCCTCCTCTCCGCCTTTCCCCGTCTTATTTCTTGCTCGTTTGTCAATCACACACGCCAGTCACCATGGCGACCGCACGACGGAAACAGGCGTCTAAACAGACGGATACGAACTGGGACACCGAGTACAATACTCTCCGCCGGGAGAACCTCTTCCGCAACCCGCCGACCGACCACACTGCCTATCCCATGCTCCAGCTGGCCGTCGATCCTCACATCGAGTCTTTCAACGCCATCTTCCCCGACGGCGATGGGCACAGCGGCTTGCCCAAGAAGGGCCTCATTGCACACAGCATTGCCGACATCGGCACCAAGGTGTTCCTCGACGGCGACGACTCGATGCTCCCCGAGGAGCGCAACCGGATTTCCATCCGTTACAAGGACGTTTCGCTGCAGCGCTGCTACGTGCCGCCGAGCAACAAGTTTGCCAGGGTCCGCGAGATTTTCCCGGCTGAGTGCAGAGAGCGCCATGTTTCGTACCGCGGCCGCCTCACAGCGACCCTCGAGTACCAAATCAACAACAGCGAGCCGCAGGAGATTGTGCGCGAATTCGGCCAGGTGCCTCTCATGGTCAAGTCGAACCGCTGCCACCTGGAGGGCATGTCCCCCGCGGCCCTGGTCGACCACAAGGAGGAGTCGGAGGAGCTTGGAGGTTACTTTATCGTGAACGGCCTCGAGAAGATTATTCGTCTGCTGCAGGTCACCCGCCGCAACTTTCCCCATGCCATCAACCGGCCCAGCTTTCAGAACCGTGGCGCTTCATACACACCATTTGGTATCATCATGCGCTCTGTGCGCCCCGACGAAACCTCCCAGACCAACGTCCTGCACTACCTCAAGGACGGTAACATCACCTTCCGCTTCTCGTGGCGCAAGAACGAGTATCTCGTGCCCGTCATGATGATCCTCAAGGCCCTGGTGGAGACCAACGACCGTGCCATCTTCGAGGCCATTGTCGGCTCGGCTGGCTCCAAGGGCCTCGAGAACACCTTCTTGACCGACCGTGTCGAGCTGCTGCTGCGCACCTACGAGCACTACAACCTGTACACCAAGTCCGCCACGCGCGCCTATCTGGGCGAAAAGTTTCGCATTGTCCTGGGAGTGCCGAGCACCATGTCCAACTACGACGTCGGCACCGAGTTCCTGCGCAAGATTGTGCTCGTGCACCTCGGCAATGTCAACGTCACCGAGGCGCAGGATGCCGACAAGTTCCGCTCGCTGATCTTCATGGTCCGCAAGCTGTACGCCCTCGTGGCTGGCGACTGTGCCGTCGACAACCCCGATGCAGTCCAGAACCAGGAGATCCTGCTGGGTAGCTTCCTGTATAGCCAGATCCTCAAGGAGAAGCTCGATGAGTTCCTGTCCGTAAACCTCCGTGAGTCTCTACGCTTTTACTGGCGACGGGCACCGGCAAACAACCTGCTCTCGGAGGGCTTCGCAAGGGACTTCCCTGCCAATATCTTCCGCCGTGCCAACGAAAATCTCGGCAACTCCCTCGAATACTTCTTGTCCACCGGCAACCTGCAGAGTCCGTCTGGTCTGGACCTGCAGCAAACCTCAGGTTTCACTGTCATTGCTGAAAAGCTCAACTTTCTGCGTTTCATCAGCCACTTCCGCATGGTTCATCGTGGTAGTTTCTTCGCTCAGCTCAAGACCACCACTGTGCGTAAGCTGCTGCCGGAGTCATGGGGTTTCCTGTGCCCCGTGCACACCCCCGATGGCTCACCCTGCGGGCTACTGAACCATCTGGCACACAAGTGCAAGATCATGACTAAAGCCGTCGACGCCTCGGCGGTGCCGCGGCTCGCCGCCGAGCTGGGCGTGGTCGAGACATCGTCTGCCGCCACGGACGAGAGCGTTGTCGTCATGCTGGACGGCAAGGTCCTTGGCTGGTGCTCGCCCAAGGAGGCCAAGCGCCTGGCCGACACCATCCGCTACTGGAAGGTCCAGGGCAAGAACAACGTGCCAGTCGAGCTCGAGATCGGCTATGTCCCGCAGTCCAACTCTGGCTCGTATCCAGGGGTCTACATGTCCTCGACTCCGTCTCGCATGGTACGACCCGTCAAGTACCTGCCCACCGACCAGGACGACTTTGTCGGCCCGCACGAACAGGTGTACATGTCGATTGCCGTCACCGAGCCCGAGATCATCTCTGGCAAGACTACACATGTCGAACTGCACCCGACCAACATGCTCTCCATCCTCGCCAACATGACGCCCTTCTCCGACTTCAACCAGTCCCCCAGAAACATGTACCAGTGCCAGATGGGTAAGCAAACGATGGGCACGCCTGGCACGGCCCTCCGCTACCGCACAGACAACAAGACCTACCGCATCCAAACGGGCCAGACACCCGTCGTGCGCGCACCGCTCCACAACGCATACGGATTCGACAACTTCCCGAACGGCGCGAACGCGGTCGTCGCTGTCATCTCGTACACGGGCTACGACATGGACGACGGTATGATTATCAACAAGTCGGCGCTCGACCGCGGCTTCGGCTACGGCTCCATTTACAAGACCAAAAAGATTACCCTCAAGGAGGATACCAGGACTCGCACCGCTAAGCACGTGACGAAGATGTTTGGTTTTGCCCCCGGCGCCTTTGTGAGCGGCCAGTCGCGTGCCATGCTCGACGACGACGGCCTGCCGTACGTCGGGCTCAAGGTCAAGGAGGGCGATGCGCTGTGCGCCTGGCACACAGTGTCGGCCGATTACAGCGGTGCGCTCGTCAACCGCGACGGCCAGACCCACTTCGAGAAGTACAAAGACAGCGAAGAGGCCTACGTCGAGGAGGTACGTATTATTGGCAACGAGAACGGCAACGAGCCGAACCAGACCATCTCCATCAAGCTGCGCGTACCCCGCCTGCCCATCATCGGCGACAAGTTCTCGTCGCGTCACGGACAAAAGGGTGTCATGTCGCAAAAGTGGCCATCCATCGATATGCCCTTCTCCGAGTCCGGCATCCAGCCCGACGTCATCATCAATCCCCACGCTTTCCCGTCGCGCATGACCATTGGCATGTTTATCGAGTCGCTGGCCGGCAAGGCGGGTGCACTGCATGGCCTGGCCCAGGACTCGACGCCGTTCCAGTTCGACGAGGAGAACACGGCAGGCGACTACTTTGGCCACCAGTTGATGAAGGCTGGCTTCAACTACCACGGCAACGAGCCGATGTACTCGGGCATTACGGGTGAGGAGCTCGCCGCCGACATTTACGTGGGTGTTGTCTACTATCAGCGTCTGCGCCACATGGTCAACGACAAGTACCAGGTGCGTACCACGGGTCCTGTCGTTGCGACCACCGGCCAGCCTATCAAGGGTCGTAAGCGTGGTGGTGGTATCCGAGTCGGTGAGATGGAACGTGATGCGCTGTTGGCGCACGGCACGGCCTTTTTGCTGCAGGACCGCCTGCTCAACTGCTCCGACTACTCGCGCACATGGATCTGCCGCACGTGCGGCTCGTTCTTGTCGGTGCAGCCGACCGTATCGCCGTTTGTCGGCAAGCGCAAGGCCATCAACACGGTGCGCTGTCGCCGCTGCGCGTCGCGTGTCGAGGATCTCGAGGAGCTGGTCGAGGTCGCCCGTAAGAGCGGCGCCGATGGCAAGCCCACCAAGGAGACGCTGGCGCTGATGGACCGCCTGGCGCGCGAGGAGATCTGGGAGGACGGACACGGCGTGCAATGGGTGGGCGGCACCGATACCACGCAAGTAGTTGTGCCCGGCGCGCTGAAGTACCTGGACGTGGAGCTTGCAGCCATGGGCGTGAAGCTCAAGTACCGCGTCGATCCGAAGGATGCGCCGCGTCGCGGTCCTCTGCGGCCTGCCCAGTGGGACGGCACGCAGCTGCAGGAGTTGACAGCGGCTGCCTCTGGTCAGTAAGCAGTAATACTAGGTAGCGAATAGAGGCGGGGGGGGTGAAGGTATCAAAAAAGTGATGCGTGATGGCATATGTCAACAACAAACTGGCGACGAATCGGGTGGCGTTTGTCATATTCAATTTTTTTCTATATCATTGTCTTGCCACATTTTTGTCATATGTACATAGAGCACAGTGTTGCATTGTCCCCATGATAGTATATTATCTATTTGAGTTTCTTGCTCATAATGACTAAAAATAGCCTCCTCGATATCATTGATGTTTTGCCAAACTCTCCTTGCCTCTGGTCCGGGTGCAATATGTCGTATCGTAGGCCCCTCGAGGCCCATCAAGCCTTCCTTCTCTATTTCTTCATGTATCTCTCTCTTCTTCTCTTGAAGCCGTCTGCAACTTTTCCCGTCTCTGTTCTAGATCAACAAACCAGTGTCTCTTTTTCTCGGCAAATTGGAGGAGGACAAACAGGCATGTCGTGCCCTGTGGTACAGGGGTATGGCTCAAGTTCCAACAGATGCTTCTACAGCTCCTGGCCCAGGATTGGGAACCAACGGAGGACAGAACATGCAGCTAGCCGTACGTTCTGTCGCAGCCAGAGCTGTGACAGCCGAGCCGGTCTGCTTCATTCACAAAAATGTGTCTTTGTATTAGCTTGCCTTTATGCCGACATCAATCTTTCCTGTGCCGCTAGTCCTTGGTCCGTAAATAACTGGTTGCGTGCAGGTATGAGATATTGGTATCACCCAAACAAGCCATCTTCAACTCTCACCAGATCCCGAGAGAACACCAGAAAGATCAGACGAACGTAAGGGTGATAGGACAACGTTCCTCCATTCAGAACTCCGGGCATGCCCGATAAGGGCTGAAGAGAAAGAAGAAAACTAGGAAAACGCGTCATCCTGAGATCGTGTCTTGGTGTTGCACAACAACGACACGAAAGAAATCTTTAATATATTCTACAAAGGTAGCAAATGATCCTGGGCAGATACTCCCGCCGGGAGCATCTTCTTACATTTTCGTACCTTCTGGCTCCTGGTCCCTTGCTAGAAATAATAATCAAACAAATGTCTTCCGTTTGTTTTCTTCTTGTTTTCGGTTTCCTCACCCTCCCCTTCACCGTCACGTTCGCTCTCTTCCGGACGAGACTTCCCTTCGGCACCTGTACCTCGTGTCTTGTATCGCCTGGCGTCCATGCGACAGTGACGATCTACCTTCGGAAACGCGTAATTTTGGGCGAGACTTGGGTCCCATCCAGAGACAGAGTTTCTTCTGGGTGCTGTTTGCCGCCCATATTTTCACCTGGCCTGTCTGGTACACCCCTCCTTCCTTCTCGTATCTTCTCCCCGGTTCCCGTCCGGCTTCTCGTTAAGCTCTGACCAGGGAAAGGAAATCTTGTTTCCAGAAATCTTTTTGGGCGAGGTTGTCTTGTTTCGCTTCCGGCTAGACCTGTCTGCATTTGTTGTCGGCTGCTTTTGGTCGGCAAGCAATAGGTCATCTCGACGTATATATAGCCTGCCGTCAGAATATCGGCCTGTCTCGACATCTGCCTCACTTAGTCGTTTCCAAGCTGCCGTGTCACTCATTCACCCATTTGCCAGTCCTCTCGCTCTGTCGCGCAATTTACCATACGCTCTTTTTGACTTGCGCTCATTTCTCTTCGTTCTTTCCTTTCTCGGTGAGCTACGTGGACTGCGTCCCAGTTCGCGGTCGCTCCTTCCTTTTGAATACTCTTCTTTATGCTCCTTCCCTAGAATAACGCCATAAAAGGCATCCCACGCTCCCTCCTGATGTCGTATTTATTTTATATTAGAGTAAACCAAGTGTCACTTCAACCATTTGTTGCCCAGAAATTTCTCCTCTTTGAACAATATCCGCACGTCAACAGCTTTTGATCTTGCCGTCGCTTTCTTTGTTGTATATTCATTTCTCGATTCTGACAGAGGCATGCGATACTTGTCCGCAGCCTGGCCACTCTCGGCCGCCAGGCTCCTCGCCATTTCCTACATTTTTTTCAGTTGTTTTCTGCCACGAGTCGTTGCCAACGCATACGACTATGGTTTCGACGTGGCCGAGCATCTTTTTCGGCGTTCTTTTGGTTCGCCATACGATGCAGAGACGCCTTTTGTTGTCGGGGCCCTCGCTGGCGACCGCAATGGCACGCTACCCCCCAGGCAGGAAATCCGGCAGATGGAGAAGAATACAGATATTTGGACGCTGTACATCCTTGGTCTCAACATGATGCAGTACGTGGACCAATCACACCTACTCTCGTACTATCAGATTGCTGGTCGGTATTCCATCTCGTCGTATCTTTTGTCTGGCATCCAACCTGATATCTGGCGGGAAGTTTGCTAAAATCGCGGTTGACTGCAAAGGAATCCACGGTGTGCCATGGATCGAGTGGAACGGCGTTGCACCCAGTCCTGGCAGCGAGAATACCGGCTATTGCACGCACGTCTCGGAGCTTTTTCTAACTTGGCACCGTCCGTATCTTGCCCTCTATGAGGTGAGTAACTAGGAGCTGTTGGTCCCTCACAAAACGCATCTGACAGAGTATCTCTCTAATCATGGGAATAGCAAATTCTCTTCTCGTTGATTGAATATATTGCCTCACTTTATTCAGACGACGACGAACGCGACCGTTATCTGACGGCTGCCATGGACTTTCGGATTCCGTATATGGACTGGGCGACCCAACCACCCGCAGGCGAAAGTGTGCTCCCGTTAAGCGTCGGAGGCCGTCCATTTATCAACGCATCTGGACCGAATGGCGTTCAGCGCATCGCTAATCCCCTGTATACGTACCTTTTCAAACCGTTGAACGCCACAATGTTTATTGAGGCACCGGTACGTACCTATTTATACACAGGCCTCATTCTACTTCTGCTATTTTACTTTCAATGAACACTAGACTAATCCAACGGCTGTCAGTACGATTTGTGGCTGACGACCGTACGGGCGCCCACGGCTCAAGACTCCTCGGCCGGGTCTAACAACACTGCAGTCTCTCTAGCCCTTAACCAAAACTTTCCATCCATCCAGCAGCGGCTGTACAACTTGTTCTCGAACTACCAAAACTACAGCACATTCAGTAACGAGGCTTGGATTCCGACATCATCTAGTGGCAAGTATGATTCGCTCGAGTCTCTTCACGATACCATCCACACACTCACCGGCCTTCAGGGGCACATGGCGTGGATCCCCTTTTCCGCTTTCGATCCAATATTCTTCTTACACCATGCCATGGTCGACCGTGTTTTCGCCTTGTGGCAGATCTTAAACCCAGACTCTTGGATTGTCCCGACGGCATCTACCCTCGCTAGCTATACTACAGCGCAAGGTGAAATTCAAGACTCGCAAACACCCCTAACTCCATTCTACAAGGCACATAACGGCACTTTCTGGACGTCGGACGACGTCCGAGATATGGCCGTGTTTGGATATACCTATGACGACATGGTGGAGTTTCCACATGAAAGTTTGGTGACCAAAAACACTACGGCACAAGCGCAAGCAGCCGTATTAATCAATCGTTTGTATAGCTCATCCAGCCCTGCATCTCTTGGACCAATCGGCCAAAACAGCAACGCGAAGAGATCCATTCGGAGATCGAAGAAAGGTGTCGCTGCTCCGCACGGAACCTGGGTTGATGGGCGATCAAAAGACCACCATACTGGTCACGATATCCACCTACGCCCTTGGACCATCACAGAGGCCAAACGCCCTCCACCGTCGGTCGTCGTGGACAATGAATACCGTGAATGGGTGGCCAATATCCACGCTAAGAAACAGGCTCTCAGCAGCACATTCTTCATCGACCTGTTCCTTGGGGTTGTGCCTCCTGACACAACGACGTGGTCCTATGCGTCCAACCTTGTCGGAACGATGAGCGTGTTCGCATCTCCAGCAGGTGCCATGGCTGGTATGGACATGAGTGCCGGCCACACGTCCGGCACCATCCCGTTGACTTCGGCTTTAGCACAAAAGGTTGGCAATGGGGAGTTGGCAAGTCTTGAACCCAAAGATGTTGAGCCGTATCTTTTCAAAAACCTGCACTACGGCATCATCAAGGCTGATGGTGTGGTCGTTGCGCCTGGAGATGTGTCCGGACTGAGAATTACGATTGTCAGTTCGTGTGTGCAGGTGCCATCGAGTGCCGAGGAGCTCCCTCGCTGGGGCTCCGTCGAGGACCATTTTGATTTAATCTAAGCCTAATGGGGGTTTTCCAATTTATTGTGGCGGACTTTTATTTGATTCACTTTGAAATGCATTCGTTTGGCATAAGTCATTTACTTGGCTTGGGCCATTATTTAAAACGATATAGGGTTTCCGAAGTTTGCGTGTAGAGGGTGGTAAAATAGCTCGAGATATAATTAGACAATGCAAGAAAGTAGGTCACACATAAGTGTCTGAAACTTCACCAAGTGAAAGGCAGCAAAATCAAACGTGGTTGCATTATGTGCTGCAATATAATGAATGTCACAAGGTTTGGCGCCCAAAATTAGATTATAAGTCGTTGATGAGATTCATGTGTAATGCGGGTGTAGCCGCTCCATACCGTTTTAAATGACCATCTAATGCAGAGAGAAAATAGAACGAATTAAGCAAATTCAAGCGAATCAGAATACCAAAAAGAAGTATGCAGACAGTGATATAGGAAATGAACTAAAATCAACAATGTAAATAATACCAAAAACAAGTTACCAAATCGATTAGTTTGTGAGATGTGTCGTTCAAAATCTTCCGATTCGTAAATGCGAGGTTTCAGCGACCAGAAGTGACGCATCCGATGGCATGGTAAGCAAAACGACGAGTTCGAGCGGAGCCGGATATCACATGAAGGGCAAGAAAGAGTTCCGCTTTTTGGTTTTCTTCGGCGCGAGCGAGGAATTTGCGTCCATGTTGCCGAGGATGGCATCAAACGTACTCTCGGCATTGTATGTGCTTTTGGTATTGGTATCAGCACCTCGGCCAGCACCATTGGTATCGTCTCGTTGGTGAACTGCGTTGCCGCTGGCCTCTACCATGGCTCGCAGGTTGCCAGCCGACGCAATGCGGCGCGTGGAGGGTTGGTAGCTGTTGCGGTTCTGCTGGATGAACGGAAGCGGATGGCCATCGTCGCCGAGGTTCACAGGCTCCAAGGCCCAGCCGATGCTGGCATGGCGCAGATGAGCCCGGTCTTGCAGCTGCTGATAGTTGTCGCGCGTCTGGGACCATGGTAAATTCACAGGTGACTGGAGTTGCTGCATGGGCTGCAGCTGTGGCGAGTATTGGCCTTGCTTTTGTGGAAGTATCGAAGGTGACATGGACCGGGGCGAGGTGTCATGATCGGCATTTTCGTCGTAGTTGGTCGGTCGAAAACGGGGCGAAGATGTGGTGGACGCATTGGCACCTGAATCCGCAGCCGAAACTAGCGTGGCCATCGTGACAAGAGAAGGTGAGGAAGAGGACATGCCAAGGGAGGAGCCATTGGGGACATCCGGCAGTGTCACAGGGTGGATGGGGAAGGGCACGCCCGCTGCGGCCGCGGCCTCCACATTTTCTGTACCCTGGGCGAGAACTAGATCGTCTGGTGTAACGCCCGCGTTCGAGATCGATCCTCTCGCAGCTTCCGTGCTCCAAACTTTGGCCGCTAACCAGCAGTGCGAGCGGTGGTACGTAGCCTCGACTGAGTACAGAAGCACATCTGCTGAGAGCTCCACAAGAGGGCCAGCTCCGCCGGCCGTCTGGAACCAAGCTTTCCGCACCTCCCCTGCGTCTTCGACCCAAGGAGCACGCCCCTGAGGTGGTTCACATAGGAAGTACTCAACACCTTCTGTATGGCGCAGGCCAGGGGCATCAATGACGAGCATTGGCATGGACTGCAGGACGACATAAAGGAACAACCAATGGCCGATTCGCATCTCGGACAACTCGGCTTCCGACTTGCCTCGCTTAGCCTCCCGGAGTTCAAAGGCCTCAAATGCAGCTAGGAATGGAGACTCATTAGGACGTTCGGCATCGACATTGTGCGATTTGAGGAGTACCAGCTGGAGCTCGTAAGGTTGAACGTTCTTGTCAAACCGTGCTTGGTCTTTCGGAGCCATATCAGGGTAGGTCTCGTGAATCGTTGCCATGGTCGGCAGCTTCGGAGTATCGAAAGGCACTGGTGGTAGAACGGGTGGCGAGGACTGATCAAACTCGTTGAGGATCTGGCGAAGAGCCATAATTGGTGCATCTGCCGGGGGCCCGTTCGTCGGCAGTTGAACGGTAGAAGGAGCGGCTGATACACTGTTTCCATCTTCACCTACCCGAGTGGTGATCGAATTGCGGTTCACGAGCAAGTCGTACACAGAGCAAAGATCGGCATAAAGCGTTTTGAGCACTAGGCGATTCAGACCACTCTCCGAGAAGGGGTTGCGACGGCTGCTTGCTTTCGGAGGCCAGCTACCAAACTGCGTCTTGTAATATCTGAGAACAAATGCTCGCATCTCGACAAAGGCAGTGCGCCAGTTCTTGAAGCGGATGTTGCGGTAGTCGGGGTTGGACGTGGAGTTTGCCACACCAGCAAACAAACTGGGGAAATCAAACTGCTCTAGCCGCGTGTTGACACTGTGCTGCCGAGTGAGTAGGTCAAGGTGAGCACGCTCGAGACGCTGCAAGGTGTAGGGAGAGACTCTGTCCCAGAGGGGCGACGACTTGAGGTCGCAAAGCGCTGGGTACTTGCCCACGGCGTGGCAGAACGCTTCGTTGTACAGCGGCCAAAAGCGTAGCTGCTCGCCAATAACAAGAGCCTCCAAAGTCTTCTCGCGACCGTGCCGCAAGTCTGCAAGGGCAGTTTGGTCAATGTAAAAGCCTGTGCTCAAGTCGACCGCGTCACCAAACGAGTTGCTGTTGACAGAAGCAAATCCAAATTCAAACTCGCGAAGCAGTTCAGCCACCTGCGTCAGCGCTGCAAACACAGTTGGAAAGTTGCGCGTGGCGACCAAAGGTTGGCCGGTCAAAAGAGCGAAGAGATTGCGAAGAGCAATCAGTCGCTCTACGTCAGGCGCACCATTTAGACCATTGTAGCTGCTGGAGGGCAAATGCAGCCGCGACTCGTTGCCGGTGGACAGGAGTGGCGACATCGGTGGTGAGACGATGCGGTGGGCGTCGGCTGCCGTAAGAGAATCGCGACCACCAAAACTGCGGGCACGAGATCGAGCGCTGGCGGGTGAAGAGGCTTGGCTTTGGACGATGCTACTGAGGACGCGCGATTCCTCGATGACGGACATGCGCACTTTGAAAGAGGCACCCTGGCCTTCGCTCTGAGGGGAAAGGTAAACATAAAGGTTGCCATTGTCGTCCCAAAGCTCAGGAACCTGGAAAATCACTTTAGCTTTAATTAAAGAGCAAAATAGCCACTTTGTCTGAGGAACATGGGGGACGGATGACGGGTTGGCCGTACCTTCTCGCAGTTCATCAAGTAATCAATGCTGTAGTCGATGTGGGATTCTGTACATAAAACCCATGCAGCTGAAGCCGATCTCATAGATGGCTCGTGAGATTTTGACCGCAACCGACCGTTGCCGCCGCTAACACCAGGAAGCCAGCTCATCCGCCGTTGGGCCAAGCTTGCTGCGAAGTTCGGGCTCTGTGCATCGTTGCCATCGCTGGAGTGTGTCGAATGTGAGCGCGAACTTGGATCTGTGCTTATCGATGCAACATAGCCAAGCTGTGCATGAGCCCGAGAGTGTAGCTGGCTGGGGCCAGTGGTAATTGGTGGTGGTTGGGCCGACACACTGCGACCGCGCTGTCCATCGGTGATGTGTGGTGGTGACATGCCACGGCCCGGCGACTTGCGCAAGCGCAGCGGGGCCGACACTACATTTTGCCGCACCGGCTCTTGCTGCGGCTGTTGCAGCAGCTGAGGTTCGGGAGCCGCATCTCGTGGTCGGCCTCTTGTATTCTTGAGTGTCGCTGATGACGAGTGTGTCTCAATGAGTCTTGGAAGTATTGATAGCATGTCTGGATCTTCTGCTTCTTCTGCTTCTTCTGCTGCCTCTGCTTCTTCTGTTTCCCTAACCGTTTCGGCGATAGGGGAGACGACAGTAGGTACGGTAGGATGCAAGATAGGCCCCGCGGTTGCTTGGAATTGTGTTGGGAAAATATCGGCTTCAATGCTGGACGTTCGCACAGGCCACAGCGGAGGGGGTTGTGTTGGAGCTTCAGGCACAGAATCTTGGTGTGAGGATGGAGTTGTCCGCAGGTCGTTGACGGTAGGTGGCGGTGTAGTGAGATTGTCACGAACAATCGACGTTGCCGGTGCACCGTCGAGCAGCTTGCCACGTAAGGCGAGCGGAAGGAGACTCTCTGGAGAAGATGTTGTCGTTGATGCAGCATCCATAAGATTTGTAGAATCGGTGGCCGAAGTCAGGGAATGAGGAGCTGTAGGAGCTGGAGGACCTTCAGTAGGCCCGGAAACTTTGAGCTTGTCAGTAAACAGTGGTTAGAGTGAGACGTATGGGAGCTCCCATATGGGCAGTTCCAGGAGGACAAGGCTGAACTCCAAAGTAGACATTGTGTTGCGGAGGCGGCCGGATATTGGAACTGGTCAAAAAAAAAAAAAAAGGAAACACCCAGCTGCACACAGAAAAGCCACCGGGGCTTTTACAAAGTAGAGAAATAAAACACAAAAAAGCCCTAGGATGCCGACCCAGAGATGTGTCCATGCCACAAGACAAGTGGTGAGGGGACTCCGTACAGACTCAGGGATGAGAGGACAAGAACAAGGGAAAACAAAAGCTGCAAAGACGAGGACAAGGAGAGAAGTACGCGGCATCTGAAAGCGTCCAAGACATGTGCTACAGAAAAGTTGCGTGGTCGCTGTACTCACATGAGCTAGATGCCATGGCTTGTTAGAGAAAGTGCCGTGAGGCGTTTGTACAATGCCACGGGTGTCCAGGTACAGGGTGGAAGGTTCGGGGGTGGCGGCAGGAGGGGATGAAGCATCGACAATAGAAGCCGACGAACGAGGGACCTCTGGCAAGACACGGTGAAGGCGTCGCAAGAGTTAACAGCCACACTGTACGCCCAAGATATGTAGAAAACCAAGCTGGCCGTGATCGGGCGTCAAGCAGACCCTCGGCCTCGTAAGCTTGGCGGGGCGGTTCGTAGAGGTATTGTTTTGTCTGGTCGGTGTTAGTCGTCTGTAGGGGTTTCGAGGCATCTGCTGCCTGGGTGCAAGCTGACAGGCTTGATTTTGCGTTTTGTTGTTTCGAAGCTGCCTGGATGTTGATATAACAGGCAGAAAAGGGGAAGTGGAGAGAAGTTGAGGTTGTTGGGAGGTTTTAAAGAGAGGCTGAAAGAAGGAGTGCAAGGGACCAGTGGCCTGGGAGCCTGCTTTGTGTTATTTTTGGCTGGAGCTACAGGAAGACGAACAGGGCAAGAGCGGGCCAAGAATGGAGCAGGAGCGAAGGCAAGGGGGAGCAGTTATCGGGCCCGTTACGGAAGGAGCGGCCAGTCTGTACAGCAACTTTGGTGGTGGGCGGGAGGTGTGCACGGTTGCCAAGAGCGAAATAGAGGCAAGACTAGATTGCAAGATATGTACGAAAGAGAACGACAGTAAGGATGGGCAGGTGGGTGGTCAACATTGTAGATGAGGAATGAAGGCGGGAAGCTGCATTGACCAAGGAAACAATTTGGATGCCCTTCTCTGGAAGCCGTTCTCTGGAAGCCGTTCTCTACCAGTCAGAATGAGTACGTGCCGATCCAAAATCTTGACAAGCAAATATTTCTTGCCGAAGGCGACATCGCAAACAGATTTCGAGTGTTTTCGTCAGAGGCTGCTGGCTCTGGCATTTCGTTCCTAGTATTCCGCCCTGGCTGGACTAGCCTGGATGTGGAGGACTAACACGTACTCTGCCTCGTCACAAAAAGCTTGGTCTTGCGGAGACGTGGGCCAAGACGCAAAACCAGGCGAATTAGGCTTCGGTTGTGTACTCCGTATTCTGTACACGTCGCATTTTTGTTCTCTTAACCCCATCGACGGCAGCAGCGACGTCCAACTCGTACCAGAGCCTGTGGACGGAGGAGAGCGACACACCGGCTCCCCCGTATTTGTCTCTTTTTTCGGCGCTGATAATTCTACTTTATTCCAAAATGGGACTCGGAATCGGAAATGCTGCCCACTCATCGCCAGCATGCAGTAGTGCCTTTGGTTGCCCGCGCGTCGAACGCCACAGACCCTGGGACCTGGGCGGCTCTTCTGGGCGTCAATGGACTTGAAGTCAAGAACAAGAGACCCACTATTAAGTCCTGTTTTGTTCGGGGGCTGGATGTGAAATGGAAAGGGGCGTAATGGGTCCGTTACTGCTGCATGGGTTATGTTTGGTTTCGTTTTCCCTTCGTCTCGTCCTCTTTTCTCTCCGCTATGGCAAGTTCTCCCGCTACTTTCTTCACCGTCTCGTTGTTTCTCGCTCGTCTCGGCAACTTATGTAAATAACGCCTCGAATGTGGTTGCTCTTGCGTTATGCCCACAGTTGCATGCGAGGGTCCAGTCTTGCCTGCAGCGGCCGTAGTCCGTTTTGGGGTTGGCGAAACGGACCAGTGGTGGATGCCATGAGGCAGGGCAGACACACAGTTGAAACGGCGGTACGAATGTAGTCAGCATGCCAATTCCAATGGAGGAGAGGGCAAGGAGAAGCCCGCACTCGCGGTTTGTCACGTCGTGGCAGTTCCCGTCGCCAGCGTCAGCACAGCCCTATTCCAGCTCCACTTGACACTGTCCGTACCGGTCGTCAGCTCACGGACTGGCATCCTTCCCATCCTTGAGGCTCTTGTTTGCTATGATTCGCGCTTCGCTTTTGCCGGGCCAGCGTGGCTCCGGCACCGCGAGTTGCTGCGCTGGGCGTGGCTGTGCTATTTTGACTTCTGTTGTTGTGATGAAGCGCAGCATTGATGAGCGGAATTGCCAACCGCGGCAAAAGGTGGTTGATTCGGTGAGGAGAGATGCTCTTACAACCGTGCGTGCCGTGGTAGTTGAGCGATGAATACGATAAATACGTCATATCCAATGAAGGGTTGCAATCGTGTTTTTCTCTTTTCTTGCTCGCATGCAAACTGACACGGAAACAGTTTATGTGGTTTCCCCCAAGCTCTTATCCAACGTCCGTGCACCTCATTCGCTCTTTCCGGTAATCCTAACTCAATGCAACCCCGCACATTCTGCACCAAATTCACACGGGACGGCGACTTCTCAGCGCAGTCACTACAATTGTACAATGTATTACGGTGGTCTTATGTCACCATTTGTGAGCCGTGCGGCGTTCCCGGCCAATTTCATGTTCCTTTCAGAGAACGGATCGTGTTGTTTTCTTGCTGGGACCGAAATGAGCAGGCTTACATCACTGATCAAGCAGAGCAGGTTGTGAATCCTCAAGCAGTAATCCCCAAGCAGTATGTCGTACGTTCGTCCGAAAGGCGACGTATGGCGTATCTCAATTGAGGTACTCCGTACAATTGTGTGATTCACTTGCAATGTATGACATACCCCGTAGTCTGCGGTGAATTTACGATATCGTGTATTAATACGACGTGAGAGTCCGGAGTAGTACGCGTAAGGATGTCGTACTTCGTAGTGGACGGAACATTAAGCTTGAGGAAAGAGCCTCGAACAAGCGAAACAGACAGAACAAGACGGATCGCAGTTTCAACCAAACCAGAGTAAAACAAAGCTCCAAAGCTCCCAGCAAAACGACAAGCGAGGCAGACGACACACCTTTGCACTCCGGAGAGCCCATAAACCCGGATTTACCGTTGCATTTTGTTCGTATCCTGACCTCATCCGATTTGCCGCTGACGAAATATGTAATATACAGCCTCGGTGCAGCTCAATTCATCGCAGATTGTATCAACTTTAATAATCGAAAATGTTGTGCTGAAAAGGATCGAAGTCATCGACAGGATTGATCGTCTCGACGACAAGGACACGACTCCCACTGACAATTGGCCCTTTGTGTCTGCCGGTCTGCACCTTTGCATCATGCCTGCATGTCTGCGCGTCACGCCCGTCTCACTTTGTGTGCTGTCACCATTGGCTCCCGAATCCTTTCTCGGACATATATGACACACCCCCAGGCCGCTCCTTCACAGCGCTCGGTGGCGGCTCTTGTCAGTTTCGATTACAGGGACAAAAGTAATAGTTAATACATTTTTGCACTTACGGAACAACGCGCCAAGCTGAGTATTGCGTGAAATACCTTCTACCTGCGCCTCCAGCTAGCAAACGTCTTGTTGGAAACAGCTTTCCCAAAGGGGGTATCGTGGACATAGCCTCTGTGCTGAGCTCGGCGCCTCACAGTCGCACAGCCAGTCTTTGCACCGGCAGGCACCGGGAAAAAGAAGAGGGAAGGCTTAAATGGAGTCACAATGGAGCCAAAGGTATTCCAAACATATAAACTAAAGAGGAAAGGAGCGCGATTGATAGACGATCGATTTTTTTTACGAAGCGAAGCGCGCGTGTGGGTGCAGGTGGGTGGGGGGATGAAAGAGGGCTGTATTGAGGCTCAAGAACGCCAAGACGACACAAGGAACATGCCAGCTATCGACATGCAGCCACGAGAGAAAAAAAAAATACTACAAAAAATAATGAAGTGAACGGCGGTGATGTTACTCGGAAAACTCCTGGGCTTGCACCCTGAGCTTGACCGTCTCCTTGTGCGACTTGCCTACGGAACTGAAGCAGTCGGTCACCGCTTCAGCTACGTCAAGGCCAACAGCGCGGCTCGCGGCCACCGCTACGTCGAGGTGGACGGCTGTCTTGCCTGACTTGGTGGTCGACAGCATGGGCTCGAATCTGCACGGTATACGTTAGCTATTTTACCCTGTTCACATGTAGATGTGTCCATCCACTCACCGTATGGATGCCAGCTCGGCTGCGTTGGGCGGCCCGGCTGGGAACACGAGGGCAAGCACAGCGGCTACGCCGCCCATATACTCAGCCCAGAACATGAGATCGCCGTCATCGTCCGTGCCGCTTCTGCTGCTACTGCTGCTGCTGCTGCCGCCGCCGCCACTAGGCCTGTCCAGCAGCTGCCGCAACCCGTCGAGTAACGGGGTATCCGTAGGTGCAACACCGCCGCCCCAACGCGCCCACAGGCTGACAGCCAGAATTGCGCGTGCTTGGTGCGTCAGGCCCGGCATTCCCGGATTGCGTACCACAGCATCATGTAGCACAAAGGCTGCATTTGCAGATGAGTCAGCACCCGTACGCTCCCAGATATGCGTCGCGAAAAGTGGAAGTAGAGGCCGAAGCGGCGCCCAAGACGGCTGTGCTGGTGACGGCGATGAAGATGATGAGGATGAGGGGAGTGGTGGCAAGGCTGACAGAAGTGCTTCTGCGGTGGACTGGATTGCGGCAACGACATCGTCACCGGTGCGACCACGGCTGTACGAGGACGATGTCGCGGCCGTCTCGACATGAACGCTGAGCGGATCAGCCTCGCGCAGCGTGGCAGGCAGCCGCATCATGAGCGCGCCCTCGCGGTTGCCACCGGCGCAAAAGGTGACGCTGCGGATTGTGTGGCTTGACCGTTGCAAAGCGACAATAAGCGCATCCACCACGGCCGTGATTGCGGCAAACTGCTGGCGTCGCCGTTTGGACATGCCAAAGATCTTGCCCCCCGCCAGCTCGTGATTAACACGGCGCATGCGGTGCGTATCCCGGAAGAAGGAACCGGGCACAGTGTATCCGCCCATGAGCGGAACGGGGTACGGCTGTACGGCGTCGTTCTGCATCAGCATACTGCCGTAGCCACGGAATCCGCCGCCACAGAGGTAGACATCGATACCTCCCTCGCTGGTCTTGTTGGCCTGCTGGCGCTTCTGGAGCTCCAACAGGCTGGGGAACTGCTCGTGCAGCCGGGCAAGTGCGGCTGTCATATCGTCGGCCAGTTTTGGCGCCGCTTCGGCCGTAGCCCGAGAGTCAGCCTCTGCCTTGGCCTCTGCAGCGAGCCGGATCCTCTCCGCATCGAGGTGGTGCAGCTTCTTGTCGAATTGTAGCTCGCTTCCGACGTCGTGAATGGGCGGCGTGGCCGATGACACGAGACGTGTCAGGCGTGCCGCACCGTAGGGCATGCTCTGGCCAGCACGGGCAGCCGCAACTTCGTAGCCGGGGCCAAGCCGCGGGTCCACATACGTCATCTGGACGCTGCCACCGCCCAGGTCCAACATCAACCCGCCCGCGCCAGTGTCGCTGTTGCCGACGACCGCAAAGCCTGACCGCGCACCCGTTGAGCCAAACAGCGTCTCGACCTCAGGCGCCAGAACGTGCACCGACAGACCCGGCGCCGCAGACGCAATGGCCTCGAGCAGGGCGCCCGCATTGGCAGCCCGGCGCATGGCCTCGGTGGCGAAGACGGCCATGCGGCCTGGCGCGACGCCATAGTCGAGGGCGATGCGGCGGAAACGGGCCAACGTGCGGGCGACCTGCCGAATCGTCTCGGCGGGGAGCTTCATGGCAGACGGGTTGCCTGCTGGCCCCTCGCCGCTTGTGCTGTCGTCGACGGCCGTGAGCGCATCAAACAGCGAAATGCCAGCGCGCTCGCGGTAGACGCATGGCAGCAGCCGGGTACGGGGTGGCGACAGGTCGGAAATGGAAAAACGGATACCGTTGCTGCCCATGTCCACGAGGGCGTGGAGGTGGTTGTCGTCGTCCGGCTGCCATTTTGGCAGCTTGTCGGCAAAGTTGTCGAGGGTGATGATGTCAGTGGCCGCGGCCGCGCTGGAGGTCATGGCGACAACCCCGCTGGCGTTGATCTTGTGGAGGGCAGCGCGGGGGACGAGGAGGAGAGCGATGCAGAGCAGCAGGGCGGAGGGCAATCCCAAAGTGACGAGGTGGAGTTGCCTGTTTTCTGGTCCCATGGATTTTGGTGGAAAAATTAATTGGGTGCAGTGAGGGAAGGTACGAGCGAGACGGACGAATGTGGAAATAGTCCTGGTCAAGCGCATCGATAAGTTCACAATCGGACAAGCTCAGGTCTAGTCAGTAATCTGAAATCGGCCTCTTGGTGATTCGAACCAACTGCGCAAAATGGACTATGTATGGCATGAGCGCAGATCAAGCTTATCAAATGGGTTCTTTATTTCCACTTGCCTTTGGACGTCACAGAAAAAGAACATCGTTCGAGAGATAATATAGTTTGTAGCCTTTGTGCAGCTGCGAATTCTAGAAAGACAAAGGACGGCCGAAGCCGGCCGAGGACGAAAATACCAAAAAAAGGAAAACCCAATTAAGCCGACTGCTTTTTCTACTCGAGCAGACGGGCCCTGAACTCCCAAAACTTTGCAAAAGGAAAGAAAGGGATACCAAAAACCAAAAAAAATTAAAAAAAGTAAAAAAAAATTCGAAAAGACATTTTCGAAACATTACATCCATCCCAGCCTATCCGGCATGATATCCAAGGCAAAATACAAATGACACGGGCTGCATGGCAGCAATCTCGTCTAGGGCCAGATGGCGCGCCGCAGGTCGTCGCCGATAAAGTTCTTGCCGTAAATGGTCGAGTATTGGTTGTGCCAGCGCAGGGTACCGTTGAGGTGCGACGAGTTGGAGCTGCCAGCCTCGCCAAACGCAAACTCGCGGCGCAGGCCGACGCTCCACGTAAAGCTGGACTGTGCGTTGCCCATAAAGAGGCCGGCGCGCAGAGCAACTTCGTAGTCGACGAGGAAGCGCTCGTCGTAGCTGAGACTAGCGAGCAAGGCGGCATCGGCACCCTCGACCAGGTCCTCCTTGGTGATGACGGCTATGTTAAAGTCGCGGCAGCGCTCGGTGAAGGACGTGATGTTTTCTTTGGTGGCGCCTTCCGTCAGGTAAATCTGCGACAGGTTGTTGGCGACGACGAAGCTGAGGGCGTCCGAGGCCTGCTCGGTGTAGTCGGGGAAGCGGAGCGGGTCGGGCTGGGTGCGCAGCTCGACGCCGACAAAGGCGTCAATGTCGATGCCCTTGCGCGGGTCGATCTGCAAATCAAAGGCCTTTTGCAGGTTGAAGAGCACAGTGGCCGCGAGCGCGCGCAGGTCCTTGCGCACGCGCAGCATGCGGCCAAAGTAGCGGCGCAGCGGCGGTTGGTCGGCAAAGGCGGGCATCACGTACGAAGGCGTGGGCCGCAGGTCGACGCGGAAGGGGTATCTGCGGGTCTTGGGCGGGCTCTTCTTGTTGAGCATGGCGTGGATCTGCTTGCCGAGTTTGTCGCCCTCGGACACGAGCTTACCGGCGCTCTTGCCAAGGTTGGCCGCAATCTTGACACCGGGCACCTTGTAGATGTCGAGCTTGGCGGGTTCCAAGAGACTGGGCTCGTCAAAGAAGTCGTTGAGTGAGTTGTGAATCTTGAGCTCCGGGCAGAACTCGCCCAGGGTGCCCATGAGGTACTCGGTATCGAAGAAGTGGCTAGGCGGCAGGCCGCGTCGTGGACCGTTGTCATGGGGTGCGATGATGGAGAGGTCCATGGTAGACCGCAGCATGATGTCGGGCAGGATTACCTCGGCTGGGCAACAATTAGAGGTGCTCACTTTTTTTTTTTTACTTCTCCATCCTCCCCAGGCGCACTTACCTCCAATCTCAATGGCGACACGGATGCAAGTCAAGATGCCATTCTTGACGTCGGCCATACCACCGGGCACGGCGTCGCATGTCAGGATCAGACCCGGCGTCCACTTCTTTGCCGAGCACAGGTCGGACAGGCCGTCGCCGACATAGGCGCCACTGATGTCGTGATTGAGGAAATCACTGATGAAGACTTTGCGCTGGTCGCGGAACTGGCGGAAGAGGTCCGCATACTGGTCGTGCTGGTCGCCCGTGCCGCCGAACTGTACAATGATCCAGGTCACAACCAAGGCCCCGGCAAAGAACCGGAGGTAGTGGACGAGCCGGAATTGATCCAACATGGCGGTCGACGGAATGAGAAAGACCGGGAAAACAGAAATAGATGGGGAACGAGCGTCGGTAGGTCGGGGACCGGGCTTGGTGTCAGTCACGGGCCGGGGGGCCCAAGGTCAAGCTTTTGAGCGTGATAGGGGTGGACGGTTTACGTGGAGCGCTGGGAACAGGCGGTAAAGCGGACTCGCATAAAGTGGCGATCGGGGCCAAAAGTGGTGTAAAAGGAAGGACAAGAAGAGACGACAAAAAACGAGGGAGACCGTGTTGCTACATAGATGCAAACAAAAAACGCGGAGGACGAGCGATTTGAAGAGAAGAAATGAAGCGAAAAGTGAATGGCAAAGATGGAAAATGAGGCTGCCGTGAGGACGACCAAAAGGGACGGATGTCGAGGACACAAATGGTGGAGATGGAGATGCAGCCAGGGAACAAGTCCTGCCAAGATTAAGCCAAGGGCGCAGGTCAGCAGGGAGGAAGGGACACATCGACAGGGCAGTAGCGATGCGCAAAAGGGGCTACATGCGCAGCATTTCAAGAACCACTGAAGCTACAGCGCTAGCTGGGACAAGTGACCACCTGTCCGCCTTATCTTCACATGCATCCTATCACGAACGCAACCCACAAGATCAGCGACAAGTCTGAATTGGTCCAAGAGAACAGTGACTGTCCAAGAGATGTTACAAATACATACTTGTCTACAAGATAGGTACACTATGCCGGTACGATATGGAAATCCTGGCCATACGCAGGCGAGTCAGTATTACGACAATCTGGCCGTGCGCTCCGTGAGGCTGAAAAGGGGGAGTCTGACTGCTCAGCGCTGCTACGTATTCGTATGGCATGCACGATCCAGGGATGCGGCTAGAAACAAACAGCAGGCGCCCCAGGTGCCGGGCCGCCCAGCGAGGGAGCCGGTACGCGATTGCTGTTGGGCAGATAACATTCTGTTTCTTGAACCTTGCGAGGGATGGATAATTCTATCGACTCGACGACATACGGTGTATGTCGTACGGCGCATGGAGTGCGGTGTGTCGAATTCTCTGGTGGCCCATCTCCTCTGCTATGCTTTGGACCTCCAGTCTCTCTTTTACTCGCCGCGCTTTACTCTGCTGGTTTCAACCACGCAAAACAGTTCCTTGTTTTTCCCTAACGCGCCTTGTTGATCAATCGCCCTTTGTGACTGTGGTTGCTACTCGAGAGAAACATCAACGCCTTTGAGCCAGACGGGAATTCCCGCTGGCGATTGAACGGAGCTGACTTTATCTCTCTGGCCGTTCACAGTTTAAAGTTGATATATTGCACTCCGTCCTCCGAAGTGCTGACTATAAGCATATCTGCACGTCGTACTTTCGTATTGGCGGCGCACATCCGTGAAATTAACTGTGACATTTTTTATTGCCAAGCTGGCCACGGTCTAGCCTCCTCGAGTGAGAGTCAAATTTACTGATTAAGTAACGGATCGTAGGGCGCATTGATGTGAAATTGTTTCTCCCTTGATTTTCGGCTCCTTCTTTGCTTGCCCATTCGTCCCGTCAGCTCATTCGTATTGCTCACCCTCCTCGAGAAGCCCGCCCACGTTTGACAAGCAAACCTGGCGCCCATCAACGCAACCTTGCCGTCTGAATTTTGCGTTGTTTCGGATTAAACAGCTTACATCGTCTCTGTTTGTGCAATGGCCAATGACTCGGAGACTCGATGTTTCCATTTCTCGTCTTCTCTGTTATGTTTCAACTCTCGGCACCGCCATCCAGAGTAATAAACGCATCTAACGCGTTCAGCGCAAACGAGAAAACGGGATCCCAAGGGCCCAGGGCCCAGGGACCAAGACGACCAAAGGTGCTCCGCCTCTGGCCAATTACAGAGAATCCAGGTCTCCTGTTTGTGATTGTGCATTCCCTCCGGGTCTTTCAAACCCGTTTTGTTTTCCATCTCGTCTCCGCGCTTTCTGCCCTTGTTTTGAGCCCTTCACTCGGCCTCATTCCAGATTCCAGCCCGCTCGTTTCATTGTTTCGTTTCGCTCCCCAGGGGCAGTCCTTATGCAAAGTCCTGTTTGCTCATCGTCAAACTGTGGACGGCCCATCTGATGCCAACCCGCGGTTCTCTACTCTGGACCCTTTGCTTTGCGTTTGTTTCTCGACGGCTGGGCCTGGCCAGAATGCTGGTTTCCATTCTTGCCATCCTGACACGTTCTGGCGGAGTCTGACCTAAGCCGAGCCACCTACCTGGCAGGTTCTATCAAGCCCAAGTTTGTGCTCCATACGACATGCACACCGCCATGTTTTCTTTCTCATCAATTGCGTAAACTATTCATAGATACTCGTGTGCTCTCTCATGTCCGGTTGGCAGGCGACTGCATTTTGGTGGCGGTTGTTGGGCTGTCAATACAACACCGCTTTTGTTGCCGCAACGCTCATCAAGGTCCGGAATGCCATGCTCTTCAAGTGTGCTTTGTCGCACCGGACTCGGACGTGCCGACATTGAGACTTTGGGCGTTCTCGCTCTTCCGTGTTAACGCACTGCCATGTGGTGCTGTTGAAGTACGGAGTACGATTTAAGGGCAAATCATGTTCGTACAGGCATGTGTCGCTTTGTTGTTTTTGCCTCCACTGCAACTCAAATGTTTTCCGCATTGGTAGGGAGCATTGTTTTGGTGTCACTGACATGGGAAACCTCTTTACGCGAAACTGTGGATAGTTGACAGTAGCGCCTGAAGCAACCGCCTGTAAGCTGCACGCCACCCAAAAAAATACTCGCGGCGTAACCCACTTTTATCGATGCATGGGGCTCCGGCTCGATTTTGACTGGCTACGGTAGATGGAACCGACGCGTGTGTGACAAAGACGCGCGCGAGCATCGCGCGAAAAAACGCGTTCGTGGGGTTGGTCTTTCCTGACGCTTTGCATTCTCCGATGTTCCTCGCGCACCTTCCTGCCAGTCCCTCGCCTCCGACTATTGTCACATTAACCAGACTTTTATCCCAGCCGTGTGCATCGGGTAAGGAAAGGACGGATCACATTGTTGGGTGACCATCTTACTTGTAGAAGGAAGGCGCAAAAGGTCCTGCTTTGAGTTTCGTCTATTTGACGTCAGGACGAAGAAGGAGCAAACGTGTAGGCATCCCCGCCCATTTGGACGTTTTGCTTGCCCACCGCCTCTCCTCCTTTTTTCGTCGCTGTTTCTTCACGTCTTCTCGTTTGTCCATCTTCGACGTATTCTCTTCTTTCATCCGCTTTATGACGACGCTTTTCTTCTCGTCTCTTCTCGTCTCGCCGCCAGCTACGTTGCACGCTCCTTTATTCCCTCGTCGTTTCTCTCTCCCCACTGACATTCCTTTTGCATCGTTCCCTTCCCATCGCCTCCACCTCGCTGCGTCGTTTACCGCCAATTGATCTCCATTTTGGCCCCATTCTCTCCTTTACTCCAGACGCCCGACCCATCTTGCACCCAGCCTGCAGCAATACACCACCGCCTGCAGCTCCCTCTCCCAGCCTTTTCTCCTCTTGCATGTCCATCTTTGCATCCGCTCTCCTGTGCCTCGCCTCTTAACTTGTCTGTTTTCGACTCCCGAGGCCGACACGACCGATCCTCTACTTCCCTTTCTGGCCCTCACTGTTCCTCTGCAGCCTCGACTACCCCGTTTTGTCCTGATTCGTATCTTACGATTGGCATCTCACGGCGACCTTTCCACTTCCAGCCTCAGCATCGCCATTGAACCATAACATCCAGTGGAACGGCCGGTTTACGGAACATTCTCAACCTTTCACCACCCTCGCAGGATTTCAGAGATTTCAGAGTCAAGACCGAAAAAAGTGGAGGCACAAGGCGCTCAGAGAAGATCCGCGTCGTTTCTCCTCTTCTACGTCGTACACACGCCCGTTCTTCTTTCTTCTCTTCTACCTTGTGTCTTGTCAGACTTTTCCTCTCGCCCCACACCTAGCCTTGACGTCGTGCGAGACAGTCGTACGTTCAGATACGTCGGGGAAGGACAAGAAAGAAAGAGACTTTGAGACTTTAGCAGACGACTGAAAGAGACCCGAAAAAAAACCGGCGCAATATCACAGCTCCGGAGTATCTTGCTTCAATCTAAGCCTACGGCCATCCCGCCCACTTGCACCAAATATATCCTGCATACTGCGTACAGCACCCTGCATCCTGCATCCTGCAAGCTGTGTTCTATACACTGGACCGCACCACCCGTCTCCTCTTTCCTATGTGAGGCGAGCTTCACTTACACGACGGCCCATCTCATTCACAAATCGGAGCCACACGAGACATTTGCATTGCTCCACGCCCATCAGCAACTTTGCCCAAGATATACCTTCTTTCGCCGCTTCATTAGGAGGACACAGTGAATAAGACATATTGCATCCCCGGCACTTGAGACCTTGTTCCGCCCGCATTGTCTCGCCGCCTCTCAGACCACGCGGTCAACGGCTGTGCATTAGCCTGCTTCCTTGCCGGAAGTCTCAGCCGTGCATTTTCGTCCTGTGTTTGAGCATTGCACTTCTTTAACCAATTTCAACATCCTCTGTCCCATTCGTCTTCTTCCCCTCTTTGCTTTTCCACGCTGGCACGCTTCACGGACGCGTTCCTGCTACCCAATTGGCGATCCCTGCACATGCACTGCTTTTGTGGTTGCCATTTCTGGCCACATACCCCTGTGCATATGCACCAACACGGGGAGTGCATCTGAGGTGTTCAACCAAGACGAATCTGGCAAAGCCGAGGTCCCAGAACAGCAACGGTCAAGATACGACGCAAGACGTTCAAAGATACAATCAGAGACAGAGCTCCAATCTCCATACAGAATAGATACGACCTCAGCAGCCCCAATTGCTCAATCGTATCCCATTACCACCAGGCCAGCTCCAAACCAAGAGACGGATTCCCTTGGATCGACCCGCTTGGCAGTCTTACCGACTCTTGTCTTTGCATATCACGCTGGGCGTCCACGTTGACAATCATCCTTGTCTTGTTGTGCCTCTTTATTTTCTTCCAATTCGAGGTTAGCAGGACAGGCACAGTCAGAAACGCCATTACCTGGTCTTGGAAGTAGCACCTTCTGGCCACCTTGGACGACCGTCGAGGCAGACCCCTTCTCACGTCACTCGTACCAGGCAACTTCCTCAACATATTTGGCGACCTTGCCAGCTTCTGACTTTGAGGGTCCCCGCCTTGACAAGGGAAAGGACAAGTGCCTGCCTTTGGAGCAATTCGAACTGCTTGCGCGCGATTTGGGCTCCAGCATTTAGACCTTTTGTGGGGGTGCTGGCAAAACTCGCAACCTTACAGGCGACCAGGTTCTCTTCTCTTGTCTTTGGTTGCAGCACTGCTACGTCCTCGCTATCCTGGTAACCGCAGCAAGCGCGCCAACCAACCACGACGCGCCGTCTCTCACCTGTGCGCTCTCTTTCCACCGCCCCGACTGACCCAGGCTGGCCCTGTCTCGCTGACTTGTCTGGAATAACCCTTGTTGCTGCTCACTTGTCATTTCTTTTTGTCTGGTTTTTTCCCTCCCAACACCCATCACCCTTTCATTTAATATACATATCGTCGCGACAGACACATACTTCATTCTGTTTCTTTGCTTTACTTCGTTTCCCTCTTTTCCCCTTTTCACTTGCTTCGTTCATTTACGTTCCTTTCTTTTGTATTTGTTTGTCAGCTTGCTTGTCTTTGTTTTCCTGTCATTCCAATCCTATTTGACGAGGTGATAAACGTGAGTTTGGGCAAAAAAACACAAACGACCATATTTTCTTCTGTTTCGATTATTGAACGAGTACCTTGACGTTCCCCGACTACGATTTTTAGACCCTCACGATCGTCTCTCATTTTCTTCAACTTTCATTCTATTCTCTACGGAATACTCCGTATTTTATCGCATTTCCATATTGTCTTCTACCTGAACATTCACGTCCGCCAAATACAGGCCTTAAGTCGCGAATTTGGGGATCCTTTTCCAAACTCAGTCGTGGTTCCGGTTCCCAGCCACCGCATTTTCTAGCACTCTATCTGCCCTTCGCATTTTTAACCTGCACGAACACACGGCACCCTTATTTCTCGTGCATTCAGGGACCCCATTTAGCCGCTACGCTCCTTCATTCACCCTCAATCGCGATCTCCGCTCAACGGCTTCATTTCCTTACCAGCCGCGTGGACAATCTTGGATTACTTCTTCAGTGGCGTTGTATTCTCCCTTTCTTCTCCCCAAGCCAACGTCTCTTTTTTTGTTATATTTTTATGTTTCCTTCGACCGGCGATCGATCCACCACTTTTCTGCACACGGCGTCTGTTTACCCAGTCACCTCGCACCGCCCCTTGCGTTACTGTTCGCTTCGTAGCGATTCAAGACACCGATTCGCATAGTTTCATCGAACCTACTCATGCAACACGCGCCCGAACGCCAAAACTTGTGCTAGACAGGGCCTTTCCTGCACAAGACACGCGATCATGCCTACTCCGTTCTCCGGTCTGTCAGGCTTCCCTGCCGGCCCGAGAACACCAGAGCCTACCGCTTCGTCCTTCCCTCCAGACGTCATCGACGCGCAGCCACCTTCTCCGCCGCGCCCACGGTTGCGTCTGAAACGTCGTGCAGTCCCTCACCTTTCCGCGCCCACCCAAAATTTCTTGGCTTCCGTCGCAGCAGCCGACGTGCCTATCCCGAGTATCGAGATCCCCGACCAAGACGACCATGATCTTCCCAGCATTATGCAACCTCAGCGGCAGCCGCAACAACAACAGCGCACCCCGGGCCTGTTTCCGACTGACAGCATAGATAGCAATTTGCTCAGCGTTTGTGGCCACAGCACATTCTCTCCTCCTAAGACACCGGCACCAAGCGCCGTGCCGTCAGCATCACCGTCGCGCTATCCTAATTGGCGCATGGGTTCTGTCTTCAGCAGCTCTACCGAATCCAGCCCCGACCCCGAATGCGAATCTTCTAGCCGGCCATCAACGGCACGCTCTACTCAAACGAGCTCGTCATCATTGTTTAGCCGGTTCTCTCAACTGTCTGACGATGAGCATTGTATTAGCCCGGAGGAAGAGACCTCTAGCACGTCCAAAGTCAGTCTCGGTGACCACATGAACGAGCTTCGCCGGAACTCTGCTTCCGGGGGCACATTCAGCAATTATACGGATTATAGCAACGACGACAGTACGGCTGCCGGCCAAAAGCGCCATGCGAGAAAAGCTGCCTGGACCAACGCCATGAGCTCGCATCTTTGGGCAACCTACATCCTGTACCTGCAGGATCCCAAGGTCACACCATTCCGGATTGGCAAGAGCTGTATTCCGCCTCATGGCGTTCTTGTGCGTGTAGCCCGTGAAGCGAAGAGGAGTTGGAAAGGCGCGAAAGCCCTTGCCAAGATGTCTGCCAGCAGCGCCAACTCTACGAGAAACTCTGCCGCTGCATCCCTGACCGTACCTGCATCTGTTCCTGCAGCTACACGAACTAGCGACAGCAGCGCACAGCCTGACGGCTCTACTAGCAAGAGTGGAAGCAGCACGCCCACCGCCACTGAAAGCAAGGCAAGCGGCACCTTTATGGAGTGGCCGTTTACCAACGCCGCCACCCGCTCCCACCTGCGTGAGCTCTGCCGGAAAAAGGCAGCTACGCCTGGCGGTGGCGCTCGTGGCTTGCAGTACATGTCCCGCAGCCCGACCCCTCTCACGCAAAGTGCCGCTACCCGTCATCGTGATATGCGTGTGACACCTGGCCTTTCTGGGTCCTCCACATTTGCAACCCATGACATGATCAAGTCACTCGCCCTCAGCGCCTCGGAGACGATGCTGCCGCACGGTCCTCTGGCTCAGCTGACACGCTCTGGCTCTGGTCCATCTACCGGTCTTAATACAGCCCCACCATTAAGCCTTGACGGCACTCTGGCATCTTCGACTGGCACCGCCGACTTTGCTTCTGTTGCACTTGCACCTGCTACTCATTCTCCGGACTTTTCCGGCCGCCTCGCTTCTGCGATCGAGACCGAGGAGCCGTCATTTGCTGAGCGCCGCCGCCTTGGCTCCCCCTTCACGGCACGGAGCTATGGACCGAGCTCATCCAGCTCTCTTGCTGCCGTACTCGGCCTTTCTACTTCAAACTCTCGTCAGCCGCACACGGTTGGTCCGCGCCGCTCTTTGCAGTCGCCGGTTCGCCTTAGTCGTTCTGGCACTCAAAAGCGCCGCACCAAGCATCTCAGCCAAGACCTTAGAAGGCGTCCTGGCCTGGCCTCCGATATCTTCACAGAGCCGTCTGCAGACCTCGCAGCTGGTTTGCCCGGAATTGAGTGCCGCCATGATGGGTTCAACTCGTCGGGCGCAACGCACAACGAAAAGCTTTTCATCCCAAGAACGGGGACTGTGCCGGCCCTGACGTCCTCTTCTTCAGCACCTCAGCTCGCTACAACGTCCTCAAATTCCCAATCACTCGACGAGTTTGCTTCGGCGTCGCAGCCGCAGCAACAGCAAGCATCTCCGCCCTTGGTTCGGAGGCCCGATATGGCTGGCCTTCTTGACGCCGCGCCACTGCAACCCCTGGCACGGCTGGGGTCGCCGTTCTCGTCGCTGCCTGGAAACAATACAAGCTTTAGCTTTCCCAACCGCTTCTCGCAACCTACCGATCTCGATATATCGACTGTGGGCCGGCCGTTTGCGACCGTGCAGCGTTCCCAGACGAAGCCTGTCCCTGCTCGCACTAACTTGGCTTCTCGACTGGCATACATTGACCAGCGCCTACGTGAGCTGAACAACCGGAACGACAACCAGCATCGCCAGCCGGATTCGCCTTCCTAAACGCCCTTGGGCCATATTTCTTGGTTGGATATCTCATGCATCCCTCTCTTTTTATTGGTTTACGACTGCGACATTTCATTACTCATACCATGGACCATTTTGTCTTTCCCTTCCCGTTTCATCATTGTACAACTGATGGGCATGGCGAAGCGTGTTTACTTTTACCTTTTTTTTTTTGCATTACTTTGTTACTCGGATGTTACGATTGCCTTCTATTTCGATTTACGGCCGGGTTCTTTGATACGAAAAACTTACGAACAAACGACATGACGACCAGATTAGACGATATGTTGAGATGCTTTTTTGGGTTCGATATTTTTTTATTTCTTTTCATCTTCTGTCATGGTAGACAGCACCGAATGTGCGGTCTGTCTGCCTTGATACAGATCTTTTTGTTTCGGTTTGACCCCACTAGCACATTCGAATATCGCCACACAGATTGTCAAGGTGACGTTGTTGTGCATTGGGGCCTTTGGGGTTTGACATTGCAGGAATACGCACTTCAATTGTCACTTCCCTACTTGTTGCTATCTTCATAAAGGAGTGATAGAGATGGTTGTGGTTGCAATTTCTTAGCAACTTAAAAAAAAACCGTCGCCATGGAAGGACAGGCAATTCTCTGTTGAGCATACATGTTGCTCCCTTTCTCCTTTCTTGGTCGTCGCTTGCCTTCTTTGACCACATTTCTTTTGTTTGTCCTTTCACTTCGTCGGTCACGAGCTACAGCTGGGCATACTTGACCAGTGACTATGATTCTGGACCTCACTTTATGTTTATTTTCCCCTCCCATTACATATCAAACGACATAGATCTTTGAAATTGAACGCACGTTTGGATACGATTTAATGAGTTGCCCAATATGATGATATGTGGTTGTAAAATGTGGCCTGCGAAATTGACTCGTTTGTTGTCTCGTCAAAGCACTACGTACGGCGAACGACGAACTTTGTATGTCGTATGGTCTTGTTTAATATGCTGTAGTCGATTTTGGAATAGCAAACGACCGATATAAGCCGACCGTCGTCGAAATTTGAGTGGCGAATTTTAGCCGAAGAACACCCAATGGGCGATTGCCGGAGAAAAGCTTATAAACAAGGCTCCCCAACTTCCTTTCAGGGGGGCAGGGGAACAGGCGGCGCAGGGCGGCCCGCAAAAGACACCAAAAATACATTTTAACGCGCCTTTTTCATGGAAAGCGCGAATGGCCATGACACCACCTTGAATATTGGCAGGAGCTTCTTCTCTCTTTGTATCGCTCCTTTCTTTTTTGCTATCTCAAAACTGCAACTGCAACAGGAGCAAAAGGCAGTCACTGGCGCAGCTGGGGAATCTCCCGGAGAAACTATTGGCACTTCTCTCTCCCTCTCTCCCCCTCTCTCTCCTTTTTGTTTTTGTCTTCTCTTATCGACATCTTCTCTGTCACACCCATCGTTGCTTCATTGAGCTTCTGCGTACCAATCGCAGGCGCCGACGAGCTTGCTTAGGAAACGGGACGCCGCCGCCGACCACGTACGACAACCTCCCTCCCCCGTGACGTTTCCAACTGGAGTAGCCAGCGAAACAGAACAACAATGTTACCGGCATCGACGCGAGGGCTGCCGGCCAGCGCGCTCGTTTTGCTTGCGGTTCTGCTGGTGCTTTTGGCGATCCTGCCCGGCGTCACGGCGTCTGTGGGCGACCGCCTCCCAGAGTTCCGCGAATGCTTGGAAGTAGGTTTCGCTGCCTCAGACTACCCAAATTCATAAGTTGGAAGCCAATAACTAATCCATGTGTCTGAACAACAGGTGTGCAAAGCCGAGAACTGCGGGCCGAACAAGCCAGCAACACCTATTCGTGCGTATTCCAGCAACCGACAGCAACACCAGTCGAAACAAATACATGACAGGAGAGAAGGCAGAAAAAGACAGACAAGACGTCGAAGCTAACGGTTACTCTCTGTGAAACAACAGCTTTCCACCTCCGCTTGTTACTCTGGGACTGCGCCAGCGAGTGCGATCAGACCTGTCAGCGTATCATCACCGGCCACCGCCTCGCTGCCGGCGTCGACGTCGTCCAGTTTCACGGCAAGTGGCCCTTCTTCCGGCTCTTTGGCATCCAGGAGCCCGCGTCTGTCATCTTCTCGCTCGGCAATCTGTGGGCCCACGTGGCCGGCCTGCGCCGCTTGCGCCGCCTCGTGCCCGCGTCATACACGTTGCGCCCCTATTACATTGGCTTTGGCACCGTTGGCATGGCCGCATGGATTTTCAGTTCCATTTTCCACACCCGCGACTTTGTCCTCACCGAACGCCTCGACTACTTCGCCGCTGGTGCCTCTGTGCTCTACGGTCTCTATTTTACGGTTATCCGCGTCTTCCGGCTCGACCGCCCGGTGCGGGAGTCGGTACGGTCCGTGTGGACCGCAGTATGTATTTGCTTGTACCTGGCCCACGTCGGGTTTTTGACCCTGATCCGCTGGGACTACGGTTACAACATGGCCGCCAACGTGGCTTGCGGCATCGTTCAGAACGCGCTCTGGAGCTGGTTCTCGTACCGCGAGTGGACGCGCATGCGGCGCTTCTGGGCGGTGTGGCCCGGTATTGCTGTGGCCTGGGTGATGCTGGCCATGAGTCTGGAGATGTTTGACTTTTCGCCCATCTGGGGCGTCTTTGACGCGCACTCTCTGTGGCACCTGGGAACCATTGGGCCTACCATTCTGTGGTACAAGTACGTCTATCTGTTTATCCTTTGCTTGCTCTCCTCTCCATTCTGCTCGACACTAACAATTATTTTTAGCTACTTGGTCCGCGATGCACTTAACAACCTTTCCGGCAAGGAAAGATTAAAAGATTAAGCAGCTGCAGCGGCTGCATATTTTTTCTATGATTTCTTATATACTATGCGATGGAGAGGAGGCGAAAAGAGCAGAGTGAGAGCATAAACTGAAAGGTTTTGGACACCAAGACCAGGGCCAACACTTTTCTGATACTAGGGACAACATGTCTTTAAATCGGTGCTTTTGGGAACGCGTTTTGATTTTCTTGCAACTGGTTTGTTGCTATTTCGGCTATGCAAATTGTACCCTGGGATACCGCTACTTGTTTTGTACACCAAGCCAGAAAGAATAGAATGATAATGAGAAGCAAAAAATTAAGTACATAAATGCCGTCCATTTTTGGAGAGTGCTATAGTGCTACATGAAAATGACGTGGATCCTCCGCCCTTCCACACTTTCGCTCCTATAAATCCGTTCTCCTTCCAACCGTATCGTATCTTGTACATTCCAGTCTCTGTCACATTCTCTCTACCTTGCCTCTTATCCCACGGATCAGCACTACTCATCTATCGGCATGTAGCGCGGACCTTCCGCCTGCTGAATCTTCTGCAGCCGGTCGAGCGTCCGCTGTCTGCTGGCCCGCTTCTGCCGCAACTGGTCCTTCTCCGTATCCGTGTAGCCCGTCAGCTTTTTCCGTGTCGGCGTGCCCTGGGCCGACAGGCCGGGGGACGAGAAGATCGCCGACGACCAGTGTGTCGACCGCTGTGCGCTACCGGGCGCAAAGATGAGCGACGACCGCTTCTGCTTTTGCTTCTGCGGTGTCGAGAACGGCGAGCCCTCACGGCTGCGCGGATTGAGGTTCAGCTTGCGGATCTGGGCCTCCAGCACATCAATGTCACCACTGCGTTTTTCTGCCATAGCCGTCATTCGGGCAATTGTCCGCATGACGGCATCAACGGTCGGAACTGGTGAGCCCCGTCCGTTCGCGCCGTTGGACCCGCCGATCGCTGCGGTAAGGGCCGAAATCTTGGTGCGCAGCAGCACCAGCTGCTGCTCGGCTTCCACCAAGCGCTCCATGAACTTGGTGAATGTTCGGCGCAGATCATTCTGCTGCGTGGCCTGTTCGGCACTCAACGGCAACGAACGGGCAGCAGTAACCTGGTCTGGACTGGCTTGCGACTGGATAATCCGCACCATGTCGTCGTGCATCACCTGCAGCCGGCTGGCGTCTTTGAGCAGGGCCTCGGAGTCGGCAAGGATCTCGCTCTCGCCCTTGACGCGCGACTGCCGGAGCTTACTCGGAAGATCGCGGCTGACGATGGCTCCAAGGGCGTCAACATCGCACAGAACCCAGCCATCAGCGTCGTCGAGGTCTTCTTCCGTCTTACGGTCGACCTGCGAGTGGCCACGAAGGAACGCATCAATGTTGCGGCCGTTCAGCTTGAGGACCAGGATCATGCGGTTGATGTCGCGGTACACGGCTTCCACCTGGGACGCTACTGTGTCGCCGCCAGAAATGTCCGAGTCGAGAATGTACAGGCATTCGGCCAGCTGGCGCGTTGGCGCCAATGGCTGGTCAAGCTCTCTGTCCATAACATCGTAGCTGTCTTCCTGCGCCAGTTCCTTGGCCTCTGCTGCAGCACGTGCCTCGTTCACCTTGCGTTGCTCCTCGAGATTGGAGTCACGGGGCACACGCCGGTTCGCAAAGTGGTTGCCGCCACCGCCGAAGCCTTGCGCTGCAGAGGGACCCGCAGCCGGCAGCCGGCCCTGGCGGGACGAGTCACGCAGAAGTTGCGACGCCATACCCGGGGCACTAAAGGACCGCTGCGAATCTTCGCGGAACAGACGACCACTGACACCGGCTGCCTGTGGTTTGGCCGGAGGCCGTTGTGGACTGGGTGACCGAGGACTTGTATCTTGCTGGTGCCGCGGCCGCAACGCCGGTTGTTGCCCAAAGGGCTGACTTCTTGGCGCTTCGACCTGCGAGAACACTGAGCTGCCACCGGCATCGTTGGCACCAACAGTGGTGAACGAGCCATGTGTTGTGAAGCTCGGAGTCTGAACAAAGCCCGTCGTAGAGCGGCTCAGGTCTTTTCCCACATCCGTGCCGCTACCCTCTTCGTCCTCGTTGTCTTCTTCCTCAGGCGCATCCTCCTCGTCTTCCTCCTCATCCTTGTCCCCTTCTTCAACATCTTCTTCGGACTCATCTTCCTCTTCGTCGTCCTCTTCTGACCCATCTGTAGTGGGC